GGGCAAAAAGTTGAGAAACCAAAAATGATGAACACTCGATGAAGCGATTTGAGCACTTTCTTTCACATAAACCTATTTTAGTGTCAATAAAAAAAGAAAGAGCATAAAAAGTTAGATAAATAACCAACTTTTTAGCTAGATATAATCAATCGTTTTTATTATAGTTTCATTTGAAGAATTTTCAGAAAAAAAACTTGAATTTCTGCTCTAATTCATTTCAAAAGTTACCCAAATTTGCTTAAGCACTTTTAAAATTAAATATTATATTTTTCTCTAATAGTAGTGCACCCAGAGCGTCGCCTAAATTCCTCGAAATCTCGAAAAGCGCTTATCAGAACCTAGCGATGTGGGGTCGAAAAATGTAGCTGACGATGAGATCTAGTGGAGGATTTGAGTCTTGATCTTCTGTGAAAATTTAGAAACCGTAAAATAGTGACCAACTCGGCTCGCTGGGGTGCACTACTATTAGAGAGAATACGGTATTCTAATTGAACGTTTTTTTCGTAAATTTAAACCTTTTCTAACAATCGTATTTTCCCCAATAGTAGTGTCCCCAGAGCCTCGCCTAAATTGATCGAAATCTCGAAAACTGCTTATCAGAACCTATTGATGTGGGGTCGGAAAATGTAGCTGACGATGAGATCTAGTGGGGGATTTAAGTGTTGAGCTTCTGTGAAAACTTTGAAAGCCATAAAATAGTCATCAATTCGGCTCGGCGGGGTGCACTACTATTAGAAAGAATACGGTAGCTTTTATTTAGAAAAGTTTAATTCAATTGACGTTTTAAATATGTTTTATGGAAAAGACGAAAAAGTGTAGCAACTTTCAAGTTGTCAATCTAATCTAGCTTGTCTCCTTTTTTGGATTCAATCTAATACCAGCTTTCTATTGCTAAGAAATAGCACAATAGCTGTAGTATCTGTGCATTACACACAAAAAAATATGGTTATTATTCTTTTCTGAATATTCTATAGTACTCACTCGCTCATATTTGTCTCTTTGAAGAAAATGGTGAATGAATGGGGGAACCAGTGAGAGGCCGAGGTGGGCGGGATCGGGGCTGGGAGAGGACCCCAAAGGACCCACTCTTTTCAAATAAAAGAGAGATTCTAAGTCATCACGTTTTCCACTTTTCCTACCCAATTACAGTATCACTTTTTGGTAGACTTCGTTTTGGGCTGTAGCTTTTAATCTTTGAATGCAGATATGCATACTTCTGCACTTCTGCACTTCTGCACTTCAATTGCCTTTAATAATTGTTATCTAAAAGCCATTAGAAAAGTTAAACTCGAGTTTTGATAATCAAAAAGAGAATTGTTATAATAATTTTATTTAATGTCAAAAAGAGATCATTAGATCAAACTAAGAATTTACTAAAGTAAAAATGAAAACAAAGCTGGCTTGTTGGATTAATTTTTATTTACACTTGATACTTAACGTAATAGTGAGAAGTACGAGTTTAGTATCTAGTGATAAGTACGAGTACTGTAGCGTAATCTTTTGCAATCTTTCGACAGTACTCAAAATGAGTACAAGTTGTTGAAAAAGTCAAATAAATTCCTTAGCAAGTTCTGGATTATTAACTTCTCATAGTTTATAGTTATCACAATATTTTATTACTTGTTTTGTGTTTTATTTTTCAGATATACTTCTAGAGCTTCTAGAACGATAACGGGGTTTACTTTTTGACTCTAAACAGGGTACTTATGACGCTTTAATCCGCATTTGTATTTAAATCAGTCAATTTCGCATGGTAAACTTCACATAATTACTATCTAAGTATCTTTCAATAGTATCTAGTGATAAGTACGAGTACTGTAACGTAATCTTTTGCAATCCTTCGACAGTACTCAAAATGAGTACAAGTTGTTGAAAAAGCCAAATAAATTCCTTTGCAAGTTCTGAATTATTAACTTCTCATAGTTTATAGTTATCACAATATTTTATTACTTGTTTTGTGTTTTATTTTTCAGATATACTTCTAGAGCTTCTAGAACGATATCGGGGTTTTTTTGACACTAAGCAGGGTACGCTTAGAGTCAAAAAGTAAACCCCGATGATGCTTTAATACTTATGACAGGGTACTTATGACGCTTTAATCCGCATTTGTATTTAAAGCACTCAATTTCGCATGGTAATTACTTCCCATAATTACTATGCAAATTTTTGTAGGTATCCTTTGACAGTATCTAGTGATAAGTACGAGTACTGTAACGGAATCTTTTGTAATCTTTCGACAGTACTTAAAATAAGTACTGTCGTTGTACTGTTGTTGAAAAAGTTAAATAAATTCCTTTGGAAGTTCTGGATTAATTTTTTAAATTTACTTAAGATTGAAAGATTGAAAGAAAGATTTAACTAAAAAATTTCTAAATTGAAAATAAATGAAAACAAAGTTTGATAAGATATGAAAATATACGAAGATTCAATGAGATATTCAGCCAAGCGATGTTTTAACTAACTTTTACAAAACCCCTCACTAATTGTTGGCACTTCTTTTCCCGATTTCAATCTCTTTTCTCCTTTTTAATCGGATAAGAAACATTTTTGTCACTTTCTTGAAAGTAAATGAATGTGCCTAGTGTGTTCGTCGAGTGTTTCATTCTCCTTTTTTTTTCCTTTTTACCTGATTTTTGAGAGAACACACCGATTTTTCTCATAATTTTTTCAAATGAACAAAAAGAAGAAAACTTTTCTTTCCTTGTTTACGCCAAAAATTTTTGTGAAGAGCCTTTTTTTGGTTTCTTTCCGACAATTATGATATTTGATTTGAAATTGGATTACTGTTTCTTGTTTTCACCATTCTCATCTATTCTATACAGTAAAGCTTACTGTATTTAGTCTATTGAATTGTCTATTGAATACCTTTTATTACCATTTTATAGACTTAGCAACTCTTCATAAAGAAAAAGAATTGAAAAAAACTGTTTAAACTTCATTTTTACATTTCATTTGAAATTCTTTCATGATTCTGAATTAAAAATAGATTTCCTGGATTTACTGAGAGTTAAACACTAGATCCTAGACCTAATGGACTAGCAAGAATGGACTGAGAGTTAAAAACTAGATCCTAATTGACTAGATCTAGAATGGACTGAGAGTTAGAATGGCAAGAATGGACTGAGAGTTAGAATGGCAAGAATGGACTGAGAGTTAGAATGGCAAGAATGGACTGAGAGTTAAAAACTAAGCAAGAATGGACTGGGAGTTAAAAACTAGATCCTAGACCTAATGGACTAGGAAGAAAACAAAATTTTGCTAGTTTCTTAACGCTAAATAGAGCCTAGACCCGAAAGTGGTATTTCCAGCTCCAGTGTACTCATTTCTCCATGCAAATTTTGATCTACTTAAAATCAATGTGCTCCTATTCATTCTGTAGCATTAACCAGAGTACAGTAATCCATAAACATTTTGCTACTTCATGTTCTCCAAAAGGGACACAGCATACTTTTTCTGTTGTCTTGATCCATTCACATAAATATCGAGAAAGAAGAAAATGTGGTTTCTGGATATTTTGGAGAAGAGGGAGAATGAGGAGAATAGTCAACAAGCAACCACTGAAAGAGGGGCAAGGCTATTTTCTTGTTATCTGGCCGTTCTGGGGGTCTAAGGAGAGCCAGATCCAAGCCAAAATTACAATTCCATCCTTGGCCTCCAGAATGGATACATTCTCTCGGTTTCCCTTCCATCGACACCAAATTACGCGAGGAAAGCAAATGAATGGACGGGACAAGAGACGGAAAATAAATGAAGAGAAGAGTTACCCGGGACTACGGTAGATTGGCGAGTTTTTTTCTAAGAGAAAACTAGGAAAAATTAAATTAGAGGAATTTGTTGAAAGTTGTTTTTGTGTTTTATTTTTTAGATATACTTCTAGAACTTCTAGAAGGATGGCGGGGTTTACTTTTTGACTCTAAACAGGGTACTTATGACGCTTTAATCCGCATTTGTATTATTATTATTATTTATTTAAAGCTTTATTTAAAGCACTCAATTTCGCATGGTAAACTTTCCATAATTATCATGCAAATTTTTGTAAGTATCCTTCGATAGTATCTAGTGATAAGTACGAGTACTGTAACGTAATCTTTTGCAATCTTTCGACAATACTCAAAATGAGTACAAGTTGTTGAAAAGGCCAAATAAATTCCTTTAGCAAGTTCTGGATTATTAACTTCTCACAGTTTATAGTTATCATAATATTTTATTACTTTGTTCATCTTTTTTTTGACAGCTTAAAAATACAGTGAACTTTAAAGCCATTTACAGTAGGCATTATTTGCTTTTTTTTCTCTTAAAATCAGAGTTTCGAATCTTAAATGCAATTCATTGTAAATGTCTTCGACTTCGGGGAAAGATGAATCTATTTGATTTGAAAAAAAAAGAAAAAAAAGAGGTGAAGTCAGTTGCTCCTCTTTTTTTTAGCTAATAACTTTGAAATGAGTGAGACGACCGACGGAGAAAAGGCGATGATTTGCCCATTCAAATCGGCGATTCACACTCCTTGGTGCCTTTTTTTCTAAAAGAAATTCTAAGAAATAAAATTGTTTATTTCTTAAAGTTACTTCTAAATTATATTTAAATTTACTTCTAAATTCTTCTCAAATCAAATGTCAAATTGATTTTCCCTCAGAATAAGTTTGAAGTTCATACTTTGTGCTTCGATTAAAACGCACTTTCCGGCACACAGTAATCGATGACGTAAGGGCTTTCTCATTTGATTCCTCATAGTATTTGTTACAGTAATATTCAAAGCTTGTTTTGCACATTCGAAAGCTCGCTTAATTTCTATAAGCTTTCCGAAAAAAATTCGATTCCTTATTTCTCTTTTCATTTCTCTTTTTTATCCCAAAGGAAAGAAACATTTAGATGAAAAGTGTCAATCACTCGAATTCATCCCGATAAAGCCATCTATTTTTCTCTTGTTTATTGTAATATTACTTTGTCAAATGCAATTTGTCAAATGCATTTTATCAAATATTTTCTAGGTTCACTAAAAGATGAACATTATCGACATAGTGCCTGAGCTTTTTTCAAGTGTTTCCCCATCACAACCTGAGGCTGAGAAGAGGATTTATTATTGTCAAAGGTGGGTGGAAAGGTTTTTTGATTTCTGTTTAAACACAAAGACATTTTATTCAAAGAGTTTAAAATGACAATTACAGTCACAAGTGCATGAATTGGAGTAAATTGGAGTAAATTGAAGTAAATTGCGAGTAAATTGGAGTAAATTGCGTCATTTGAACAGATTCAACAGATTCAAAGAGCAAAATTTGATCGGAAGAGGTTCTAAAATGATTTTGAAAACTTTTCTATGAAATCTACTAAAGCTAAACCTTTTTTTTATTACCCGATTTTCAGATGCCTAAATCATGGACTGCGTTTACAGCGTAAAAATCACAAGCAGGTGTGCCAGTTCCGGCATTGCCCGTGCTCGGATTGTCAGGTGAGCTCTTTCACAAGATTTACTTGAAGAAAAGAATAATTGGGATAATTTGATTTTGACGAACTTGATCAACTTCAATCCGTTTCATTTCTATTTCATTTCTGATTCATTTACAGATGGTCGACCGTCGTCGAGAGTTGAACTCGAGACTCTTGCAAATGGAGATTTCTCCACCACAACCATTGGTGCCTGCATTGGTGCCCGCATTGGTGCAAGTTCTCTCGATCTCATCCACTTCTTCAATTTCCTCTAATTCTTCCGAAAGCCTTTCAGAAGGTGATTTCTTTGAATTGTTTTGCGTTTTGGACAATTTATTGAAGTAATTTTTAAGCCCTAAAAATACTGTCGATGGAAAATCGCTTTTTTTTCGTTCGTTATCGTTAAAGCCAGCTTTCTCTTCTCATAATCTTTTGATCAGTAAAAACCAGTAAAAATGACAGATTACTGTCGTTATCTACTAGTTTAATCCCAAAAAGAAAAGTCTCTACTCGAACTCTCAGGACCGCTCAACCTCTCATGTGCTTCATCAGCTGCCAGTGAACTCTCGAGTCCTCCACCACCGAATCTCCTCGAATCACACGACTCACCCGGGAAAATAAAAGGTAAATCTGGAAAGGAAATCAAAAAAAAAAATATAAACTTGAATCTTTCCAAAAAATTCGAATGTAAGTGTTTGACCTCGAGCAATCAAAAAAAGCGAATCCCATTCGCTTATCGTTTTTCAACGATCGAGTGCTCTTTTCCCTTTTTTTTTTTTTGCTTTCACGGGTTTTCCCCATCATCTCCACGTTTTTTTTACCCACTTTTATTGTATGTTTTCCGAGGGACACGGATCTTAAAAAGGGGAAGATGTAAAAGATTTTGTGAAAAAAAAAAGACTAAACGGGGGTTGAAAAGAAGTGAAAACGAGACGGATGATGGGAAAAGGGGAAAATGGTGAATGGGTAGACAGGTAGGCACTGTATACAAATGGAAATTTATAGTGAAAATGAAAATAGTATTAGGTGAGATTACGGTAATCTTAACTTTTAACTTTTAGTATAACGAAACGAAAAGCCTAAGGTTTTTTGGTATCAAATAGACCTGAATTTCTGTTATTTTTGGATAGCTATTTAATAGCTATTTGATAGCGCTTTGTAGCTTAAATCAGTGTCGAGAAAAGCGAGTTTAAAGCTAGACTACGCAATACTCCGCACCGTCATTATGCGGGTGGGCTGCTATTACAATATTTACGGTAGGTTTACATGAAGCTGTTATTACTGTGGCTTTCCTGGAACTCCTGGAGTGCGGTGAAATGCAAACTTTGGGTCTTACTGTATTATAAAGGACTGTAAGGGTACGGTCTTATGCCTCTACAGTTACAATATTTTAGTAAGTACAATAGTTACAGTACGAAAGTTTTCATAAACTAGACTAAACAGTTTTTAATGTAAAATTTGCCATTTCCTCACATCAAACACCCAATTTTTTCGAATATTATTAGAAAAAACTTTAAACTATTGCTCTAAATCGGAAAAATTTTAGAGCGCCGTCCAAATTGTCAGCGTTGCGCACAGCACAATCTCGCAAATCGCCTTAAAGGACATAAACGCGTGTGCCCGTTTCGTGAATGCATTTGTGCAAAGTGTCTGGTGAGTGTCAACTGTATAAAATGAGTAGTAAAATGGGCAAACAGATTTTAAACTCAAAAATATGAGACATTGATGTTTTGCAGGTTGTGGTTGAGCGGCAACGTTTGATGGCCGATCAAATCAAGTTGAGGCGACGACAGAAAAAGGAGAAGCTGTCGCTGCAAGAGAGACCCGTTTCTGTGTCACCTCCAATACAAAGTTGGATTTCAAATTTTCAAAGATTTCGATTTTGAAAGATCCTTGACCATGCAAAAGTCAAGTCAAATCTAAATTGTTGACATTGCTTGATGACAAGGTTGGAGAACCTATGATACTTTTGCAACTGTAGCTAGAGTAACTGTAGCTAGTAACTGTAACTAGTAACTGTAACTAGTAGCTGTAGCTACTTGTTAGAGCTTAAAATCGTTTAAAGCCCGGCTAAAGTACCCTAAAAGTATGTTTATGTAAAGTTTTTCTTTCCTACCGTATCCCTGAAATTTGGAACCTTGTTGACTGAAGAAGAAAGTCTCTGGGGTCCCGTTTACCCCATTGGCATAATCCCGGAAATCTAATTCCGATGTCGAGTTGAGCCGTCATGAACAATAGAAAGGCACCACTTGTTTTTAGGCCCTGGGACGAAAAAAAAAAGAGGGAGAAAAGCTTTAGGCAAAGCACAGGAAAAGACCAATTTGATTGCGAGTCTCTTCTCCAATCGAAAAACGGAGAGATCCCAGCACTTCTTTACCCCCAATTTCGAAGATCGAGTACCCCATTTTAGCCAAAGGCACACTTTCTATCCCTTTGCCTCTTTAGCCATTCACTTTTCACTTGACGATATGACTTTGAAGGGAAAACAATTGAATTTTTCGTTTCTAAACGGCATTTGGAAAAGTATCAGAGATTTTTGTTTAACGTTTTGAAACAGAAAGAGCAACTGTATAAAATGGGTATGTCCAAACGCATCCTTTCTGGAGCACTAAATTCTTTGTTTCTCTTGCAATCAGGAATATTGCTAGCGTTTTTAAAGCAAGCTATGCACTGAGCCTCACCAGAAGCCAGATCCAGATCTGGCTTCTAACAGATTCAAGGTCCAAATCTAAAGCTAAGTCAAGTTCTGGCTTCTGGTCTAGACTGGTAAAATTGCTTTTGCAACAGCAACTCTACAATACATCTAAAGTTTTCGCCAGAAATACTGTGTTTTTCTGTTTGGTTGCAAAGTCCACTCCAAGAAAATTGAGATCCGGAAACAAAAAGGCCGTACTGGCAGAAATACCTGTCGAGTTAAAACAAAGTCCAACACCCAGTTTTGTAACGGTCCAGGAAACGAGCTTTGCTTTCGTTGTTTCCATTCAATTCCCCAAACCATCTTACAATTAATTTTGACCTTCATTGTGGTCCGGCTATGAAAAGTTCCGGATTCTCCACTCGGCATTCATCCAAATGGAAATAGATTTCTTTCTCATTTCAAAGAGAAACACAAAATTTATCGTGTAAAACAATAAATTAAAATAATCTGACAAAAACATTGACAAAACAAAACGATTTTAAAAAATGAAAAAGAATGAAATAAAATGAAACGACGACGCGACGCTCCCATCGACTACCTCCAAATGGCGGCGACGTCAATTGGAATGCGACGTCGTGCGAAAATTGACATTTAACAATAAGATAAAAGATTTAAAATTTGCGAAGGAAATTCAGATTTAACATGAAAGCGTCTTGAAATCATTCCCTAAGAATCATTCCCTAAGAATCATTCCCTAAGAATCATTCCCTAAGAATCATTCCCTAAGAATCATTCCCTAAGAATCATTCCCTAAGAAACATTCCCTAAGAACATTCCCTAAGAATCATTCCTAAGAATCATTCCCAAGAATCATTCCCAAGAATCATTCCCTAAGAATCATTCCCTAAGATCATTCCCTAAGAATCATTCCCTAAGAATCATTCCCAAGATCATTCCCTAAGAACATTCCCTAAGAACATTCCTAAGAATCATTCCCTAAGAATCATTCCCTAAGAATCATTCCCTAAGAATCACCCAGAACATTCCTAAGAATCATTCCCTAAGAATCATTCCCAAGAACATTCCCTAAGAACATTCCCAAGACATTCCTAAGAATCATTCCCTAAGAACATTCCTAAGATCATTCCCAAGAATCATTCCCAAGAATCATTCCCTAAGACATTCCCTAAGACATTCCCTAAGAATCATTCCCCAGAATCATTCCCTAAGAATCATTCCCTAAGAACATTCCCTAAGAAACATTCCCTAAGAATCATTCCCTAAGAATCATTCCCTAAGAATCATTCCCTAAGAATCATTCCCTAAGAATCATTCCCTAAGAATCATTCCCCAAGAATCATTCCCTAAGAATCATTCCCTAAGAATCATTCTCTATTACCCAGTACCTAGATCTCTCTTTGACAAAAATAACAAAAATTTCTTTCAGTTGAACCAGTTGTATGCCCAAAATGCACCCAGCAAGCGATCTCGTACTCACAACTTTTGTGTCTTCTCGATCCTTGTTCTCCAATCGAACCACTCGCCACACTATCAGTTCTTCTTCAAAATTGTCAACATAAAGAAGAGTGATCCAAGCATTTTTTTTTCTTAAATATTTCAAATCATTTCCATTGTTTTCAGTCAATTTTCGTGATATTCATTGATCCATTTTCGGTTTTTTGCATCGTTTTTGCATCGTTTTTTTTACGAGCTTTTCAATAATCTCAAACTTTATCTCATTTTATTTTTTTTTTTGGTTGATAAGATCAACTCTAAATCATTTTGATGTATCGTATTGTTTTCTAAAATGTTTCTTTATGTTTTTCGTTTTCTAAAAGGCACTTATTTTGGAAAATTATCCTATTAAAACCGCCAACTTACGGCTAAATCAGCTAAATTTTGATATAATTCCATGAGGAATGATATAAAAATTAAGCTGAATACGATAGTTTCGAAAAAACTAGGTGTCTTTTAACCAAGTGAAGCATTTAAATGCCTGTGCAAAGAGCTTCTCTTCTCTCTAAAGACTAAACTAATGTTTTCTAGGGTACTTTTCTATTACCGTACAATTACCGTACAATTATTGTACAACAAAGTCAAACGTTTCACAAATTTTAAGCAAGTTTGGCATAAATTTGATATCTTTAATGGAAAAGTACGAAAATTTCTCGTTTTTTTCATTTGTGAGCCTATTCAATAGGCCCTAATCTCTTTTCTTGATTGTAAATGAGTCACCCAGTGAAAAAAATTGTGAAACATTTTTGTGTGAATAAATCTTTTTATCGATTACTAGAGAGTTACGAAGTATGAAATAAAAAAAAAAACGAAAAATTTCAATGTAATTGAACAAAAGTGAAGAGAAAGACAAAGAATTGATAAACTCAGAGCCCGTTTTAGAAAAATGGACAGAGGAAAGTAGTGGTTTACTTCTAAGAAGTTAATTCTGTTGAGTGGATGAGGTGGGTGGAATAGTCGGCGTTGAAAGGAGTGGAGGTTTCATCATCGGAACACCTAGGAAACAATCAGTAAAAATAGAAAGGATATTGAATCCAGGAGTATCTTTGAGCTACAGTATTTTCTGAATTCGTTTTCCCTTTTACCTTGTCCAAATGTTGTGTTCTTGGAGAGTTGCGAGATTCCGATCGGTGATTGAAAGCTCATTGGATTTTGAGTGGGAAAAGTCTGTGAAGCTTGTTGGAGAGAGGCTTGGACTTGATTTGCTGAACAGATTTCAATAGACTTTTCAGTTCCAATCAACTTGTTTAAAGTGGTTTTTCTTAAAAAGCCTCATAAAATGTTTACCATAAAAGCTGAGAGCCGAAGAGGCAGGAAATGGGGGTAACATTTGAGAGGCTAAAAATCAAATCTAGAATGTAATATCTATGAAAATAGCTGAAAATGCTTTTAAAAAATCGCTAATAGCTTTTCATTTTGTCACAAATTTCTTGTGCAATTTTTGAAACATGCAAAACATTCGTTTTCACCTGGATTCAATTTGAGTTGGGTGCTCGGATTTTGCCCCAAGCGAGCCTCAAGTTCGGCCAGTTTCTTTGCTTGATCAACGGACAGCTGAAATGAATATTATTCGAGCTAAAAAGCTAAAAAATCTAAGCTAAAAAAGCTCCTTTAGCTCTATTTATATAATAAACCTTATACTTTTATATATTCCTTAATTCTCGTATAATATAAGGTAGATATTCAGCAAAAAGAAATTGCGTCACCATAATTTTTGAGATATCCTTTACATTGTTACTATTGGGTTGATGGAAAGTCCTTTCCGAGTCCTCTATGTCTTCTTTCCGAGCTTTAGCTTGGTCTGGTCAAGCCTCTTTACAAGCCTTAGGTTCTAGATTCGATTTGGAACATTCTTGGCACATTTATGTATTGGATTGGCACACTGCCCCGGCTAAACACCCTGGAAAACCTCCCCTCCCCGGTTTAATTACCCAAGTCTCTGGTTTTCAATGTTCACTTAAATTCGGTAGTTTTTGATTGGATAAAAAGTACAGGGCTTGGAATTCAGGAAAGTACAATTCGTTCTTCTATTGGGTTGATGGAAAAGTCCTTTCCGATTTTTTGGGAGAGTACCTTAAATTCCAATTTTCCAATTTTGACGTTTTATAGCTCATCCTAAAGCTGAATTCAAGACGGACCGATTGGTAAAAACCGTTTTGAGATATCTCTTTTCTGAAAGTTTGTTTCTAGGGGTTATTTTTGACGCCGATCACGAAACACATGTCTTTAGCCTAGGTTTCTGCACGGAAAACTAACGAAACGTGAAAACAGCCATTTTTTTTGGCTCTGCCGCCCTTTACTAAAATAGCTGTAAAAACTTTTCGAAAAGAGATATCTCAAAACGGTTTTTACCAATCGATCCGTCTTGAATTCAGCTTTAGGATGAGCTATAAAACGTCAAAATTGGAAAATTGGAATTTAAGGTACACTCCCAAAAAATCGGAAAGGACTTTTCCATCAACCCAATAGTAACAATGTAAAGGATATCTCAAAATTATGGTGACGCAATTTCTTTTTGAATTTCGCATAGTTTTCTGCGCTATCGTTTCAAATTTTTTGATGATATTAAATAAATTTTTCATTTTTTAGACATAAAGAAGAAAAATTTATGTATTTTCATGTTAAAGTCGAAGAAAAATTTGTTATTAATCGTCTTCATCAGCAACAAAATATAACCAAAATTTGAAAGCGGCTATTTTTCTCGAGTTTCTTCAAAGAGTTTTCTGTTTTTCTTGAGATTTTCATTAGAACTCGATCTTGAAATTGCTTAGTTGCTGGGAAAAAAAAGCTCTACTCTTACTTCTACTCTTACAAGTGTCAAAAGAATCTTAGCGGTTGTATTTTCTTAGGACTTTCTTAAGACTTTCTTAGGACTTTCTTAAGACTTTCTTAAGACTTTCTTAAGACTTTCTTAAGACTTTCTTAAGACTTTCTTAAGACTTTCTTAAGACTTTCTCTTCAACTTTATTCTAAAAATGAGCAATCAATTTAATATTAACAAAAAGGTTGAAAAGATAATTTAGAAAACAATAGAAAAAGGAAAAGCGTCACAATAATAAAAATCTTACCGATGTCTTCGGTGGCTCGGGAGATCTTATGATTTTCGTTGCCTCGAGCCGCTTACTCATCTCCTCATTGTGCTTATTAGCCTCATCAATAGTCTGGAAATTTTTCTTTGATTAGCTAGATCTTAATTTTCTCCATTAATCATACCTTTTTCATGTTATTTTGCATGGTGATAAGACGTTCTTTCAGCTTTCTCTGCTTGTCTTCGAGGAAAGTCAAACTGGCCATTTCAACAACAAAATTCTCGGCTTGTGACTAAATGTTTTGAAGATTGATTATTCAAAAAAGAATTTTTTACTTCATAAAAACTATTCTCAACAGAACGGGGAGCTGTTGAACGATCAAGAGCTGATGTGGGAGTGGATGGAGAGAAGACGGGAGGCTTCGGCAAGTGGCGAGCTCCCAATGTTTGATTTTCCTGAAATAAGTTTTAAGCTTTAAGTTTTCTTCAATAAGTAAAACTCTTCTTTCTTTCCGCTTTTGTTTTCTTAGCGGATTCCTCAGAAATTTTGTCTATAGATCGAAATCGATTCGGCTTATAGACAGAGCAATCGGCAGGCCGAGAAAACGAAAGGTGGAATTCGATTCGACTCGAAATTTTCCCATGTCTACTACCTGTTGAGGTGACAAAATAGGCATTGCATCTTTATAATCATCTTGTGGTGAGCTTGGAGTTGTGGGGATTCGATTGGGATCTATTTCTTTTTCAGGGAATCGTTGCCGGGTGGAGATCGAGTAGCCCGAGGTGGCACTCACGAATGATATGTCAGAAGTGGGAGACTGGAATTTATTGGACAAGTTAGGTTTATCGAGAATTTGTTGAAGCTAGCAAAATCGTTTTACCTTGATCGATTTGTTGCTCTTTACACTTCGTGGAGAGGTGATAAAAGCCGATGTGTCCAATGCTTTCCACGAGATTCCCACCGGAGAGGAGGACGCTTTTTGGTGAATGCTTGCAAGGATTGCACTCGGCCCATAGAGATCCGCCTGAATATGTGAAGATTTTGAGCTGTTATGATAATTTTAAGTATTTCATGCTATTTTATGTCAACCTGTAGTTGTTCTAGCTTCGCGATGACGTCTTCTTGTAGCTCACCGGTTGATGTCTCTGCCCATAAAGTGTAGATCTTAAAAAATAACAATTAAGTAATACTATATATTGAAAAGAGCAGTGTATGTCTGTCTGTCTGTCTGTCTATTTGTCTGTCTGTCTATCTGTTTGTCTGTCTGTCTGTCTGTCTGTCTGTCTGTCTGTCTGTCTGTCTGTCTGTCTGTCTGTCTGTTTACATTTAGAAATGAGAATCAACCTCGAGTAAGATCTGTTTGCTTTCGGTGGAGTTGAACTGTTTGATTCGAGCCTCGGCTTGACTGTGCCAACCACGTTGCAAATCGCACATAGCAAGAAAAGATGAGGCCTAAATCAATCAATTTTCCCATTTGCCCCATATGTTTCTCACCTCTTCGTGTGCAATCCGTCGCTCCTTGTCATCTAGTGGCTCCTCGACGGATGGGAACAACGTATGCGTTTCCTCATGATCGACAATTTTCGATCTAGAACTTTCAAAGCTAATTGCTTGATGGATTTTGCATTGATTAAACTACTGAACAAGATCAAACCCAATCGACAACTCGACAAGTCTTTGAGCGAATTTCTCGGCAAGCATTTGGCACTCGTAGTCGTCACCTCTTTCTCGTAGATAGTCAAAGACCCTAGAATGAATCCGTAGCACACAAAAAAATGCTATAAATCTAAATATCTAGAAACGTCTCCAAATCAAGAAACCTGAAAATCGTTCTCACTCCACTTGGGGGTTTCTCGAGACGAGTCGCCTCGATGATACATTGAAAGTACATGTGAGAGGCATTGTCCAATGGGCTAAAATGAAAATTGAAATTCTAAGAGCTTTCACGCTCGACTGGAGTAAAGATTTTTGATACAATTCCATTCTATTTTCTATTGTTTTACTTACTCATTAGTGCACAGCGATCCAAGAGCCATCTTCCAGCATTTTATTTGATTTTCGGTGATCGCATGAATCTAAAAGGTTAAATTTTGATTTTAAATAAACTGTAACATGTGAATGTGTTGCTTCACAGATTATCCGTGAATAGAAACTATTCAGTAGTGAACTTATGCAATATTTGATTGATTCTACGTCTCACCTTGGCTACAGTCGATGGGAAAAGTGGATCTGGATGCACTTGAGAGGACGCTGCTGAGGCTCCACACATCAAGAAGTAGATCTACAATCGGAAAAGTACAAATTTTAGGTTATAAATATTATTGTACTTGTTATACTATGTACAAAAAAAAAGTAATCACTCTATACCTCAAGATCAAGTGGATATAACTTTCGCCCATCGGCTGATGTGTTCCGTGGAGATGAGGGAAGGACTTTAATGCTCTTGAACCACTCGTGAACAGCTGAATATTTGAAAATAGAAATAAATTCGTTTTAAATAGCTATTGAATTAGATCACTGAATATTTAGAGATTTTACCACTCCAAATCTGATCCTCGAAACAGGCCAACCAGCTAACACGTGTCAGGAAATCTCGATCTTCTCGCATTCGCCAAAGTTCTGAAAAAGATTTAAAGTCAATAAAATCAATAAAATCAAGTCAATAAAATAAAAATCAAGTTTTTTACTAAAAAATTTTACCAGCAACGCATTCATTAAGGAACTCGGTGTCGAGTTGCACAGTAGTTCCACTGAAATCATCGAAGAGAGTGGATGAGGCTGGCTTGGGGAGATCAAAGCTCACCCAAAGCTCGGCTAATAGCTAAATGCTTTGTAATTGTTTTTCTTTAGAAAACTGACATCTTCGTTTAGTAATGTATCGACTTCATCGCTGATTTCATACTGAGGAAGGTATTGATTGAGCAAAACGTTCGCTTCGAGCAGCTCGAGAGCGGCGATCGTCTGAAAAGAGAATTATTGGATAAAATTGGTCTATTGGATAAAATTGCTTTCATTAGCTAGCTTTAGAATAGAATTCCTGGTGTAGTTTGTGCTCTAATTATATTGGGTTGTCCAGTTATGAATGCGCGTTTTTACTATTTTGTAAATTTCTCAAGATATCGAACAGATGTATATGAGTGTTATATATCATTCGAAAGCTGAAGATCTCCTCTACATTTTGGAATAAAAAAGTTTTTGAATTCATTCAACTTTTTGGGAATTTGACTGCACAAAGGGAGAGGTCGCTTTCGAAAAAAACCCATTCCAGCTTAGCTATTCCTCAAGTTTTATGGTGTAAAATAACCGCCCAGAAAAGAAAAGAAAAGTAAAGATGCTCTGAAATTGTTATATTTAAAGAAAAGTTGTATTGATATATCTATTGGCCAAACATCAAACGGTTAACTCAATTTGAGCGAAGCCAAAACTTGATCCAAAGGCACCCTTCCATTTTTTGACCACCTCTTCTTCTGTGCAGTCAATTTGCCCAAAAGTTGAACAAATTCAAAAACTTTTTATATCAAAACGTAGAGGAGATCTTCAGCTTTCGAATAATACTCATATATATCTTTTTCTTGCTTTCGGTATCTTGAGAAATTTACAAAATAGTAAAAAACGCGCATTCATAACTGGACAACCCAATACTTCCAAAAACATCTTTATTGCTCACTTTGGCAAGCGATTGTTAAATAAGTGCATTGTAAAGTCAGAACTATCAGAAAATTGTAAAGTTTTCTTTAGATATCTCTATTTCATAGTTTTACTTACTTTCAAATCATCTATAACTTTCGAATAAGCTGACTCAAAGTAGATAATCGATAGCTTGAGAAGAGCGCATGTCAAGATCATCAATTGAATGTCGGTGACTGGGTTCTGGAGGAAATATAATAAAAGATATACTAATAGAATCCTTTAAATAACCTTGATTTGCTTTGAAATAGTAATGTCGGCAGCTCGTCGAAGGAAAAGGCCTTTAGAATAGAAATCGCTCTCCAGTGAGAGCTCGTTTTGGTGATTCTTCAACAAGGTCTTCCAGCTGAAAAAAAAAACATTATCATATTACCATAAGTTATGCAAAAACTGTATTGAAATATAAATCTAATGAAATATAAATATAATGAAATATAAATCTAATGAAATATAAATATAATGAAATATAAATATAATGAAATATAAATATACCGTATTTCTTCGAATAGAAGACCGGGTAAAGTGTATCATCGCGTACTCTACTATTTAATCATTTGAATCATTAATGTTACTACTATTTAATCATTTGAATTTTTAAAACGCTTCGAAAACGTGTCACCTTTGAAAGCTAGCTTTACTTTTCTGATAGTTCTGACTTTACAATGCACTTATTTAACAATCGCTTGCCAAAGTGAGCAATAAAGATGCTTTTGGAAGTATAATTAGAGCACAAACTACACCAGGAATTCTATTCTAAAGCTAGCTAATGAAAGCAATTTTTCATTTTGGTAATCGTCTTACGGTTAGTGAGAAGAAAATTTCAAATTTCAAATCTCAAAAATCACTTTTTGAAGAAGAAAAATTTAAATGATTTAAATGAATCTAAATGAATTTAAATGAAAATGAAAATGAAAATGAAATTGAAATTGAAAATAAATACTCACTTAATTAAATATATCTAAAAGACAGAAAGCGAATATCTTTCTAGATTTCATTTTTAGAAATCTCAAATCATTCAAAATTAAGCTTTCTAAATATTTTGCTTTCTTTTTTGCACTTCTTCATTTCGTATTTGAACAAAATAACTTCAATTTCAACTTCATTTGAAACAAAATAACTACCGTATTTCTTCGAATAGAAGACCGGGTAAAGAGTATGATCGCGTACTCCTGCGTAGCAGCCCTTTTTAAAATTTCTTTTCTGCATAAAAGCTTTCAGTGAAGGGCTATAGGGCTGGAAAATGACTCAAAAATCTGTTAGCTCATGTGGTATTTTTGGAGTCATTTTCCAGCCCTATAGCACTTCATTGAAAGCTTTTATGCAGAAAAGAAATTTTAAAAAGGGCTGCTACGCAGGAGTACGCGATCATACTCTTTACCCGGTCTTCTATTCGAAGAAATACGGTAATGAAATATAAATCTAATGAAATATAAATATAATGAAATATAACTGACTTTTGCAGCACGACAACCGGTTTGTTAAACCCGGGTGGGCAAGTGCCGAGGTGACGTAAAATCTCGGCATTGTAGCAAAAGGAGAGAACGAGGAAATGCTTCTCATCAAGCATTTTGAGGCTCTAAAATGAATAGACTAAATTTTTCGATATCTAATTTTCATGTTAATTGTGATAACCAGTTAGCCTTACTAACTTAGCCTATTAGGCTTGTAAAACTCTAGCAGGCCAGACCAGAGAGGTTATCATTGTCAATTTTCAATTTAAACTCACCAGTTTATTGATCTTTTCTTGTATCCATGTTTCTTCTTTAAAACGACCATCAAAAAGAGATATTGATGGAGTATTGATGGCCATTTCTGCAATAAAAAAGTGTTTATGAAAATTGAAAGCTTGAAACGAAACAAGAATAGAATCGGTTAAGAGCGTTTAAAGATTAACTCAACAAGAGATGACAGGAATTGTTAAAAAGATTAACTCAACAAGAGATGAAAGGAATTTATGTTCACAAAAAATGGTTCCCCAGGGATTTGGCTCATTTCTCAGGCCGGGGGATGGGAGGGGGGGGGGGGGGGGGGAGAAAAAGAAAAAAAATAAAAAAAAGGGAATTGTTAAAAAGTAAAAGATAATTGGTAAAGACAAAAGTTTATGATAATTATGATAATTTTATTTTGATAGATAATTGCAATGTAAATGAAATAGAATAGAATTGCGGGGGGGGCAATTCTATAAATAGAATTGCAAATGATAATTTTCCATTTGCCATTGGGAAAATGAAATCAATTTTTTTTGATATTCAGTTCAACGAATAACTGAATTTGTTTTTTTCTAGAATTTCGTTAAATCGTTAAATTTTTCTTTTGTATTTGAAATCTCGTAGACAGATGCGATTTGAATTTTTCTCTTCTGCGTTAAATGAATGCAAAGAGAGTGCACTGGAAAGTGTCTACAGTTTTGCTTTGTAGTCGACGATTTTCATTTGAATGCCATCCAAATATCCAATGTTTTGTTTTATTAATCATAAGCTGAATAAATAGAGAAATTTTTTTCAAGCTCTAAAAACATTCCAAAGATGTGAAGATGAAAGTTTTTGACTTTTCCCCGTCGACTCAATCGACTCAATCGAATTTTTCGATCAAAAACGTCGTTATCTTCATGTTTTCATTGGGTAAGTGAGTAAATTTCATTTTCAAATATCATTTTATTTATTTCATATTTTAATTTCCGGTTTTCTTTATGTGGTGGCAACTTTTTTGCTATCGAAAAATCTCCCGGAAGGGATCGAGGATCAAAGTTTAAGTGGACAGGGTTTCAGGTGAGATTTGCGAATTTGAAATTGAAATGAATATTGTAAAACAAATTGTAAAAACAAAACAAACTATTACAGTAAAGATTACACTTGAACATTAGCTTAATAGATAGCTTGAAAGATTGCTAGCTTGAAAGCTATAAATCTGAAAATTTAGTGAGTTCGACATTGACGACTTTGACTGCAATGGATACTCGATGGATTCAAGGATTGAGACGCAGAAAAGGATACTGGAATCGGTAAAGGGTTTAAAAGCAGTTTAAAAACAGACTAAGCTACTTATTTCATATTATACTATGTATTTTAGTACTACAATTTCTAGATCAGAGCTGAGATTCACACACAAGCACGAGAGCTCGATCAGATCACGACAAAGTACGACACTCTATCGAAATCGATCGTCGATAAAAGTAGGATCTAATAATTTTTGAGGAATTGGAAAAAAATAAAAGAGCAATTTTAGAAAATGAACTCGACGGAATTGAGCTCGAGATCGAGGTGGCTCGTCGAGAGTTGCATGATTGGAGCGATAAACGAAATGTTCGCGTCTCGTTGCCCCATTCACCGCTCGAGACACCGAAATTGGAGAAAATCGCTCACAGTCTTTCAAGTCAATCATTTCATTCATTGGAAGAAGCTGTAGATTTTAGGTTTGTTTAAAAGGAGTTAGAGTTAAACTTGAATGACCCTTGTTTCAGCCGTTGCTCGATCACAAAATTCTTACGGATTTACGTTTACCCACTCACCATCGAATCTCCATTGATAAAACGATATTTTGATGAGTTAACGAAGCTGGATGCGTACACAAATGATCCACAAATCGCTTGCTTTTATGTGATTTTGATTGAAAATGATTTGAAAGAAGTTTGTGCAAGAGTTGCTTCTTAAATGAATGTTAAATGGGTCATTTATTTCAGGAAAGTTACGAATTTTGGAATGGTGATGGGAGAAATCATTTGGTAATCAATGTTGGAAAGAAATGGCTACAAGAACAACGAAATGCAGCAGTATTGGTGCAAGGGTTCAGGTAAGAATTTGAGCACAATAGAACAAAGGTTAATATTGTAAAAATGATCGAAAATGGTGACTAGTTTGAATTGGAGTTTGTCAAACGATTTGTTTTCTTATCCAGATCTGTAGCTTTACAATTTTCAGTCAATCCAGCAATCGCCTATTGCGGCTGGTTCACTTGGACGTGCCAGAAGTCTTCGATTGGTCTATTCATCCCCCATTGCAGCCCTACAATCGAAAATTCTTGCTAAACATGTTTTCAACAAGTCAAACGCTTAGTAAAAGTCTTTTAACACTTGAAGAATCGACTAAAAACTCAATGGATAATGTGGGTTTGAGAAAGAAAGATAAAACGAATAAGTTTAGGTGGTTTTGTTTGATTGCACGAGGAATCCGAGCGCTTGTCAGGATAAAGAATTGAGAGGTGGGATTTCGTAATCATTTCAGCTTATAAAAATATTTTAGAACAAACGATTGAGACATCAATTTTCACGATTTTGAATTTAAATGAGAATTTCTATGAGGAACTTTGGGCGACTCTTTCAAAAGGATCCATTCCAGTGGTGCTCTCATTAGATGTTCGGTTACCATTTGAAGGTGAAAGTTGTAAAAAATGATAAAACTAAAACAACTTATAGCTAGAGAAATCCAGGACAACAAAAGATTGTAGCTGTACTAAAAAAAAATTCAGACTGTATCGATTGGAGAGAAGTCACCATTCGAATCCCGATCTCTCGTTTCCCTGAGATTCACTTTATCTTGCGATCGATTCCCACAAAAGAGGTATTTAAAGTAAAAATTTTTAGTAATGGTCTAGTTATAGGTGATTCAATTGCGATTGAATGGGAGAAAGACTTTTGAGCACTACATTGGGAACATTAAGGGTAGGTGATGAAAAGAAGAAAGTGATGCAAGAAAGGTTTCAGCTATTTGTTCAACGATTCTCGCTTGTTTGGCGAATCAATTGATGTTACCACCATTACCAGCTAGACAAGAAAGATCAATTCCTCTATTTGGGGAGGGCTATTCGGCACCATATCAAATCCCAATCAATCAACCGAATCGATTAGCGGAAGAGGAATATTTGGGTGGGGAAAACAAGAATACTGAGTTGAATTGATTATGGCATTAGAATTGATTATTAGAATTGATTATTAGAATTGATTATTAGAATTGATTAAAATTGAGAAATGATTATGGGTTGGGTGTTTTAAAACTTATTTCCAGGTCCGTTGGAGGGTCGAATCGAATCGCCGAAATTCGAGCATAATTTCACGTCGATTCAACTGGTAAGGGGGAAAGAAAAATAGGTTTATCTTGAGAAAATTTGTTTCTATACAACAAGAAATTCATATTCCGAAGAATAACAAAACTATTTAGTATGCCAAAGATGTTTGGTCTTGTGGTTTATCGCCATTGCACGCGCCTGAGTTCTTGCCATTTAGTGTCAGTCTACCGTATTTGAAAATCACCGACGTCGACACTGGATTGGGTTTGTTTTTAAGGCTTTGAGAAGTTTATTTTGTTTATTTTAAGTTTCGCAATTGGGAAATTCTAATTTTCATTTGAAAATTCGGGAGTGGGACAAATGCGACCTTTTTTTTGCGCACCCGGACATTTGCGCACCTTTTTTTCCGCACCTTGCCCATTAGCGCACCTTTTTTCGCGTTTCGTTTTTAAAAAAAGCTCTAAAAAGCTAATATTAACCAATTTCTATTCCAAAAGTTGTTTTTCTAGGTAATTTGAGGGCATAGAATCGAAATGTTGACATAACAGAGCGTGTGGAACCAATTTGAAAGACAAAATCAAATCGGCTAGATCAAATTACAGAAAATTGTCGATTTTTCTCTTTGTATAACTCCGTCCGTTTGTTTCCACAAGCTCTGTTATGTCAAAATTTCGATTCTATGCCCTAAAATTACCTAGAAAAACAACATTTGGAATAGAAATTGGTTAATATTCGCTTTTTAGAGCTTTTTTAAAACGCGAAAAAAGGTGCGCTAATGGGCAAGGTGCGGAAAAAAAGGTGCGCAAATGTCCGGGTGCGCAAAAAAAAGTTTTTGTCATTTGTCCCACTCCCGAAAATTCATTGCTTTTAGAAATGCTAATTTTCAGGACTTCGACCAATAGCTCCTGGCTCCGGCAAAGAATTTAAAGAGGCGCTTGGCGGGAATTATGGAAGAGAGGATTTTACAAGTACAAATTAATAATAAGGGTTTTTTAAAATGAAAATATTCAGTTGTAATACCCACCTACAATCGGGACAATGTTTTGGAGGAGACGTTGAAGAAATTGCATCGTTTGAAGAATCTCAATAAAGTACTGTAAGCCACTAGCTTTAGTTAAACAAAAGATAAAAAGATATTCAGTTTCCACGACTGAATATCTTTTTCTTCAGTCTGCTGCAGTGCGCGAGTTATTTTTTAAGAATTCAGAGTAATTTCAGGTAGTGGTGATCTGGAACTCGGTTGATAGAGAACCTCCAACCTCTTGGCCACTTCTACATGTGCCTGTCGAGTAAGTCGTAACTTTGGGAGAGATACTGACTTTTAGTTCTATGATCTATATTCTAGCTCTTTGGAAGTTAAACCTTGTAGAGTACTGTACTACTGTACTATACAAATATTAGACTGTCCAGAAAGTTTTCTCGTTTCTTTTCATACTTTCGTTTACATTGCGTTTACAACCAAACAAATGTACTGATTGAACTACTGTTTGTTTCATTAGGAAGGCTAATTATTATAATATTGTAAAAATGATCGAAAATGGTGACTAGTTTGGATTGAAGTTCGCCAGCAATTTGATTTCTTATCCAGATCACATCTGTAGCTTTACAATTTTCAGTCAATCCAGCAATCCCCTATTGCGGCCAGCAATCCCCTATTGCGGCCAGCAATCCCCTATTGCGGCCAGCAATCCCCTATTGCGGTCAGCAATCCCCTATTGCGGTCAGCAATCCCCTATTGCGGTCAGCAATCCCCTATTGCGGTCAGCAATCCCCTATTGCGGTCAGCAATCCCCTATTGCGGTCAGCAATCCCCTATTGCGGTCAGCAATCCCCTATTGCGGTCAGCAATCCCCTATTGCGGTCAGCAATCCCCTATTGCGGTCAGCAATCCCCTATTGCGGTCAGCAATCCAGAAAGTCTTTTCGTTTCTTTTCATACTTTCGTTTAAAACCAACAAATGTACTAATTGAACTACTATTTGTTTCATTAGAAAGTCTAATTATTTTTCTGCAAAATAACATTAAAACGAGTTTAAAATGTCTTATGTCTGGATTTTTTTGGAAGCGTAAAGTCGAGTAGTCAAAAAGGGCGACGCCTCGATGATCTCAATTTAGACACTTTGGGCTAAGGAAACCTATCTTTGTGTCCATAGATAAAAGATTGAGCATAAAAAGTTAGAAATATAGCTAAATTTACAGAGAAATTGATTCAACCAATTTCTTCGTAGAGGTTTTTATAGATTTTTTTTACGAAAAACAAGTTTTCACTCTCGAATTTGCTTGAAAGTGAGCTCAAATCAGATTTTTAAAAATGGGAAATTGAACAATTAACACTTTTTATTTAAAGTAAAGCATATGTTAATTGGGGAATTTGTTATTTTTCAACGAAAGTATGAAAAGAAAAGGCTTTCTGGATAGCCTAGTGTCCTTGTAACGGTATTTTGCAGAGTATAATACTCTGCAAAATACCAAAATGCAAAATAAGATAATATGCTACATAGACTATCGAAAAACTTAGATTCATCAAACCAAACAAGAACAGTCTCAACAATCGCTTCATGCCTTGGGACCGAATCAATACAGAGGCTGTGCTGTCAATGGATGATGACATCGATATTCGAAAAGACGAGATCGACTTGGCTTTTCGGTAGAGATTCAAATTTTGCATTCAAATTTCAAAAGTTGATTAAATTTCAGAATATGGAGAGAAAACCGAGATCGAATCGTTGGATTCCCGGCTCGTTTCCACGCAGAATTCGGCGACAATCTGTTTTACAACAGCAACAAGACATGTCAATACAGCATGATCTTGACAGGATACGCTTTTCTGAATAAGGTTTGGCAGGGAATTGATGTTTTGAGTTGAAATATTTTAGGCTTATCTACACATGTATTCGAAAATGATGCACGAAGATGTGAGGAGACATGTGGATGAAGGTGAGTAAAGGCTTTGAATCGGTACTTGTGGAGTATCCGGGGGGGTCTTTCAATATCCGGGGTGGTAAAATTTTAAGATTCGGGGTAAACAAGATGCACGAGTAATGCAAGAACATAAACATATAATGTATAAAATTTTAGTGATGAATTGCGAGGATATAGCCATGAATTTCTTGGTCTCTTCGATCACGCAAAAGCCGCCGCTTAAAGTGACCACAAAGTGGACGTTGAGGTAAGTTAAATGACAAATCTGACAACGGCTAAATGATGAATTACTATAGTACTTAAAAATACGATAGTACATAATACATGAAGTACTATAGTACATGTAATATACTGTAAAAAAAAAAGTGACGTCAATAACAATACTAACATTTTAGATGTCCAAATTGCAGTGAAAAGCTTTCCGACGACGAGTCTCATTTCAACGAACGACACGAGTGCATAAGACTTTTTACAAAAATCTTTGGTTACAATCCATTAAAGTAAGAAATTTGAATAAAATTTTAAGCATTTACAATTTTAGAAATTCCCAATATCGAGCCGATTCGGTGCTTTTCAAGACACGGGTTGAGGGAACCGCTCAAAAATGTTACAATGCTGTGTAGTGGATAGAGTAATGCAAAATAGAAACACTTATTAGGCTGAATATCTTTAGTTGAACAAAGAAATTAAAGCGTTTACTGTAATTATATTTTGCATTACTCTATAGGAAAGAAGTTTACTGTAAATGAGCTTTTTTTATTTTCGATTTCTGACATGTGATACCGGTGATTTGATTATGGTAGCTTATTGAGATTTTTATGTGTGATTTGGGCTTTATAAAATATGGGTAAAAGTTGAGAAAATGATTGCCATTTTATGCTTATGAATATGAAAATGCTCAGCAAATAAAATTTTGTGTGCCTTGTGGGAATTGTTGACTAGATTGGGTTGTTGACCGAGAAATACTGATGATAATACTTAAAAGTGCTTTGAAGACTTTAGTATGATGGAAATTTAGGATGAAGGTTGAGATCAAAGAAGAAGAGCTCCTCGAAGAACCGTCTTCATCATTGACGCTTATCGATGAGGGGATCATGGGTTTGAAAACAGAATTCGAAGAGGAGATACAATATCAAGAACTTGACGATCTGATTGATGATGACGAAGATCTACCTGGAACCAGCCAAGAACAAGAACTCTTCCTATCTCTTGATCCGATGAAAAACTCCAAGAATGAACTAATTCCTGAAGAAGTCAATGGTAAAAAGAAAACCAAAAAAACTCGGACAATAAAACAACCTCGTTACCATAAAACGCGAGGGAAATGCCCACCGGATATGTCGAAAAACGCTTATTACTATCAACGATTGAAAGATCGAATGTCGGCAGAAGAATGGGCGATGAGACTACAGAAACAACGAGATCGACGCCAACAATTGACTCCAGAAATGAAAGAAGAAATATTGAGAAAGTCGAGAGAAAGGAGAAAGGAATTGAAAGCACAGCAGACACCTGAACAGAAAGCAGAAGAAGCGGCAAAGATATCGGCAAGGAAAGCACGTTTGTTGTCAAATCCGGAGAAACGGGAAAAGTACAGAGATATTGCGAGAAAGCATTATTTGAAAAGAGTTAAGGTTGAGACGGAAGAAGACAAAAATTTGAGGCGAAAGAGAGCGGCCGAGTTCAAGAGGAATCGAGTTAAAACTGAAACGCCCGAAGAACGAGAGCTTCGATTGTTGAAACTCCGATTGGGTGCACAGAAACGGTATGCTAGGCTTCGATTGGAGAAAGAGCTTTTGAAAGAGACGGAGGAAATCTTGGAGTTTGATGAGAGTAAACCGGGAAGTTCAAATTGTTCAACTGATGTATAGCTTTTAAAGCATACTATATTCATCATACACATCAATAGCTCTTAAAAATAAATCGCTACTGTTAGCCTTTGCGATCAAAATTTGTTATTGAAATAATCCCCAACTATCCCTGGGTATGGTAGTTGCTGTTTTTATTGATTTTGTCATGTCTTACATAATAAACTTTTCTTCCTTGCCCTTTTGAAAAGCCCACTCTGGTTGGAAACCCTTTTTACTTACCAATTTTAAAATTCAAAATATTCAGCAAATAATACTGAATATCTTTAAGGTCTACATCCGATTATACTTTTGTAGTACCGCCGCCAAGTGTTCCTAAAGCTCGAGGGGGAAAAGAATACGAAGCATTTCAGTATCAAAAAGTGTCCCCATATAGGGACACTTGAGGGTGGTACTTCAAAAGTATATATTCGCTATGAATAAAGGTTTTGTAAAGGAAAGCCATTGTTGACTTGCGAGGTTTTGGTGACACATTGTTCCTCCTTTTCCTATTTTTTAAACATTAGCTATTTGAAAACTTATTCGTTTGCCACTTTGACAAATACCTAGAACGATAGCAACTATCCCGATCTGCCATTACTTTCAGTTTTTCTTCGTTTCTATTTTTGTCAAGGTAGCATTTGTAAATTTAGACGTAATGGATCAGCCATCGAGTTCTGGCTATAGCGATGCCTATGCGAATTTGGCACCGATGAGAATACGATCGGAATCGGTTCGATCGACTGTTGCTGGATGTGAGTTTTTGATTGTGATTTCAGTGATTTCAGTGCGAAGATAAGTCAAAAAAGTAAAACTGCTTGGGGTTGCGCTTTATATTTTTGGCGTGAATAGAGTAACAATAATAGCAACTTGCTAGATTTCACTGTTACTAACTTTTTAGATTTCGAACAACAAATGATGCAAGGCGATGGCAGTGGTGATGCGGAGTTGTCTCAGGACATAAATGGTTAGTTGTTACGTTGCTGGGCTAAGAATTTTGTCTTTTTGCAGAATCAACTGGTCCCCAATCCGAGTACGACTTAGCATTGGAACGTTTCATGCGAAATGAAATTGATTACGATGAGTTTATGAAATTGACAGGTATATTTAGTGGATTTCTATGAGTAAATAAAATATAAATTTTTTAGGCGGAATGCAACTAGGCGACGAAGAATTGGAGAATAACGTGACTTTTGATGATCACGAAGATGGTAAATTTGGTGGCGCATTGCGAATAAAAATTAATTTTAGGCTACGACGAGGAGGTTGACGATGATGAGTTGTTAATCAAGCCAGAAGCATTATTGTCTGCCGCAAAGGTAAAAGGAAGCTACTTTCATTTGTATCATTGATTAGAAACCTGCCCTAACTGGTCAAGAAGAAGGCAACATCCCAGCAGAAACGAGAAATTTGGTACGCGAGTTGATCACGGATGAACTGGGGACTGGCGTTGCCAAGTGAGTTTGATTGTTTTATTCAGTAATAAGTGTTTTAAAGCCAGTAAACATTTTGATTTACTTTGATTTTAGACCACCAACTCAATCGACACCCCGTCCCAGGAAACTAAACGCTGCCTTAGATTCTTTGCTTGGCCAAGCAAATCTTTCCTATGCTCGAGGACAAACACAACATGCTTTGGACATGTTGCTTGAGGTGATTTTTAAAGAACTTTGCTTTATTACTAAATTTTAGGTTATCAAACAAGAACCTAGACACCCCGAATCTTACCGACAAGTCAGTGAAATCTATCGAGAACTGAATCAGCCACACAGGTTGGCTCTATTTTAAAGCTAAATTTAATTCTTTCATTAGATCTTTACATTACGGCCTACTTGCTGCACATCTTGACTATCACACTCCGGCCGGCGAATGGTCTCATCTCGGAGACTTATCGAGTCGACTGGAGAAATACGAGGAGTCAGCTGCATGTTATGGAAGAGGTAAAATGTAGGTTGTGGAAATTGATTGCATAAACAAGCTTAGCTATTCGACTTGAGCCGAACAACTGGAAAGATTACGAAAAGAGGATCGCCACACTGGACATGCTCGGTAGACTCGTAGTGTATTGTTTGTAATTCTCAATTTAGGCATGCGGTCCTTATCGATGAAAACCCGTCTTCAAGCAGCTCAAATGATTGATCATTCGACAGCCAACGTCGATTTCGAGTGGTTTTCAAAATTAATCAAAACGGTATTGTTTCTATTTTTATATAGACTACACATACTTTAGGTCGCTGAATATTACATTAGCATCAATGACGAGGATAAAGCCATTCAAGCGCTTGAGGCATATGTTTTGAGGAGTAAACTATTTGGACGAGAAGCTGAGTCACAACATGAAACATTGATAAGTTGTGTTGGACTTCAAAATCTGGCTAATATCTTATTTAGAAATGTGGATGGCAAAGGATAAATTCGGTGAAGCTGCCAAATCAATATTAGCTTTGTGCTCTGGAATCGAGACAAAAAACCCCGATGGATCATCGGCAGTTACGGTTGGTTAGGATTTTGGAAAAAATTTGTGATTTTTCTTATAATTTAAGATTATTTTTAGGTAACTTTCAAAAACGGGACGTTTACAATCGAGCCTTATCCGCCTCCAGCTTCGATATATTTTGAAGTACAATATTTATTTAATATTAACGTTATTTGATGTTTTAGATTGAAGACTCGGTGTCAATGAATATACTTTGTCGCTTGTGCGTCTGCTTGATCAAAAGCAACAATAAAAATTTAGCACAGGTAACTTTTAATTAAGGTTTTAAATCTAATCTTGTTTAGGAGGCCATTCCATTTTTATTACGGCGATCATTCAACACTCGAGAAGCCGAAGAATTAACGTTGGACATTGCCAGAGCTTATGCTCAAATTACTGCTCATCCAGCAGCAAGAAGGTTTATCGTAATCATTTGGCTATCTTTATCAAGTTTATAGGTTTCTCGAGCAATTGTTAGATTTGGGTCAGTTTGCACATTGTGCTAATCTATGGTTTTTGCTTGGAAATGCGTTGATGGTAAGGTTTACCCTTGAGAAAAAATAGCTTCTGCTTTTAGCAACTGGAAGAAAATCAAAAGGCAATGGAAGCTTACGAAAAAGTTTTGGAGTTGAACTCTTCACATGTGGACGCAAGAATCAATCTCTCGGGTAGATACTATAGTTATTTTATTTTACTTGTTATATGCAGGTTTACAACAACGAATCGGCTTAAGTGATCGAGCTCTTGAGACCCTACGAGATTACGATTTGGATACATGCACTTATTTACCGGTAAGAGGGTCTTATCGTTATTTATAAACTACTTTTTAGGATGAACGCTTGCTTATTCGACAAGTTGATGTTTTGTTCGACCAAGGACGGTAAAGGAAAGTTTTATTTTGTGGAAAAATTTTTATTTAGTTACGAACAATTTATTCGGTGTGCTCGAATGCTGCTAACGCCATATTTCTGTAGGTTTTTGTTTGTTTAATGATTTGAATTTTATGTTCAGATGAGGTTTATGCTCGACCCGAGTTATTCGCAAAGCGTAAAAGTGGGCCACATAAAGGCACAGGTTATTTAAGGTTTAAAACACGGTTTAATTACTTGTTTCAAGCATTTGCAATTTCAAACACACTTTGTTCGCATGCATTGACAGCACTCCGAAATACGCCTCTTGAGAAATTTGTGAAACGGCTTGGTTCGATTGCAATCGCTGATGGACGAACTGTTGATGGATTAACGGCTGTACAAGTGAGCTCGAGCCAATTTTTCTAAATTACTTTTATTTATTTAGTTACACGATTACTCTCTTCGCTTAATTGAGCAATTGGAAGTACTTGGCCGTTATCAGGATATGCTTGGCGTGTGTTGCTACGCTTTTTTGCAGCCAAAAATCCAGAAAACATCTAGGTAATTTTTTTCTCGAAAAGTCGTCTTTTTATCAGTTAATTTTAATAATTGCCAAAGTTATTGTTTTTTAGTACTGAGAACTTCAAAAGCATCCTCTTTTACTGTGCTATCAAAGCAGAAAACTGGTTACTTGGTTTTGAGTATGTTCGTTGGCTGCACACAAGTGTAATTGTAAGTGGAGTTTTTTTTTATTAAACTGTTCAATCTTTAGCAAAGCGCCGGCGACTTTCCGCCAAATCACCGAGAGGTTTTGTTTCGAAGAATCTTCAACGCTATGAACTACATCTTCTGTCATTCGCAACAAGTTTCATATCATAGGTAATGCAACGTTTTGATTCTAAACTTTTATTATTAGGTATATCATGCGATCTTTGGCAAAATCTTCGGGAAATCATGCTTTACAAACAATCAGCGGAAACAATTCTCTTATCACTGGAACATATAGACATGCATTATGTAAGTGTGTCAATTGCACTTTAAAATATATGTATTTCAGGTGAATATTTCAAAGTCTGGTCGGACAACAGGAATAATGCCTTGATTTGTTTCTTAATTGGTCTAACGTTCATTCACATGTCCTGCAAGAAAGATTTGAGTAGCAGACACATGGTTGCATTAAGAGTATGGTTTTGATTGTGGTGGTAAATTATTTAGGCTTTTAGGGATTGGCCTTTGTAAAACGTTACGAGAAAATGCGAACCGTGCGACAAGAAGTTTATTACAATTTGGGACGGATGCTCCATCAGCTGAGCATCACACCGTTGGCGATTCATTTCTACAAATTGGTGAAAATTTTTAAATTTGCTTAATTATTGTTCTTTCAGGCATTAGCAGAACCGTCGCCGGTGATTGTAACTTATGATGAAGACGGGAATGAACATTTGGAATGTTTGGACAAGTACAGTTATCTCGACAAAACAATTTTTATGGATTTTTTTTAGGTATGATCTACGGCACTTCGCCGCGCACAATCTTGTCCTTATTTACCGAGCGAGCGGCAACGACATACTGGCAAGAAATATATATCAAAAATATTGCATTGTGTAAAACACTTTGATTATAATTTTTATCTTAAATTTTAATACTAACCGATCTCGTCATTGTCATTACCTTATTTTATTTACACTTAAACTTTTCTATCTAAAAATCTAAACTTTGTTGCTTTTTTTGTTGATAATAACTTTGTTAAATAAATGTTTATCGATTGCGTACAGAGATCAATCTATTGGTTTCAGCTTTTCATTATCAAAATGAGTTGTTAAACATGTATTATCGTAAATTGCAGTATTTAGATGTTTGTTTTGTCGGAAATGCGGGATATCGTCTCTATCTTGCCACATCAGCTAAAGAATGATTTAAAGAGTGTAAGTTTATTTATATTGGTTGTAAAAGTCGAGGCAGTTGAGAAAGTAAGTCGGCGTAAATTTAATCATAAACACGAGCGGTGTTTTGCTTAAATTTATTGTACGTCGGTCACCTGTAATTTTATGAACTTTAGGTGATAACGCTGAAGCTGAATAAGCGCTTTGCCAACAAGGTGATCATCGATCTTGGATTATGCATTTGTCTCTTTGATTTGATCGAAATTGGGGACACGTATCTTTTACCTGGAGATGGACGCGGGCACATAAAAGTGAAGGTATGATGTAATGTTACTTACGTAAAATGTTGTTTTTTAGTTCCGTTTCATCGTATTTCGGCCATTTGTCGAGGAAATCATCGAGGCCAAAGTCATCGCTTCTTCGAAAGTAAATCTTTGAGATGTTACTCTGCAAAAAATAAGTTTTAGTTGGGATTAACTCTATCGGTGAACTTCTTTGAAGATATCTTTATACCTGCACACAGTTTGCCAGCCCCTCACGTATTTGAAGAAAACGAACAGGTGGCTTTCGATTAATTCAACTCGCTTTTATTTGCTTTGTTATTATGTTTTGTTTAGTTATGGTATTGGGAATATCAACAAGAGGACGATGAGCCACCGGCAAAACTATACTTGGATCCGGGAAAAGTCGTACGATTTAGAGTGGTGGAGAACATTTTTAAGTAAGTGTTAAGAAAATTGCCTCGTTTATTTGAATTTTAGAGATATTAAACCAGACTTGAGCGACGAGGAAGCGAAAAAGCAAAAGTCTTTCGAAGTAAATTCCTAAATTGCAACGTGCATAATTGTTGATTTGTAGATCATTGGTTCGATGTCAGAAACAGGTCTTGGCTGTACATCGTGGTGGACCCAAGGAGGAGAGGAAGAAGAGGATGATCAAATGGAAGAATGATATTAAAGCGATAAATTTTACTTTTTGGTTGTTTCCTTTTAAATTACAGTACTTAGTCATGTACCATTGTTGTTTTGTACATTTGGGGGTGGCTAGTTGCGCAAAGTAGCCACCCCTGTACATTTGTTACTTTTATGGTTTTTTACTTTTTGTGTTGATTTTATGGTAATTTATTGGTCTAATACATTTTCTTATCACATTTTCAAAAATCACGAATGATTTGTGGCTTGTAGTCGGGTTTGGCGGCTTCGGTGAACGAACGAGCGTATAAGTCGAGACGTTGGGTCATCTAGAATGTATTTTTGATATGGGTCTTCATTAAGGATTTACTCTGAATCCCCAGTGATCTTTGACTTGTCTGCATTGATTTAGATCGACTTCAGTGATCAACACTCCATCTTTTGTTCGAGAAAGTGACTGACATTAGATTCATTAGGTTTAGCTTTGATTACTGTTTATCATTGACCAACCGGGGTTCTTGAACCATCGGGGCATGCCACGTAGCTGCTTCCGTAAAAGTGACCAAAGTCTTTGTGGGCTAAATATTATTTGTTTTTACCGAACTTGTCTGGACATACCTGGCAACCCGTTTCCAGAAGTGAACTCATTAGGGAAAGCCTCGGTTCCGACACGATTGATGCCTACCGTGAAACAATGATTGGCAATCGCTGCGTTTCTTGCCTCGATACCCCAAAGAGGCTCACTGAAAAGGGTTATGGTTGTAGAACTTTTTGAATTGTGATTTTATGGAAAGTTACCGTAGTAATTCAAGAGATTGAGACTTTACAGTAGTTTTTAGCAAATCAGATTGGCAATACTTTGCCTCACCTCAATCCTCCGACAGTGGCCGATGGGTTGAAAATTATCTCTGCACCGTTCAACGCGTACATCATCCAATTTCTAAACTCGTAAAAATTTATTGATAGCATGAATCCACAATGAAATGTGATACATTGAACACATACTGTGGATGGTGACGTCCATAGCAAATGTTGATACCGAATTTGCCTAGAAGTGGAGTATGTGAGGAAATTGACTTGAGAAACTTTACCAAAAGCCGTATCGAAAACTGGATGTCCCAATTGAGACTCCATGTAATAAGTACTCTGAATTTAAAAAAGTTTAAAAGATTCGAATAAACCTTAAACCTCGTTAAAGTCGCCGACACGGGGAATATGGTTCTTTCGCGATTTTCCGATCACATGTCCCTTGTTTGAGATGACAACCTGAAAAATTTGGAGATTTGTTAGTTTAGGACTTTCCTAGGAAAAATCAGATGAATAATCAGAATATACTTGATTGTCCACTGTAATCTTTGATGTCTAACTAATGAAAAACTTACAGCCGTATTCCAGATCACTTCATCTTTAGCCTCATCGCGCTCAAGAATTGGCGAAACAATGACCATGTTGTACTTTCCGGCTAGCTGAATGTTGAATTCGAAAGAGGAAATTCTCTTTTCACAAACCTTTTGCAAAAATTGAGTTGATGGACCGGTCTCGGCACTCTAAAATGAGAGTAGAATTGGAAAATGGAAAGAGTAAACCTCGGCGAACTCGGTCCACGGTAGACGCTCACGGGTGCAAAAAGCAAATGGCATTGCTGAAATTTTGAGATTTAACTTCATAGCAAGAGACGAGATTTGTGAATCGCTGAGGATTCACTTTTTACTTACTCCAAGCCTCCTGAAGGCAGACAATGTTTGCTCCACAGAGAGCCGCCGCATCGATGAGTTGCTCTATTCTAAAAAAATGGATAAGTTTATACAGGGAAACTGCTTTATATAATGAAGCAATGAAGCTTCAGTGAAAAAGTGAATACCTCATAAAAATGGCGTGTCTTTGCTCGGCGACCGGATAGGTGGTGGGAAGAACGATCGCGTTTTGGATGGCCGCAATTCGAACCTGGAATCTGGTAAATTGAAATTTAAATCCTAGATTTGATTATTTTGCTTGAAAATTCAAATTTAATTATTTTATATCACCTTTCTTGGTGCTCTCAATTGCTCTCGTTGAGCGGTAGCAATGTACCCTTTCACTTCGAAGCCGGCTTTCTCCGCTGCTGCCACGGCAGCCAAAGGAATCTCGAGCTTTCTAAAGTGAAATAGTTTTCTGGATCTTAAATTATTCTTGTCTAGTGATTGTTTTTCATTCAGCTTGCTACCAATCAGTTCAATAGACGAAGTTAATATCAAAGTGCTCTGATAGACTGTAGAGACAGTTGCTGCTCACTTTGTTTTCTAGGTTTTGTTAGAATGAAATTCACAAGAAAGTAAAGAATTAGGTAGATTTAGAATTTCCCTTATATAAAATTGGTACTGACTCTAATTTTTTCCCATAGAGAATCCGGGTGACTTCGTCGAGTTCCCGTCCGCTCAACCCCTTCTCCAACGCCTCCTCGACATTCTCGAACTCGACGCCGGCCATTCTGGAATGATTTATTTATTTAAAAAGTTTAGTTTTAAATGTTATTGGTTTCCAAATTTTGCTACTTTAAGTCGGCCTTTTATCACAGCAAAAAAAGCCCAATACTCGATCTCATCAATCAACGACACGAAATCGATGAGATAAAAGTATCAATCGGAAAACGGCAAAAAGTTTAGCAAAAATTGATTTTGAAATTGAAAAGAAATTTAAAATCAAACTGTCAAAATAGTGAAAAGCAAATAGAAATGGGAGCTTTGTGGATTAAAAAGGGTTTTGATCAAAGTAGTGCAAGAAATGGAAAGAGCAAAAAGAAACGAAAGGGTCACGGGGGTCAGTTGAGAGGAAAGGTTTACAATGAGATGAAGAGAAAAGGAAGGAAAAGAAATCAGGAATGAGACGGGCGATTGAGAGATTTGAGTATTGAAGTGATCAACGGGAGGGGACATTTGGCAATCGCAAGAGATGGGAAAAGAGAGGAGCGATCGTGTGAGATACAATCAGCTCACATCGATAAAATACTCTTGATCAAACATTGAAGTGATTATTGCGAAGACTTTATCTCTGAACAAAAACCTTGAAGTGAAAGCGAGTTTGTTAGGCTTTCGGGTAAAAGGCTAGGTTTGGTACTGAGTTATCCAACAATGATCCCAACAACATTCGCTGATGATTGAATAAGGAACAGGAGTTTTGAAGCTTGAAGAAGTAACAAAACTGCTTCACGTTTTGCATGAAAACGAGCGAAAGAGACCCGATTCGACAATTTTTCTGTTGACTATGAGATAGTCTTTTATACAAGTACAGGTAGCAACCTTGTTGCTCCTGAAATGAATTGTCCAGCTTTTGCTTTTTAGTGTTTGCTATGTTTGGTAGATGTGCATCGACTGCCCACCGCCAAAAAACGAACGCATAATCACTTGAAAGTTCTTAAAGCACCCCTTCAAAAAGGTAAAAACAACCAAGATACGCATAAACACAACACTACGGGAGTGGACAAATGCGACCTTTCGCGTTTTAAAAAACTCTAAAAGCTAATATTAACTAATTTCCATTCCAAAAGTTGTTTTTCTGGGTACTTTTAGGGCGTAGAATCCAAATTTTGACATATCAGAGCTTGTGGAACCAGTTTGAAAGATAAAACGGATAGGTCAAATTACGGAAAATTGCTTTTCATTTTTTTTTCCTATGTATAACTCCGTCCGTTTGTTTCCACAAGCTCTGACATGTCAAATTTGGATTCTACGCCCTAAAATTACAGGTACGCTACTGGGCCGGATGCGCAAAAAAGGTCGCATTTGTCCCACTCCCCAAAACTACAAAAATAAAAATAAAAAATAAAAATTCAAGCCAATTATATAGTAAGGATTTTTCAAATTAAGCTCTTCAAGTAATTAGCTGCGAATTAAATTAAATTATCCATCTGGCAGACGTCCACAAATTTGCGACGTTTGATTACGGTAAACCTTGCCAGACGAAATCGGGCAAAATTAAAACGTTTCACGGGTTCTCGAGGGCGTGACTAGATTTCAGTGATTCGTGTTTTTTACTCTTTTGTTTTTCTTGATTCAGTTTAATCTTTTATTTTCGGGAAACAAATCTGGGTTGGTGTACGTCTGCTTGACTTCTTGAAACGCTTGCACAAAAAGGAAAAGCAAAAAGTAAGCACTTTTGTTCGAAGTTCAATTTTTTAAGACTTGAATTTTGTACCACGTCAAATATTGGTTTTGTTTAGAAAATGAGCGTGCCAGTCACTACTCTTCCAACGGTGGCCTCGGGGCCTTACGCGATGGCTTCACTCTACGTTGGTGATCTTCACTCGGCTGTCACCGAAGCTCAACTCTTCGAGAAGTTCTCCCAAGCTGGCCCTGTGCTCTCAATTCGCGTTTGCCGTGATGCTGTCACTCGTCGATCGCTTGGCTACGCTTACGTCAACTTTCAACAGCCGGATCATGGTGTGTTACTTCTCCATTACGTGTCATTGGTTTATGCAATTGCTGATATTCTTATTTTAGCCAAGGTTGCTTTGGACACGATGAACTTTGATCCGATGAATGGAAAGTCGATGCGCATTATGTGGTCAAACCGTGATCCATCTGCTCGTCGCTCTGGAGCTGGCAACATCTTCATCAAGAACTTGGACAAGTCAATCGATCACAAGGCTCTTCACGACACCTTCTCGCTGTTTGGAAACATCTTATCTTGCAAGGTTTAAACTTAAATTTCTAATGACATGCATGGTTTAACTTTAGGTTGCAACCGACGACAATGCGGATAGCAAGGGATACGGATTTGTCCACTTTGAAGAGGAAGATGCCGCTGCTCGAGCCATTGAGAAAGTAAACGGAATGCTGCTGGCTGAAAAGATGGTGTTCGTTGGCAAATTCAAACCCCGCTCTGCTCGCATGAGGGAATTGGGAGAGTCGCCTCACGCATTCAACAACGTCTTCGTCAAGAACTTTGGCTCCAATCTCGACAACGAGGGACTCCAGAAACTATTCGAGAAGTTCGGACCAATCGAAAGCTGCGTGGTGATGCTGGATGGTGAAGACAAGTCAAAGGGCTTTGGCTTCGTCTCGTTTGAGAAATCCGATGACGCGATGAAGGTATTTTTTATTAGCATTAACAGTGCGATATAATCAAATGTAAGCAGGTGTAATGAAATGTTGATAGTACCATCGCTTATTGGTTACCAGCTTTAATCTAATTTTAGGCCGTTGAAGGACTCGATGGCACCATCGTTGATGGGGATGGAGCCGAGCAAAAGCTGACGGTGTGTCGTGCCCAGAAGAGAAGCGAACGCGCAGCCGAATTGAAGCATCGTTACGAGCAATTCAAGATTGACACAATGCAGCGTTATCAAGGAGTCAACCTCTACGTAAAGAACCTTGACGATTCGGTGGACGACGAGGGCCTCAACAAGCTTTTTGCTGCCTATGGAAAAATCACTTCGGCTAAAGTACTCTTAATCTGATAACTAACTCTTAAAATCTAGCATTTTGTTATCATCAATTTATATGGTGTTTTAGGTTATGAAAGATGAGGCTGACCGCTCAAAAGGATTTGGATTCGTGTGCTTCGAGAAGCCGGATGAAGCTACCAAGGCTCAAGCGGAGATGAACGGAAAAATTATGACATCCAAGCCTCTCTACGTCGCCATGGCTCAAAGAAAAGAAGATCGACGAGCTCACTTGGCTTCACAATACATGCAACGTCTTGCCAGCGCCCGCACGACGCAAGGAGTCGCCATTCCAACCGGACAAATGTTTGCACCAGCTGCTGGAGGATACTTTGTGAATCCAATGCAGGTAGTTAGTTTATAATAGACAAATGGTTTTTGCTTAGAATCCCTACATGGCAACCGCTCCAATGCCTATGGCAGCCACGGCAGTACGCCGTTGGGGTGGACAGCAACCGCAAGGCGGCCAGCAGCAATACAATATGATGGGTGGACGCCAAAACTTCCGCCATGGAGGAGCTGGAGGAATGCCCCCGCGTCGTCAGCAAGGAGGAATGCCCCCACGTCAACAAAAGCCATACCAACAAGCTGGAGCTGGAGCTGGAGGTGGCCAACATGTGGATCAGCAGCAAACGACTCTGACAGCACAAATGCTTGCGCAAGCTACCCCACAGGTATTATTTTGTGCAAAGTTCGTGGTGAATTTTATAGTCTTTATAATTTTTTTCTTACAGGAACAAAAGCAAATGCTTGGGGAAAGCATCTATGAGAAAATCACTCAGCAATATGGTACTCAGTCCGACGTCGGCAAGCTGACTGGAATGATGCTGGAGATCGACAACTCTGAGCTGCTTATGTTGCTCAACGATCCAGAGCTCTTCCGTCAACGCGTACAAGAGGCTGCCAACGTGCTTTCTTCCGCCGGCCCAAGGAGCTAAACTAACTTGTTCAATTTATATATCTTTGTATGTCTAATGTTCTTGTTAACATGGGGTTGTTTTCTTTGTCTTACTTGTTGTTTAAAAAATAAAAAACTGTTAAAATCAAAGTAAAACGCAGTTTATATTGGCGTGATTTAAAATCGAGCGAGCACCCGTTCACATCTACAAATTCAACCGAAATAAACCCGAAAACCTTTTTAAAAACTGCTAGGTTTGTCGCATGGCACCTAAATTCAAAAGTCAAATGAGCACAGTAACGCTTGGGCATATTGACCGTTTTCTGCAATCTATTTGCTAGTTTTTACCTTGTTAGCTCTGGGTGTACAGAAATATCTAGATGTCTGCTGTTAGCTTCAAGATTTAAATTCTCCCGACTTTCATTTTGTTTAGCGTCGTTTTCTCTTGATTCTCTTTTGCTTTGGTGTGAGATTTCAGTGATTGATAAAATTATTCTAGCAAATTCTAGCAAAATACTACCAGCGAACAAGTGCACTGTATTGAAATCTGCCCGAATTTCCCTGGAGTATTTAAGAGCGCTGAGCGAATGTCAACATTCTCAGGATGTTTAAAACAAGTTGAGTAAATTTGTACCACCGTCAACGTATTTTAAGCATCACTGATTTGAAGATGCTCAAAGCTATGAACCTTTGCTTGGGTGCTGAATAGTTTACGGAAACGTAAAGCACAAAACATCTTTCGACTGGTATCATTTGCACAGTGCCAGCACTATATCCACATAGAGCCCCCTCCCCCCCTTCTGAGCTGGCTTAAAACCATTGTTAATGATTTTACGATTTTAATGACCTTCTGATACTTTCTTTTCCTTTTATAGAAACAATGCCCTTTATTACATCCGCACAGCAAAAAAAAAATGAGTCACAGACAGTTGCGAAAAAATACATACAAAAAATTATCCTTTACAAGCGATTTTGCAGAAACATTCATCCAAACGCGATGACAAAAAATACAAAGGAGTAAAACATAGAGATCGGGCGATGAACGGTAGGTGATTCAATCTACATCGATGAGAGTGTTCTAAATAACAGTTATGAAGAGTTGTTTATTGAATTTGTCCCTTACCTTTTGAGCGATCTTCTTTTCGAATTGAGTGATGATCGTTTCGCATTTATCCATTCGGCTTTCCCAGGTGCTCTCAATCTTTTCCAAATTCGTAGCCTAATCACAAACAGTTTGGTTCAAGAAAGTGATCAAACCAAATTCTTGAAAGTCTCCTCCAAATCCGCGGCTTCAGCTGGAACCTGTGTAGCAACAACACTCGAATTCTTGGCCACTGTACAATCAACAAGTACCTAAATTTTACAATGAGCAGAAAAGATAATATTTAAACCTTTAATGGTTTAGGGTGTTTAGTGGTATCTTGAGGTGCTGCTGAATGTTGAGTCTTCATTTTAGCCTCCAAATCATACACGTAGCTCATGATTGCGTGGTTCCTTGATCGGAGCTCCTAAAATAAGAGAATTATGGAAGATAGATAAAAATTGGTTGGGAATTACTCTAATCATGTAACCAAAGTAAACCTCAATTTTCTCCAACAGTCGCTGATTCTCCTCACAAAGATGCTCCATTTGGTCGATGGTAGTTGCGGACTTGGCAGGTTGTTGCGGCGTAAGCGAAAGCGCAGTCAGCTTGTCGTTGGTTTTCTTGAGTTTGACGTTTTCTTCTTCGCGTTGGGCACATGTAGCTCGTAAACCGCTTAGCCTAATTTTAAATTTTAAAATCCAACAATCCAAAACTCACTCTTGATTCTGAAGTGAAATAAGAACTGACATCTCACACCGCACGGCAGCTACACTTGCTTTGAGGCTTTCGTTTTCCGACTTGAGACATTCTCTAAAAAAAATTGGATCAGTCACAAAAATCTAATACTCACTGAGTAGCCTCGTGTACCGCCGAAAGCTTCTTCAACGTGGCTTCTTTCTCAAGATGTTGCTCTCTGATTGTTGCATTTGAGCGTTCACTAAATCAACAGATTATTAGTGGCTGGAAAAATAAGTAACACACAGATGTTCAAGCTTTTCTTTTTCTTTCTTAAGGTCATCCACCATTCGAAGCAAGCGATCGTTTTCATTACGAAGCGTTATCTCCTTCTAAATCAAGTTATTAAAATGTCTTCAACATTTTTTTAAAATTACCGATTTCCAATCGTCTTCCTTTGTCTCCAATTCAAGCGAGAGTTGATTCCATTGATCGGTCACTCCACTCATAGTATTCTCCAGCTTCTTCAAAGAGGCAACATAAACCTAAACGTGATGCATAAGTACAACGGATCGTCGATAGCTACGTGATACCATTTTATCCCGTTGTTGCCTATTCTGAATGTAGTCTCGGGTGAGCAGCTCCAATTCAGCAAACTCGGAGCGAATAAGTGAAATTGTGGCATCTCGGCCAATAAGCTCTGCGTGAATCTAAACCAAGCTATAAGACTGATTAAGCATTGAAGAAATCTTACCTCATTCAAGTCGGCTTGTGCTTGTCGATTGTGGTCCAGGCTCAATCGAAGGCATTGAATTTCTTTGAGAGCCGCGTCCGACTTTAGCTTCCATTCCTTGACCTGTTGCTGCAACACTTGTGATTGCTGCTGAGCTGATTGTTCCATCTAAAACATAAGTATTCTAACCTTGAAACAACCAAATACCTGTTGGAGACGTTCCATTTCGGTCTTAAGTTCGACATTGGTGGTCGTCAGCGAGTTGTTTTCAGCAGCTGCTTTCTAAAAAAGTACATTTAGTTGAATACTTGCAGTATTAAAGTTTTTTCCTAACTCAACCACTAAAAGAAACACCTTTAGTTGATCCATGTTTGCCTTGTTGTTTTCCAACTCCTTCTCGAGATTGGCCATCTTTTTGCCCATCTCCGCGACATGATGTTGATGCGTCTGTGAGTCTTTCTCAGCTGACATCCTTGCCACACAGTGTTGTTCGGCTCGTTGTCTCAGATCCGAAAGCGACTTTTCAAGGTTGGAGATGGTCAGCTTAAAGTTTGTCGCCTAAAAATAATTCAAATTTAATAAGAAGTTCTCACAAGAAACCTTGTCGTTTAAATCAGCAAAGTATTGAGCCAAGAGGGAGATACATTCCGGCTCAACAGCGTCGACATTGCCAAGATAACCGAGGAGTTCTTGTACCCCTTGATTTGGATCGTTCAAATCCCATGAAGGCACAGCTAGAAAGCTATTTATTAGAAACCCTTAAAAATTAACGATTTACCTTTCTTTTTTCTCTTTGACATAGGCCTCCGCGAAGACTTCTCAATAGCTTGCGGTAGGACCTGGACGGGAGCGATGTTGGCTTCTCTTTGCGATTGCGTCTCCTCAACGACATTAACTGGTCGCTCGATGGGGGCACAGGCTTCGATGATGACTTCTGGATCCTTTGCGGTTGCGACTTCTAAATAAACCAAATTACATGCGTCGCGATTACACTCAAACCTTCAACAACAACAGGAGTTGCTGGCGTGGGCAGCTGTTGGACGACTTCTTGCTTCTGATCGATGCTCACTGGGTCTTGTGGGATCATTTGACACTCTCGATCAGTCGTTCCATCAGAAACAATTTGAGGCTGAAAAGAAAAATAGAAAAACAAGTGCCCCATTGAATATAACCTTTTCAATAACATGAGGCTGCGGCTTAAGCTTGATAATCTTTGGAGATGATGGCCGTGGACGCTCTTTCTTCTCCACCGTTTTCTTCTCCTTCTTGTTCTTCTGCGGCTTCACCTTTGATCCCGGCAACTTCTTTTCGACCACCAGATTTTTGGCAAACTAAAAATATATCAGCTAGTAAAAGAAATCCAAATAAAACCCTGTCGTATTGCTCGTCGGAGTCGTCTTGACGTGCAAAGTAGCAGAAGACGAGAGCTGCGATGACGATAACGCCGAAAACTCCACCATAAACCGGATCAATCATTTTTAATCCTAAAATAAAAAAATTATTGGTACTAATAAAGTTCGGAGGAGCACTTTGACTTGATCCGGCCAGTTCCTGGGGTTATCAAATCGCCTAATCTATCGGTGATATTTTTAGTGTTTTGAATAGTTTTCACTTTGTATTTCATCCCTGGCTTCATTTTTTAGCGTTGTGGCACTACAACAGTTATACTTCAACTAGCTCAACCAAATATTAACAAAAATTGTTCAAAAGTTTCTAAAAAATCACCAATAGATCCAGCATTTTTGATTACCCCAGAAAAATGAATAACATTAGTAAAACGGTCGAAAAATACGATCTGATCAAATCAGATCATAGTACCCCCACCCCCCGAACTTTATTAGTAACGCAAAAGCACTCAAAACAAAAAAAAGACGTTCCTCACCTTTTAAAGACGTTGAAGAGCTTAAACCGATTCGCGAAGCAGCTTTTGAATAATGTGGCTAGAAGCGGCTAGCACATGCGTCTTAACATTAATAGTTAAAATAGCGTATGGTAATTTTTAAAATCAAAAACAAAATCGAGTAAACAAGAGAGAGGGTTTATTCTCCGGGTGAAAAATGAATGAAAATGTTCGCGCAAAAAACCCGTTTAAATAAAGAATGGGTTCTGTAGGTTGCGTGAATATCAAAAAAGCAGACAGTAAATGTAAGAATGGTTGTCGCGGCACAGAATGGTTTGCCGTTGGTTATGTTAAGGATCGGCTGGTTAGCTTGCAATTCGTTACACTTTACACACGAGTGAGATCTCCCAATTTTCTTCATTGCAGAGTGAAGAAAAACCGTCATGGGGGGATGAAAACGCTTTGATAAGTGAAATCTCTCAAAAAAACTCAATCATCCGAATATCATCAAACTGAAAGTTCAAATAGTCAAAATTTTTGATACTAACTCACTTCTATATTTTGAACTGATCAGTTCATTTGATTGCCTTTGACATTAGCAAAGCAACAACATTGTCGAGATAGTTATCCCAAAGGTTATCTCATTTCTAAAAACATTGCCATGTATTGTCGCTTTTTGAATCATATCTCCTTTTTCCCAAATCTGATTTTTGGTTAAAAGCTGTGAGTTTCTCTGGAATTGGCTGAAAAGCGCGACTTCAAACGATTTGATGAAAAGAAAGACTCGAGCCGATCACCGCCTGTTTTCCCTTTCATTCATTACCATGTCCATGTGAGTATTTGTGTATCTGTGAGGGAGGGAAGAGCGGTGGGTGGAGTGGATCTGTTTACCCTTTCACTCCAGTCTAACTTCTTGTCTTCTTTTTCAAGAAACTTCAGAGGTCACCTCTCGTAGGCAATATCAAATAAAAAAAAGGAATTTGACATCTCTACTCGTGTACTGATCCGCGTCATGAGATGAGTTGAAGAGGAGTGAGACGTGAAGGGGAAACTTCATCTTTCATTTTGCTATCTAGTTTTTTGAGTAGACAGTTCTTTTAGATGAAAGTTTCATTGTTACCTTTTTCCAATTAAGCAATTCAGCAATCATCTTGAAAAACTTTTTCCATTTAAAGCTTTGACAAATGCTTTGTATTAAGCTCTTTAAAATAAAGCAAGAAATTATAAAAACTCACTAGAGTTTGTTCAGATTTCACGCACTATGAGTGAGTTTTTTGAATAGCCTGAAAATAGATGCAAAAAGTGGAAGAGAAGGCGGTGCCTCTTCTCATTTAGAAATCCTTTATGGGAATGGAGAGAGGGGAAATGGAGAGGAAAGGAGAGGAGAGGCGGTGGCTTTTGAAAGGAAGGATGATCGGAGGGGTCTTTAGATTTAAAGTAAGCTTAATTTGAGTTACCATACTTTTAAAAGATTTGAATGTAATGCAGTATCCAAATTTTATGTAATTATTCAATTTTCACGCTCAATCTCAAATCGAAATAAAGTGAGCCCAAGAATCACCTCTCATCCAAAGCTTTGCCAAACTCCAATCTTTATAAGACCCCAATGTTCATTTCGTATTTTGATCGCAAAACTTTTCCATCTTTTCTTTTATTTTGGTTCTCAAAGCCCTTATCTCTTTTCATTTCTATAGTATCCGATGTGGTGAAGAGCCTCTTATCCCAATCTCTCAGCTTTCCCCCTTTTTTTTCTCTACTTGTCCATCCCAGTGCCCATCACAAAACATCCCGAAAAACCTAATAACGGAGCAAAACGATTGTTCTGTTTTTTTCTTACAAAGTAAATTTGAAAATCTGCTTCCTCAATGATTGAAATTGTTTTGGTGTTTGGAAATTGGATTTGATTTCAGCTGAGTGATCTACGGGAGGATTTCAGCGATCGAGAACTTCAAGTTTTGCTCTGGTTTTCTGTAAAGATTAATTTATTCACTACAAAATGTTGTTAAATGGTTTTCTACGGGTGTTCGTCATACTGTGAGTTCGATTTGTTTTGCACTTAAGGTTGACGATCAGGAACTTTAAGTTCACAAAGTTAACATTCTCGAACATTTTCTCGAAAGTTTATCTTTCAATTATGACTTTCCAAAAAGACTACAATTTTACTTTTTATTGAGGAACGGTTTTTGAGACATTGAAAATGAAAAGTCTGTGAAAAAACGAGGGAAAATTTCCACGCATACTAATCGGTAACCACCACGACATCGTTTAATTTACATTGAAAAGTAGATGAAAAAAACGGAGAGGGGGGAAGTGGTGAATTTTGGGGTAAAAGAGAGTGAAAGACTCGTGAATGGTCAAATTGTATGTCAAATTTACAGCTGAAAAGCATGGTGTAATGTCAATTATTGTTCAATGAAAAAAAGCATATATCTAGGTCACATACCCTTCAATTCTTCTTCACATTGCATTTTTGAGAGTACTTAGACATTAGTCTCTAAAAAGTCATGACAAAAAGCTCATTTTGATCATGACTTTTCATAGGCTTAAATTACAGGTAATGTTATAAGTACGTGTAAACACACGCTTTCTATAACTTCTAGATTTTCCGCGAAAGAAGGGTTTAATGCCACTGGAAAGCCACTAATCAGTGAACCAAAGAAGCTGTGTTCTTATTTCTGACCTCCAGTTCTCCTGGTGAACAACAATCACTCTTTACTCTATAAGTCCTTCTCGAAATTCCAGACTTTCCAAGTTCTCAATTTCATTCAAAAAGCGCCTGTACTTTCACCAAAATCGAACCTCTCGAACTCCTCAAACAGGTCGATTCTGTTGATGCGAAATCCCCAACACTTGAGTATGTCAAAAACTAAAGTCAAAAAGAATCTTTTTTGACTCTCTTATCCTTTCGATTCCCTTGTATCAAAAAAGAGATTTGTTGTGTTTACTCAACTCTTTTCTTTTGCCCCTTTTACTAAAGAAATCGTTAGGTTAGTTGACAAAAGTCGAGTAGATAAAAAACTTTTGACAGTGAGGAGGGAATAAAATTAATTAAAGAATTTGAAAATCGAAATGAGCAATGATCTGGTTTATAAAAGGTGCCCTATGCATTTTTGACACTCTTTTCGTTTTGCTAAATTTTTCATGATTCTTTTTGTTACCAGGTGGGGAAAAGGTGTCGGGAATCGTCAATAAAAAGTGAGGAAAGGAAGCTAATGAGAAGAAAGGGATAGGAGAGGGGAGGGTTTTGCAGATTGAATTCTTTTAGTTGTCACATTGTAGAAAGAATAAAGCTTAGAAGTCGTTAAAATTAAAAATCTTCACCTCAATTTTGTAAACTTTAAACTAATTTAAGTATTATAGTATTGTTGAGGTAAAGATTTTGAAAATGAGAGCTTTAAATAGGATAAGTTTTGTTGTTGTTGTTGTTGTTGTTGTTGTTGTTGTTGTTTCGTAAAATGGAAAGAAAATTTCTGAAGTTAAGCTGCTAAATGCCGATTTTCTTCAAATAGATCGATAGTTCTCTCACATCTTAATACCGCAATAAGAATAAGACCGCTTAATAATCCATTCCATTTCTACTGCACATTTCTATTGATCATTTACCCGATCTGATCATTCACGCATTTATTAGACGGGGAAAATGGGTTGAAAGTCCGAAATCTTTTTTTTTTGATGATGTCTAAAAGAATGGACTTCTTCTTTTTTTTCATTTCAAGTCCACATCCAAATGGGATCCGATTTCCACTCGCCCCAGGGAAAGATCCATTTTTCGCCTTGCCTCGTTTTTAAGAGTTTTCTCGGATCCGAACATCCGCTTTCTAGAAGAGTGAACTTTAAGCTTTTAAGAAATGGAAAGAAAATTGAAAAAGCATAAAACGAAACATTGAATGATTGAAGTGAACATTGAAATCTATTGCCCAAAATGAAAGATTGAAGTAAACATTAAAATTTATGCCCTATAGGCCTATAGAATTCTAGCAATAGCTGGCAAAATATTGAGAGGTCAATAAAAAGTTAAATGTTTAGATGCTTACTCCACTTGTCCGACTCGAAACCGCCGAAGAATTTGAATCGAATGCGAAATCGGGGAGGTGGAGGAGGGCTTGGGACAAAGAATATCGACATTGGATCCTTGCAGAACTCAGGGCAAAAGCTCGCCGTTTATGAGGTGGATTTACAATTCATATTTCTTCATTTAGTTACCAAATCCAGTGAAAAATCATCTCCAGATTGAAAACAATTCATCAACTTCTAAAGTCTGTCTTCTAGTCTTCTAAAGTCATCAACAAAAAGTAACTGAATTGAACTTTGAAAGTAAGAAATTAAAAGTAAATAAGGGTGAATTCTTCAAAGTAATGAAGTGATCATAATCACAGACTTTTCCCACTTTTCTTTGATCTTCCATATGCAATTTTCATTCGAGAGTTTCTCGTTGACTCAAATTCGGCGATCATAATCGAGTTTGCTTCGACTCTCGCTTTTTTTTCTTGCCGAATCCTTGGCACTTCTCTTTTCCCTTTCCCTTTCCCTTTCCCACCTTCTGATTTCAATTTTCAAACGTGAACACGTCAGTTCTTCCGATTGTTTTTCGTTCAACTAGTGATTTCCGCGTTGAATTTTTTTAGCTAATCTTTTCCATTTTTCAATAGTAGAACGTCTAATGTATTATGTAAATAGAAACTCTGACATCAAAGAATTTGGCTTAATTCTCTGTTTTAGTTCAGTTTGTTCAAAATTGTTGAAAAACCATATGGCTTTAGATGGCTAACATTACCTGTAATTTAAGCCTATGAAAAGTCATGATCAAAATGAGCTTTTTGTCATGACTGTTTAGAGACTAATGTCTAAGTACTCACAAAAATGCAATGTGAAGAAGAATTGAATTATGAAAAATCACGGCAGTAAACTTTTGAGGCATCTTTCGTTGACTTCAACCAGATGGCGCAGTGGATAGTGGACTTTTAAACTCTGGTTCGAATCCCCGCGGTCAAATCTTTTTGTTAAGCCACAAAAACCCATTATAAAGCATTCTAAAGTGTTTACAGATATAAGTCATATAGGGTCTTGAAATAAAGCCAAATTTTCTTTCCTGTGTTTCTACGTTATAAGGCCAAGGGGGAAAAGTTATTTATAGATTTGAAATCAGCGTTAAAAACTCTTCAAAATGGACGTAGACCCATTCTTTTCAATTCCCTCTATCATTTATTATTCTTTGTCGTTTTCGAACTTCAACCTGGCGACCTTCCCTTGTAAGCTTTGTAAGCGTTATCTTGATGCTTGATGCTTGATTAGTCAAGCATCAAGCATCAAGCAGTCAAGCATCAAGCAGTCAAGCATCAAGCAGTCAAGCAGTCAAGCATCAAGCAGTCAAGCATCAAGCATCAAGCAGTCAAGCATCAAGCAGTCAAGCATCAAGCAGTCAAGCAGTCAAGCAGTCAAGCAGTCAAGCATCAAGCATCAAGCAGTCAAGCATCAAGCAGTCAAGCATCAATCAGTCAAGCATCAAGCATCAAGCAGTCAAGCATCAATCAGTCAAGCAGTCAAGCATCAAGCAGTCAAGCATCAAGCAGTCAAGCATCAAGCAGTCAAGCAGTCAAGCAGTCAAGCATCAAGCATCAAGCAGTCAAGCATCAAGCAGTCAAGCATCAATCAGTCAAGCATCAATCAGTCAAGCATCAAGCATCAAGCAGTCAAGCATCAAGCATTACTTATAAAATTTTCTTAATTTTTTTTGAACTTTACTTTATTTTGTGCTCCTTTTTTTCAATTCCCTCCATCATTTTTCTTTCTTTTCTTTTTCTTTCCTTTTACGAGGCTTTAATCGACAAGTTTGATTGACTCGAAAAACAATTGGCTCTTTCGAAGAAGAAAGGCTAGATTGAGATCTGAAAACAAAATAAAATCAACGGGGATTCTTTGTTCCTCAACTTTTGAGGATTTGTTTTTGTTTTGCTGATTGTTTTGCTTTGAAATGATCTCCTAACTTTTCTCCAGAACTCGAAAAAGCTAAAAGTCATAGTTAGCCAAACAAAGCTAAAGAAAAGACTAAAGAAAAGAAATTGGCTTATAGAAACTTGGGAAATTGACTTATAGAAAGAACTTTGTTTCGATCATGAAGAGAAAACCATTAGCCTACTTTAGACAAACTTCAGTTCAATAAAAGCTTACCGTTTTATCTTTCATTAGCCTTTTTCTAACTCTTCAGGTCACCAGCAGTAGGGTCCAAATTGGGTGTTTTTCTACGGAAGTCCAGAAAAAGACTACCTAGTAGGGTCCCATAAAAGGAAAAAGAGGAAAAGCAAATCCTCTAATATGTTGAGCAATTTGAAGGTCGGCTGGAGAAATGGGGGTTGACCAAGAAGAGAGGAAAAGGACGGGAAAGCTTGGGTCCTTGATTTCTTTTTTTCTTTTAGACTTTGACATTCACTTTTTTCATTGCTTTTCTCTTATTTTTATTATGACTGAAAAGTCTCTTAATGTTAAAGGTGTTTTTAAGAAAAACAATGGGTTTTTTCAATGTTACTACTTTGAATTTGATGATTCTTTACTAGAAACGGTGATCACTTCAATCACCTTACTTCAAGGGTTTTGCTTGCAATTGTAACATGTTATTTCTAGTGTACTTCTTTTACATTTTTCTATAAAATCAAACTAACGTTGCAAGAAAAATGCGAGATTCAGTCAGCGTTGAGGACCAAAAAAAAAGTGCATTTTTTGGTTATTTTCATTTCCCCCCCGAGTGCACACAGAGGCATTCTTTTTAAAAAAAATGATAAAGCTTTTTTAAAAAAGTAGCTTTAATTGCTTGCTTTAACACGTTGACGACATTGTCACCTGATGTTGTCTGACACATATTCGTTCGCCTGGGACATTGTCACCTGATGTCAGGTGACAGTACCAAAATTGATTTTTTTTTTGCATATTTATGTTTGCTGATGATGGATATTAAATAAGAAAGTAGGGTAGTATCTATATTCGACTTGGTCCCGGAAAATGTCGATTTAACCGTTGATTATTAAAATTTTAATTTTTTATAACATAATAGATATAAGAACAATAAGAACTACAACTAACAACAAACAAACTACAACTACAACTACAACCAACCGGAAAAAGCAGCCCAACCGGACGCGGAACCGGAACGGCTCAAAAATCCGAACCGATTCGGAACCGAAATGCTACAAAAAGCCGGATTCCGGAACCGGAACCAGAATTCCGGCCCAAGTCTAATACGGACCCCTCTGACCATTTCCTTGCAAGAACAACAACTAAAAACAACAACTAAAGATAACTACTAGGAAAAAGGACTATGAACAATAACCTATGAACAATTGTTGTGACTACACTGAAAGCAGGCAAGACACAAGAAATTTTCACAAATGGTGCATTGCGTTCTGACTTTTTTGGCGTTGCGACGGGCATAATCTCGGCCATGCTCGTCGGACAATTGTTTGTAGCAACTTTTGCAATGCCTTCTATCATTTGTCTTCCCGCCCGGGTTTTCCACTAGCTTTCGTTTTCTACCTTGGCTTGATGTCTTACGCTGGCCCATATCCAATAAATATTCAATGATTTCAACTTTGAAATCATTCAGTTTCAATTTTTCGGTTTGGCAGCGAAGAATCCAAGCGTTTGCTGTTTGAGTGAGCATGTGGAAGAAAATTCTTATATACCACTTTGCAGTCTTGCGGACAAATGGAGTGTAAGCTGCCATCTGATCGCTCAGGTCAACAAATCCTTTCATCTTATTGTAGTCTTCAACTACTAATGGCTTGCCATTAGCAGCGCAAGCGTCGTCGTGTCGTGTGGAGAGCATGTGGATGTCTCGCTTGTCCTTCCACTTGAGTACCAAGATTCCGCGATTGTCTTGCTGACTGTACAGTTGTCCTTTTTTGACTTTTCTTGAGGTGACAGCTGGCGGGAGACCCTTACGGTTTTTTCGAACAGTTCCGACAAGGTCGGTATCGCGATCCAGCAATGAGTTGGCAAGAGGCAAGCCAGTATACCAGTTGTCTGTACAAAGAATCCGGCCTTCGTTCAGGTACCCTTCCATGAGCATATTTATGTCTTTTAGATTTGTTGAACTGTCTAAAGACTACTCGTCCTCTGAAGGGCACCATTGATTCGTCGATACAAAGTTCTCTATTTGGTTTGAGCATTTTTTGGAATACGGCATTCAATATATCCAAAGCTGGTCTGATCTTGTAGAGACGATCCGTCTTGTCAGCTTTATCGTTATCAGCGAAATGAAGACACGTCAAAAGCTGCTCGAATCTGGCCCTGACCATTATTTTGGCGACGACTGAATTCCCATAAATGGGCTTACCGGACCAATAGTCTCGAAGTTTGGGCAACCGTACGACTCCCATATAAAGGCAGATTCCCAAAAATTGTTCAAGTTCTTTTACAGAGACGTCTGTCCATTCCTTTTTTTCTCGGACATTTTCTAGAGACCATATCTGTTAGTTTCTGTGAGTATCAGCTCCAACAATTCATTCGTCATGAAAAGCTTGAAGAAGTCTATTGGGTGTTCACAATCAGCAACGTCTTGATGGGGTCCACATTTCTGTGTGAAACTAAAACGATCGTGTGTCACAGCGTTTTCGGTCCATATTTCGGAATCTTCCTCTTCTTCAGTTTCTGTTTCGTAGTCGTCGTCTTCTTCCGAGTCGTAATCGACGGGCAAAACCAAAGCTTGTGTCAGGGCGTCGTCGGCTGTCCCTGGTTCGTCGTCTTCGCTTTCGATCAAAAAATCATCGAAGTTCAGATTTAGATCTTCGAAGTCGTCGTCAGTAGTCGCCATAGACTCCATCTATATGCACTAAAATTTCTAATAAATAATAAAAATAAATAATAAATAATAATAATAATAATAATAATAAATAGAAATAATAAATCATTTTAAACTTTCACAAAAATTTTAAGTTTGAAAAAAAAGAACTCTGTGGGACATTGTCACCTGATGTCAGGTGACATTTTTTGCCGAAAAAAAACAACGTGGTCCCATGCGATTGTTTGTGCAAAAACGCCATTGTCGTCAACGTGTTAAATAAAGAATAAACTGAAAATGAGTATCTGCTAATGAAACTAGAGTGTGTTCCTTGCAGACAACGCGTTTTCTAAAAAGCGCGCGCCAAGGATAAGCTACCGTAACCCCATGCTTTGGATCAGCAAATTTTTCAAAATGCAAATGTACATTAAAATCTTGCACTCTTTTTTTCTATTACTCTTTCCTTAACTCTATTACTCTTTCCTTAGCTCTATTACTCTTTCCTCCTACACTCTTTCCTTAGCTCTATCACTCTTTCCTTAGCTCTATTACTCTTTCCTTAGCTCTATTACTCTTTCCTTAACTCTATTACTCTTTCGCTAAAACTTAAAATTTTTTAAAATGCTATTTAAAATTAAAGAAAACATTTAAACGGGAAAAGTTAAGAAACACTATTAAAAAATGATATTATTTACGAGTTTACCAGGCCTATTGTCTACATTTGCACTAGAACCATTCCAAAAAAAAATTCCACGCCCTAAAAAATCTAAATCCTTAAATAAAACTATCCATTACTATATTTTAAGAAAAGTTTGCAAATTTTTTTCGCGCGACCTTTATAGGTTTGCTTAAAAAGCGCACTTTTTAGAAAACGCGTTGTCGGAAGTTTGTCGGATCAATTGTCTGACAAAAAAAAGTTGTCAATGAAAATTTGTCTGACAAATAGTCTGTCAACAAGGAGCACACTCTAAATGAAACTGTCAATGATTCAATGTCAATATCAATGTCAATGATGTCAATGTCAATGTCACTGTCAATGATGTCAATGTCAATGTCAATGATGTCAATGCTAATGAAATGATATTATTCAAAATACTTCTGTAGTTTCATTCTTCTTCATTTTCTTTACTATTTTTGAGCTGCTGTATAAAATTATAAATAAGTAAAAAAAAAAACCAAAACTGCTTACATAAATAAAAAATTTGCAATAATTGCAAACAAAACTTTCTTTTAAACATTCAAATTTCAAAATTTCAAATTTTCAAATTTCATTTCAAATTTTTATGATTCAAAAACTTTTTTTAAATTCATTCATTTTCAAATTTCTTTGCTAAAATCTCTTGCAATTCATTCAAAATCTCGAAAATTTTTCAAGAATTTTATGATGTTGTTGAAGTGAATCGAATCGAAAGGGGAAAGCTCTTCAAAACTTAAATGAACAACCAAAACGATTGTGTTTTAGGGCTTTTTTTTTCCAAAACGAAACGATTCTTGAAAGATTTAGCTGAATTTCTCTGGGCTTGAATTAAAGAATTTCACATTTTTTTGGTGTTTCTAGGAAATTTTTTTGAATAATTTATCTTTGCTTGAAGAAAAAAAGAAGCTTATCCCTCCTTGCCCTGAAAAGTTTTTGTGAAAAATTTGACAGCTTTTATTTTCAAATGTTTTCCTGAGATAAAAAGTTTTTGATTTCAAATTTCAAAACACTTTCTAGATCTATACTTGATCGAACTTTGATAAATAATTTTTTTTTAACAAAACCCCTTTACACATTTCATTCAAATCGTTTCTTTATTTGCAGTTTATAGTAAGTTCTCTTCACCTTCGGACTTTGTTGTCTTTTTTTTGTTTCCTTTCCTTTCTTTCTTTTCTCTCTTTCTTTTCTTCCTTTCTTTTCTTCCTTTCCTTTCTTTTCTTCCTTTCCTTCCTTTCTTTCTTTCCTTCCTTTCTTTCCTTTCTTTCTTTTCTCTCTTTCTTTTCTTCCTTTCTTTTCTTCCTTTCTTTCCTTCCTTCCTTTCCTTTCCTTCCTTCCTTCCTTTCCTTCCTTTCCTTCCTTTCCTTCCTTCCTTTCTTTGTCTCCTTCTCATTCCTTTTTTTGATATTCTCGTTGCACCTCGAAAAGAATATCAAATTTTTCATTTCCTGGGAATTTCTCACGGTTATCAAACGGCCACTTTTGAAGATCCGAGAGAAACGACCAACTTTTAAACTCCTTGAAAAAAAATCATTTGAGATTCATTTAAAAGAAAGAAAATAAATGATGGGATTGATGAAAATAGGAAAGAACTTTATTATTCTATTAAATAGGTGAATTTGAGTACTGCATTCTTCACGATTTGATTTATTCTTGATTATAGAGTTTCATTTATGATTCAATTTCAGGAAGACAAAGAAAAAGACTCGGATTCCGCCACTCCAACGACATCAATCGAGCTTTTAGAGGAGGAAGAGAAAGATAAAGAAAAAGACGATCTTGAAGCACTTCTTGACGACGATTTTCTCGCTGAACCGTTCGTCCTTTTGTAAGAAAAATAAAGAGGAAAAGGCATGGAGTGGAAAAAGAACCGATTACTAATATTTAATCTTTAAATGTCATGAATTTCTTGGTTAAATTTGAATTTTAGAGAGGGAGAACCGGAGGTGACAAGTAAAGACAACGAACCGGAAGAGATTGTTGTGGAAAAGAAAGAAGAGAAAAGAACAGAGAAACCAGAAGAGGTCACCACTATACAGGTGAGTGGAAAGGAGAAGGGAAAGAAAGGAAGGGAAAGGAGGGCAAAGGAAGGGAAAGGAAGGGGATGGAAGGGGAAGGAAGGGGATGGAAGGGGATGGAAGGGGAAGGAAGGGGAAGGAAGGCAAAGGAAGGGGAAGGAAGGGGAAGGAAGGCAAAGGAAGGGGAAGGAAGGGGAAGGAAGGCAAAGGAAGGGAAGGGGGAAGGAAGGCAAAGGAAGGGGATGGAAGGGGAAGGAAGGCAAAGGAAGGGGAAGGAAGGGGAAGGAAGGCAAAAGATAAGGATAGAGTTAGGAAGTTTTGTATTGCTTTAGGAAGCAAGACCAACTGTAGCACTAATATTAGATTAGCCGATAAGGCTTTAGACATTTCATTTGAAAAGCCATTTAGAAATAACGAATTCACCAATTGATCTACGGTTTGCTTTATTAGAAAGGCATACTATTTTTCTACAAATTAGCGTTCAAACTTTGTGAAAACGTTTTGTCTGTGGTTTTTTTTTATGAAAACGTGAAGTCGGGTAGTGAAAAAAGGTGACAACGCGGAGATTTAGGCAATTTAGGCGTTTTGGTCCACAGAAACCTATGTGACTGTCAATAGATAAAAGATAGAGTAAGACTTTGCTCAATCAAAAGCTTTGCTCAATCAAAAGCTTTGCTCAATCAAAAGCTTTGATCAATCAAAATCTTTGATCAATCAAAATCTTTAGCCTTCCTTTTCGAATTGATATCCCGAACATCATTTCAATCCTATAGTCGACTTTTGACTCACTATCAAGAAACGGGCAATCTCAGTTTTCTCTTCAAAATTCTCTTCCCGGAAAGGTGATGGGAATCCAGCATTTCAAAACGGGATACTTTTTGACCTTTTTCCCAATCCCAGAACTTTTCCGAATTTCTCATCTTCCATTAGAAAAACGTCGATGTTCACCTTGTTTTTTGTGGTTGTCTCTGACGACGATTCCTGAATAATTCGCACACTTTTTCAAAAAAAAAAACTTTCCTTTTCTTTTCATGTTTACATTGATTTGTCTCATCCTTTCTCCATTCTACTCAATTCAAATGGATTTCTTGCAAAATTTTCCGGCTTTTTCCTCTTCATCTCATCGAATGGAGGTTTGTGTCGATATGTGTGTGTGTTGAGATCGAATTTCATTTCTCACCTGAAATTTCACCGGACACAACTTCGGGCAACTAATTGATTCATTCTCATGTCATTGAGACTTTTTAAACCCTATCTAGAGGTAGAAAATGATGTGATTGAAGAGCAAGGCTTATGGCATTTTGGGTTTTTCAGTTTGTAGTTTTTTTTGAGCTTTGATTCTTCTCAGATCCGGGTTTTTTCATTGTAAAAAGCTATCATATGTAAAACCCAGAGCCAATTCTATTCTCTTGGGACTTTTCTTGAGACCAAGGGTTAAAATAAACTCCGCCAATGGGTTCTACGACTCTGAAAACTCCGGGGCACAAATTTTTAACATTAAATCTCATTTGGGAATCATTTACAGAACAAAAAAAATCATTGTGTGAGGTGTTCTTTGTGCGGCCACGTGATCGCTCGCCGTCTGGCACACGCTTTCGATAGATAGGTGTTCCCTTTTCGGATTCGTAAGGAAAAGGAGTGGTGGGCGACCAAGGCAACCCCGCGCCTCCGGGCGCCACCACGGCCAAATCCGGCGCAACCCAAGGCTCGAGCCGCACCCCCAAAAGACCCGGATCCCCAAGAGGGATCAAATCCCTCGAGTATACCGGCAAGAAACGCATCCAGACGCCAATAACATCAACCCATGAGAGACGATCAAAAAGAGACGATCCCCCACTCAAAAAAAGTACTACAGTTACTGGATTAGAGTACTTGAGAAGCTAAACGAGATCACCACTATATCGTTTTATTTCTTTTGTTTTCTTTCAGGTGATCACTGTGCCGACACCCGTTGTCGAGGAAGTCGCCAAGATTTCAGACACTGAGATTATGAAGGATTTGCTGACAAGCGGCTATGATTGGAGGGTGCGACCACCGGGAACAAATTGTGAGTTGAGCTTTCAGGTTCTTGAGTTTAAGCGATTAAAATCAAGTTAAATAGGTAAATTTAACAATGAGCAAAGTAAAGAAGTAGGGGATATTTTTGTAATGTAAAGGGTGGTCTTAAAATTCAAACGATGTTTCAGCAAGTATCCTTGGCGGAGGCGCGGTGATTGTTTTCGTGAACATGTTGATTCGAAGGTTTGTTCTCTAAAAATCAAATGTAGAACTTGCAATTAGCTTTTTGGGTGAGCTTAGATGATAAAAACTTATCCAAAAAACTTACCCAAACTTCTAGTATCTCAAAGATCGATAACGTCAACATGGAATACTCAACTCAATTGACTTTCCGAGAGTCCTGGGTGGACAAGCGGCTGGCATACGGTAAATTTACAGGAGAATTATTGATTTGTGATTGATGAGTGATTTAAATTTCCAGATAAAAAAATTTCTAGATCATCTCGGTAACGATCGCTGAGAGTCTATCATTTTTTTTTTGCAAAAATCTCTCTAGCTTTTCGAGTGCCACCATTTCTCTCGATTTTCATGCATTTTTTTTGTTATGGCTAAAGATAACAATTTTAAAGTATCCAAAAGCTAACCAAGACTTCTAGCTGATCTATCTCAGATCTTAGAATTGGAATGAGTCTTTTTTGAAGTGACATGTTTAGGTGAAAAGGGAATGGGCGAGACAGTGCCGGATTTTGTGATTCTGGCAGCTGGGCAACAAATCTGGATGCCGGACTCGTTTTTTCAGGTTTGATTTGGATAATTTTGTAGGTTCTGCAATGTGTTTTTAACTCAGAATCTACAGAAATTCTTCAAATGTTCTTCACAAGAATTGACCTTTATATGTAGAGATTCAAGCATTAAATTCGCGCTTCTTTTGGCTTGTAGTTCAAGCCAGAGAATTTGCATATGACGACTGAATATAACGTGAACATTGGATGCAAACTTTGACTCAGTAATCACAATAAAACTTGTGCTTCTGCAGCAATTGTAATGACAGTAAAACTTGTACTTTATGCAAGATTTTAGCTCAATTTTTGAAGCCACAAAGATTTGTTAAACTTTAAACTTCGAAATGTAATAGAAATAGATTTAAAAGAATTTTCAGAATGAAAAACAAGCTCACCGACACATGATCGACAAGCCAAACGTTTTGATTCGCGTGCACAAGGATGGGTTGATTCTGTATTCGGTGAGGATATCGCTGGTACTCTCTTGTCCGATGCATTTACAGGTAATCAGAAAATCCTTGACTAAAAACAAATGTTTCAGTATTATCCAATGGATATTCAAACGTGTCTCATCGATTTGGCCAGCTACGCCTACACAACAAATGATATCGGTGAACAAATGACAAATCCATACCGTCTTTAACCATTTTTCGGGCTAATCTCATAAGCAGCGGTGTCCGAGTGGTTAAGGAGTCAGACTTGAAATCTGATGGGCTCTGCCCGCGTAGGTTCGAACCCTGCCCGCTGCGAAACTTTTTTTGGGAAGCTTGGCTTTTCGATGTTTTGAATTTTAGAGTATCGATGGAAAGAGCAACAACCGGTTCAATTGAAAGACGGCCTTAATTCCTCACTTCCCAGTTTCGAGTTGAGCAATGTGAGCACAGCTTTCTGTCACAGTCACACGAACACAGGCACCTACTCGTGCTTGAGAACAATTATGAGGTTGAAAAGACAATTCAGGTAAAGAAATAGACCGAAATTGAAGCAGAGTAGGGTATTTTGCATTCACTTTCAGTTACTATCTCCTTCAACTCTACATCCCATCCACTATGCTCGTGATCGTCTCGTGGGTGTCGTTCTGGTTGGATCGGTGAGTGACACAAAAACGAAGAACGATTATATTATTGTAAAATAGTTTCAGTGATTTGTAAACAAATAAATGCCTAAACATTCTCAGAATTGTTTTAGAGAGATCTGGTTTTACTAGCCTCACAAAAAAAGCTTTTTTTCCAAAACTTGCTAACTAGGGAAAGGCACGAACTTTCCGTGAACCTCCCGTTTCCAAATCACATAAAGTCCTTCATAATCTCCTTGTGGATGAGCGGTGGCTGAGACGATTGACAAGTGGTCACTGATATCCTCCTAGAAAACTCAAAGTCTAGTTGTTGATACAGTACTGGACAATGAAATATGATATTTGAAAAACGATCGTCACTTTCGCGCGTCTGTAACTCCCTTGTCTTTGAGTTTAAACTATTAGTGTTATACATTTTCTGAAAGCTCTTTTCAAGGGCTACCCAATGGTAATATTAATATTTAGAAATACGGTAAAGACAAGGGAGTTACAGATGCGCGAAAGTGACGACCGTTTTTCAAATATGATATTTCATTGTCCAGTAGTGTACATCTTGCTAAATCGAGTATGGAAATTCAGAAACTGAAATCAAAATCTGCCAAATAAGCTTGCAAGCGCGTAAAAAATTTCAATTGAAATTTCCAAGCTTTAATGAACTTTAAAGAATTGAAGAAAATTGAATTGAAGCTTTAAAGAACAATTTTCAATCACAGGCCGGGTTCGGTCCCGCTCTTGGTTTTTTTTTTTTTGGTTTTTTTGCTCTTTAGATGTAATACTTTACCTTGTAACCATTCAATATAACAAAGCAAAAATGAAATGTTAACATAAATGAAACAAGATCACGAAGCATCGAAAACAATAAAAATTTGCACAATGCGAACATCTGATAAAAGCAAAGTGTGTGCGTTTTTTTCTTCAAATTACGATTTACATCACAATGAGTCATGAACTGGTAAAAACCGGTAAAGCATTACATTTAAAAAAAAAAGCCAAAAACCAAGAGACCAACCAGCTTATTTGGCAGATTTTGTTTTCTATTTATGAATCTCCATACTCGATTTAGTAAGATGTGTGTGATCTGGAAACGAAAGCTTACCAAGCTTATTTGGCAGATTTTGCTTTCAAATTATGAATCTCCATACTCGATTTAGTTCGTGCCTTTCCCTACTAAGAGTCAAGCCAAAGTCTGGTCATTTTTCCTCAAATTATCATTTAACTGATGACTCATTAAAGGCTTAAACCCTCTTTAAAGAACTTTTTTCACCTGATCGACCAGAAGCAGCGGTGTCCGAGTGGTTAAGGAGTCAGACTTGAAATCTGATGGGCTCTGCCCGCGTAGGTTCGAACCCTGCGCGCTGCGAGACTTTTTGTTTTTTTTGACAAATTTTGATTAAGGAATCCGGTTTACAATGTTGCTAATATGACAAAGAACTTATTCAGATCAGCCGTCCCAGCGCGAGTGACCCTTGGGGTGACAACTCTGCTCACGATGACCACCCAGAGCTCGGGTATCAACAGTAAATTGCCACCAGTCGCCTATATTAAGGTAAAATCTTTTAAACAAGGTACTATAGATATATAATTTTGTATTTTGTATTGTAGCTAAATCTTTAGGCTATTGATGTATGGATCGGAGCTTGTATGACTTTCATTTTCGGTGCTCTTCTCGAGTTTGCCTTTGTCACTTATTTGGGAAGCCGTTTGGAGGCAAAGAGTCAGTTGAAATCTTGCTTTTGTTTTCATTCATTTAATCAAAAAAAGTAAAATTGAAATTCCTATTTGATCGCCTACCGTATTCCAGAGAAATTGGCGCCTCTGGCTGGTGGTAAGCTGATTTTGTAAGGTTTTTTTTGAGAAAAATCGCTCCAACTGTTTGCCGAGTGCTTTTTCTCATTCACAAACACGCTGCACACAATTTCTATCGAAAATTTGTAGAAATACAGGAAACTTTTTTGTACTCCAAAAAGCAGCACGGGCTAAATTCTGAAAATTCTGAAAATTTAGCTTTTTGGGCAAGATAAGGACATTTTTCATCATATTTACCTAATGACTCAAGTCACGGCTCATCCTCTTTAAACAATCTCTTTTTCAACGTCCCGACCGCAAGCAGCGGTGTCCGAGTGGTTAAGGAGCCAGACTTGAAATCTGGTGGGCTCTGCCCGCGTAGGTTCGAACCCTGCCCGCTGCGTAAATTTTTGTTTTTTTTGAGGTTTGACAATGGGCTTTTAGTTTTTTGATTAAGGAACGAATTTTATGCAAATTTATTGAAAGGAAACTACAAATTAACACGAAATGACTTTCTTCTCATTTTCAATTCTCTTTCGCCTTAAAACTTGACGTTTGCCCAAGTTTAGGTTATAAACTGTCTAAGCCGATGGAAATTTGAGCGTGGCTAATGTAATGGTACATTTTTCTAATGCATATAATGCAAAGAACATCTTGAAGCGAACAAAGAGTGTCATTTCCCCAAATATCTTTTAATCTGATGACTCACTAATGCCAGTGACTTGCCAGAAATCTGTCACTTTTTAAAGGCCTCTTTTTTCCGGGACGATCACAAGCAGCGGTGTCCGAGTGGTTAAGGAGTCAGACTTGAAATCTGATGGGCTCTGCCCGCGTAGGTTCGAACCCTGCCCGCTGCGAAAATTTTTGTTTTTTTGTCAAAAAACTTTTGTTTTTGCGGTCAAGCACAGAAGTGTGATACTGTTTATTTTTCTAGCTTAAAGAACAAATTTCAGAGCGATCAAGGTTGGCAAAAACGAAGCAGCCACTTTTGGCGGTGGGTGATTTTATCATTAGCAAGATTGGAAATTCAAATAATATTTTTCAGGCTCCTCAACCAACCGAGGTTTGGATTCCGCGATCGGTGGCCGAGCTAGGGAATAATGATTTAAGCAAGAATGGAAACAATCGAAAGGTTTGGCAAAAAATGAAAATAGGAGAGGTTAGAAGAAAATAGAAGAAATAAAAGACTTTCAGGATCCACCGGTGAAGAGAAATCCCCTATCGAGCTTGTGGAAAGCGACATTGGGAGATTGTGACAATCCGAAGAGAGCCGATTTGATATCAAGTAGATTTAAAAAGAAACTTCTTAAAGCAATTAGTAAAAACTTATAACATTAATGAAGGTAAAACTAGCACCAATATTAAAAGTAACTTTTTAAGCGAACAAAAAGATCCTCCCACTTTTTAAAAGCCTCTTCTTCCGGGGGCGGTCACAAGCAGCGGTGTCCGAGTGGTTAAGGAGCCAGACTTGAAATCTGGTGGGCTCTGCCCGCGTAGGTTCGAACCCTGCCCGCTGCGGAACTTTTTGTTTTTCGAACTTTTGTTCGAACTCTAAAAAGGCTAAAAGGTTCATAATTTGGAAAGCAATCGTAATCTTCAGTTATTCTTTCTATAATCTTATTGGATGAAGATTCAAACCAAGGAATGAAATCATTGAAATAGAACAATATAAAATCTAAAGGAAAACGTAAAATAGTTTTCTGAATTCGAAAAGAAATTCCTATAAGAAAACGGGGATGATATATATTTTGCAGGAGTGATTTTCCCGATTCTTTTCATCGCTTTCAACGTGCTTTATTGGTCTCACTATGGGAAATATCAGAGCAACGATGTCAAATAGTTTTAATTTGATTTTTAAAAAATTTGAAATTTTTTTGAGCAATATTGTTTTTTTCTTTAAAATCAAATCGTTTTAGTGAAAAAAATCTCAGGTTTTCGTTGAGTTTATTTGTTTGGAAATTGTAAATCTCTTTTTTTTGTCCAGTGTACTTACCATTACTTTTTGATAATCCGGTGGTGCTCAAAATGTGGTTTTTTTTTATTTCAGAATTTTATCTTTTTGTTTATCTAGTCATTTTAGAGAATGGGAAAATGAGAAAATAAAGTAAATTTTGAAGAAAATATAAACAAAAATACAATGAATAGTTCAAGTTACGAAGAATAGAATCAATTGTGACTTTCAGTCACCGAAAGTACGCAAGAATTAATGGGGAAATGTTTGTGCTTTAAAATTTACATTTGATTTCATTTGCTTTCATTTTCATTTATCTGTGTTCGATCTTGTTAGATGTTTAAAGACTAGTCAAGTCATCGAACATTATCATTTATTCTTTCTAGGATCGATCCGAGGCATCGAACATTTATTCTTTCTTAGATTGATCCCAGCCATCGAACATTATCATTTATTCTTTCTAGAATCAATCCGAGGCATCGAACACTATCATTTATTCTTTCTAAGATCGATCCCAGCCATCGAACATTAATATTTATCGTTTCATCAATCTTGTCTAAAAGTTAAAACATTGTAAGGTTATGATGAATATCTTCTAGGGAATTTGATTCCAATCTTACTTATTTAAGTTCTTTACCTTTTTATGAGTGAAAGTGTGCACATGAGTGTCATGAATGTCTACTAGATAAAAAAAAGTCGGGTCAACGCAATAAGAGAATGAAATGGGAATTGGCTGAAATGCAAAGAATCATGAATCAATTTTCCTGCATTTTAAAGAAATTCAGTTAACGTTTGTTTTATTTGATACTACTAGAAGGATTACATTTAGTGAGGATATTGAAAGCTCTTGATGATTCTTAAAATTGTATCTTTTCTATCTTTTTCTTTTCTTTTCTATTTTTTTCTTTTCTTTTCTATTTTTTTCTTTCTATATCTTAATGCACTTTGCGTTCAGCTTTACGCTGAACTCTTTCCGATAAGGATTCGATTTTTTTTGTTGAAAATTGTTGAAAGTGAACGATTGCAACATGACAAATTAGATGATGATGATGATAGCTTTCATTTTTCGCTTGTTTCAATCAATCACCGAGAGTCATGATGGGAAAACTGTAGGGATAAGTTTTCTTAGCTTGAAAGCTTTCTTAGCTTCATTTCTTAGCTTGAAAAACTAGTGCTCAACAAATTGAATCCCTAGCTCCTTATCTTTTTGTACAAGTGATCAAGAAGGATAAAATCTACATACTTTGAATAAATCCTTGTGCTTTCTTTTGTAAAAGATTTCTAAAGCTTATCATTTTCAATATAAATCGTTTTAAAACAAACAAATAGTACTGCAAATAGTACAAATAGTACAAATAGTACTTTTTCTGTATTTTAAAAGAAAATTTCCAGATAAGACTTTTTTTTTGAAGTCATAGATCACGATTTTCGATCTAAAAGTGATCAGGAATCATTTGCATACGCGTTTTCAGCTCTCTTTTGAGTCATCGATGAGAGAAAGGGAAAATGGGAACGATACTTGACATCGACACTCATACAGAGCACAAAAAGAAATGAGAACATATAGAATGATCGTTAAAAGAGATGCGGAAACGTCAATTTTGATGTTGGGTGAACCTTTGATCATCGGCGAGGATCTCCATGGGGAAACTCTTTGGATGAATACACTTTGAAATGCTGTAAGTCTACAGAAAAATACAGAAAATTCTTCGTTCTCTCACGCAAGAAAAGCTTTGAAAGGTTTACCTTTTGAAAAATGCATCGATTAGATCGATGACTAAATGATAATGAATAGTCAGCTAGGCTAGGCTAAGCAGATGACTGCCTAGCCTAGCCTAGCTGACTAAATTATTGTTTTCACAACTTTTTTTCCCGGATAAATCAGTCAACAATCTAGTCACACATTCATGAAAATGAAAACTACACAAAGAAGCGGCTAAACTTAACGCTCAGTTTCTATTTCCAGTTTAAAAAAGGAAAGTCCGAGGGTGACAAGTTGCACTTTTCAAGTGAACAACAACGACAAAGAACGGATCGAAATTCGAATTCGAATTGAAAAAGAGAAAAAAAGAAAAAAGAAAAAGAAAGTGAGATTATTCATTGCTAATCTTGATTTATTTTAAAATAGAATAGTCAAAGGTATTTTGATGGATGTGGAGAATGATAAAGGGTGACAATTAGTTTAACACATCATGCCAGCAATGGTTGAACCAGTTTGCCAATTTGCTAATGAGAAAAAGCAAAAAATAAGCTTTCTGTAAACTTCAACTTATTGTATATCATTCTAATTTATTTTAAAATAGAATAGGCAAAGGTATTTTGATGAATGGGGAGAATGATAAAGGGTGACAAGTCGTTTAACACATTATGCCAGCAATGGTTGAATCAGTTCTGGGTTTGCCAATTTGCTAATGAGAAAAATCAAAAAATAAGCTTTTTCTAAACTTCAACTTACTCTATCTATCATCCTCCACATCCATCAAAATACCTTTGCTTATTCTATTGGGTTGGGGAGAATGAGTCGGCGCCAAACTTTAAAGGGACTTTTTGCACACATAAAGCCTTCTTTAAACATACGTTTGGTTTCATCAAAAGGATCCACTATTTCTCTACAAAATCACTTTTGAGAGATTCCACAAAGCTTTTCTTTCGTGGAGTTTATGAACTTCCAAAGGCAGCTGGTTAAAATGGCAAAGAGTCCGACTCATCATTTGAACAGTTTCTTTCACATAAACCTTCTTTGGTGTTTATATAAAAAAGATAGAGCACATTCAATTACTTAAGTTGCCAAATTTGCAGGAAGATCCCACCAATGGTTTTTTCTAGATCACAGTTTGTAGTTTTTGTGAAAAAATGGCTTTTTCTTGAGCGGAGGCGCTGTTTGAATTTTCTTTTAAATGTGATTTTGTAGAGAATTAGTTAACCATTCTACTCATATCAAACGCATATTATTTGACGAAGTCGAATAGAAGTTTTAGACATTTTTTTGATTTTCGGCGCCGACTCATTCTCCCCAACCCAATATTTTAAAATAAATTAGAATGATATACAGTTTTTCTACAGTTTTTGTAGAAACTACAAGCCAAAACAATTATTCTTATTTCTGGAATTTTGGCATAAGTTTAAAGGCATACAAAGAACGGATCGAAATTCGAAGGAATCTAGATTTTCTTGAACAAATCTTCAGCTAGAGAGACCAAATTCTGACAAATATTTATTGAAAAATTTGTCAGAAAACTGTATGTGAAGTTTTTACAAGTAAACAATTATGCCCCAGCTCTAAATCTTCATTTTCATTTGTGTCAGAACTCATTTTTCTCTAAAAGTGACCTCACAAGGTCGATTCGCTTTCATTAAAAAAACTACCACAAAAATCTTGTAAAAAAAAAAAACGAGAAAAAGCCACAAAGATGGTTGCCGCTTTTTGTTCGCTTTTTCCCTAGCGATGTCTCAAATGGATGGCAATCTTGGCTTGGCTTGTCTTCTTTACCAGTCCACAAACGAGAGCAAGTCTTTAAGAGTTTCTTCCCCTCCCTTTGATTAACCGAAAGTAATGTATTAGTAAGTTGAAGAAGCTGTTTTTCTTGCTGTGTCTAGCCTTCACGCTTCATTAAAATCACCACCGTTTGACAAAAACATCCAGAACAATCAAGAGGCAAAGGTAAAAGACCGGTTATTTAAGTTTCATTCACATCACATTTCATTTTCATTTTCATTTCATTTCATTTTCATTTCATTTCCTTCCTTTCATTTCCTTTGATCTCCTTTCATTTCCTTTTTCTTGTTATGAATCAAATTTGAGCAACGACTCTTTGAATTTTGGAAATTCTTTTTTGGTTTTCTGATTTATTTTTAGAAAAGGTTTAAGTCTGCTCTAATATTGAAATTAGAGCTCTAATTGCTTCGATTGCTCTAATATTGCAATTAGAGCAATCGCATACTCAACCGAATCCAGGTAAAACCAGAGCCTAGCTTTTTTTTGCATCTCCATAGGCCATGATTTTTGACTTCTGGCTTTGCCTGGCAAAAAAACTGGCAAATGATTGGGATTTTCCTTGTAAATCTAGGCTTTTTTTGTAACTTTTCATTCTGTTCTTTAGATTCTTTAGATCTTCAGCCATATCACTGTCACTGATCAATGATTTTGAAACCTTGCTAACGACATTGAAATTTCCTTTCTTTCAAGTTACTACAATGTTTTTTTTTTAAAATTCTAATATAATAAAACAAATTTATTTCCTTTCCTTGGGTTTTCCTTGTAAATCTAGGCTTTTTTTTGAAACTTTTCATTATGTTCTTTAGATTCTTTAGATCTTCAGCCATATCACTGTCACTGATCACTGAATTCAATACTAATAATATTCAATTCATAATATTCATAATCACAATTCAATAATATTTTCCCCGAGCTTCAATAGAAATTTAGTCTAGGTGAAGCTTAAAACAAAACTAGATCGCTTAATGTTTTCTTCTCTTCGAAATTGATTCCACTTTTTTTTTTCCATAAAACTCTTTACAGTGTCAATTTAAAACTCTTAAAGAGTGTTTTCGAAAAAACGAGATGAAATCTCGACTATCCAGTGAAAAACTCTGTCCTATCCTGATCAAAAGTTATTTTTTTTTTGGAAAATGAAAAAGCCAATCGAAGTCTTCTGTATTTTTTTTTGTGTCTTCACTTTCGCTTAAATGAAAACTGCCATCTCGGGGGGTGGATTGGGGAAAGGAAAAGTACAAGACAGTGAACACATTTCCCCATCTACCCAATTAGCTTTCTCTTTTTTGACTCAGCCATTCATGGAAAGGAAAGGGTAAAGGGGAAAAGCAGCGGGGGTGAAAAGCGGGAAGAGGAGATGGTTCACAATGTAAATGCACACACATACAAGGAATTGAGCGAATTCATTGGGGTGAGTAAGGGGAAGACAACTGGACGACGTAGGAAAGGAATTTGAGTATTGTTTTTGGGTTTTCATTTAACTTTTATAAGAAGCTTATCCAAGCTTCCGATCGCTTGGTACTTGATAAATTTTGAATAAGATACAATCGTTTCTCTTGTGAACAATTATGACCATCATTGCTTATCGTTACTTTAATCTCTTACTGTAACTTTCTAAAAGCTATTGGCTTACTGTAACTATGGTTAACCTCTTTATTTCTTCAATAGCTCATCGAAATCCGATTCTCATAGCTATTAACTTGTACAAACTTTCACGAAAAGTCATTGCTTTTAAGAAAACGATACACGAAGAATGGAAAGGACAAAGGAGGAAAGGTAGAGGTAGATGAAGGAGGGGTTACAAGCGAGTACAGGGGACAGGGGAGGAGATGGAAGGTGCAGGGAGAGGCTCACGGAGAGGCTCACTGAGAGGTTCAGTGAAGACACCGCCTCTGTGCCATTTATCCCTCTCGAGGCACGACACGATGGCAGTTTCTCAAGTATCCCCTTTAGAAAATAAGGGAAATCTCGATTGCCTTACAGGCAACAGGGAAATTGACTTGTTCTTTTAATTAATCCGATGTCTTGTATTGATCTTTATGGTGTTGTTGGTTTGAATCAGTATCAGCTGCTACTCTACTTGTCTATTTTCTTCTTTACTTCTTTTAGGCTATTTTTATATTATGCTGATTTCAGTAATTTCCCAGTATAAAGAGAATCTTATGGTGCTTTTTAAAAAAGAAAATCAGCATTGTCTTGTTTTTATTCTTGTTACTCCTGTAACTACAGTATCACTGTTTTTCTTGACCTTTCCCTTAAACAATTCCTTTTTCCTTTCCAATCTTCCTTCAGATTTCTTTTACGAAAGAGCTGGAGCTTCTCAGAAAAAAGCTTCTCAGAAAAGATGAGAAGATGGATCACCGCTCTATTCTTGCTATTACGATTTGCCTTGATTGGTGCTCAGCTTTGTAATCCGTTGGCCGGTCTGTTCAATCTCAATTTGTTTGGTGGTGGTGGCGGTGGATGTGGGGGATGTTGGTGAGTGGACTCATTTGGAAAATCTTCATTCAATCTACTTAATTTCAATTCGTCTTGATTACTGAGAAGATTTTCAATACCAGTCTAAGCTAGGCTTTTTCAAGAATTTGTCTCAACATCACTTCAATCTGCAATTCCAGTCCTCCTCCAATGCCACCCCCAAATCCGTGTTGTTCATCTCCATGTGCCGCACCAGTCTCGGGATGCGGTGGTGGATATCCGAGTGTTTCTTCATATCCATCATTCTCTCCTCCTTACCCACTACCGGCTTCAAATTATGCACCTCCACCACCTCCACCACCTCCGCCGCAATATTCAGCCTCACAACAGGCGAGTTTGAATTGTAGTTTTAGATTTAATAGACAATTAAAGTCGAGTGAGAAGAAAAGATTCTAACTTAGCAATTCTGAAAAATGAATTCAGGTGCCACCATCGCCTGGTTTTGGCTACGGTGGCTCTGTAGGTGCAGGTGGATCGATTCCCACTCAATTCACCGGTCCCGTCCCGCCAGCTCCTAGCTACGGCCAATTGCCACAACCACAGCCACAAGCTCAACAACAACCACAACAACTTCCACCAATTCCACAAGTTCCACCAGCCGCCGGTCCAGCCACAAGTTACATACTGCAACAGGTCGGTTGAAGTGAAAGCTAACAGTTTAATCTCCACTTATTCAACTAAAGCGCTTTGACCGTTTGCAAATCTAAATGTTAACGATTGATTTAAACCTGAGAATCTACTGTTCTTGATGGACTGACAAGGGAAAGGCAAGCACTTGCCGTGGCCTTTTGGAACGAGACCAAATCCATCTTATAGAATCGGTCACGCCGAGTTCGAATCTGCTTTTAGTTTTTGCCCTTGACGCTTGTAACGAAAGATATCTGGCTTATAAATTTTGGTGGTATTTTTTAATTTCTATTTGAGGCCTCCAAGCCATCCTTTAAAAAATGGGGCTGAGGGGATAGTCCTCTCGGCAGGGATAGAATCTTATAGAATCGGCCACGCTGAGTTCGAATCTGCTTTTAATTCGGTGTTGGTTCGATCGTTGCCCTGGTTCGTTTCTCCTCAAGCCAAACTTTTTTTCCTTTTTCTTTTTATCTTGATAAAATCTTTGTGATAATTAAAAACATATTTTTTTTATAGAGCAGCGAAGCTCTTAGACTTCTAAAAACAAATAAAACTGTTTGCAAACAAATAAAACTATTAGGTTGGCAAGAAAGTCTTTTCGCTTCAACCAAAGCACCTAACAAGATTTTGTATGTTTAAAATTAAAGATCAATATCTTAAACTAAAAACAGCGGCACAAGTTTTTATTTTGAAAAAATGATTGAGCTTCAGCTAGAGGAACCGAGTCAAAATTTCATTTTCTTTTGACTCGGAATTTATCAAAATGTATTCTTTCAAAATTTCTAGTGAATTTTTTATATTTATTCTTACTTTATTTTGCAAATAATTTCAATTCTAAATTTCAAAATAAAAACTTGTGCCGCTGTTTTTAGTTTAAGATATTGATCTTTAATTTTAAACATACAAAATCTTGTTAGGTGCTTTGGTTGAAGCGAAAAGACTTTCTTGCCAACCTAATAGTTTTATTTGTTTGCAAACAGTTTTATTTGTTTTTAGAAGTCTAAGAGCTTCGCTGCTCTATAAAAAAAATATGTTTTTAATTATTAAAAAGAAAAAGGAAAAAAGTTTGGGGAAACCAACCAGGGCAACAATCGAACCAACACCGAATTAAAAGCAGATTCGAACTCAGCGTGACCAATTCTTTAAGATTCTATCCCTGCCGATAGCACTATCCCCTCAGCCCCATTTTTTTTAAAAGGATGGCGCGAAGGCCTCAAAAAGAAATAAAAAAATGCCACCAAAACTTGTAAGCCAGATATCTTGTGTTACAGGCGTCAAGAGCAAAAACTAAAAGCAGATTCGAACCGATTCCGATTCTATAAGATGGATTTGGTCTTGTTCCAAAAGTGCTTGTCTTTCCCTAGTGAGTGAGAAAGTTTCGGCAAAAAATAGCGCTACTACTAGCCAAAGTAATGCTAATATCTGAACTAAATCCTAATCAAAAGAGTGTTTTTGAATTTAACTCGTACGCGTGATCATGTCCATAGGTCTCACCATCTAACTTCAAACCTCCACCTTCAAACCAACAGCAACTCCCACAATTCCCACCACCCCGTGCACTGCCCATTCCCGGATATCGACCAAAGCAAAACAAATGGGTAATAAAGTTAGAAAATCTTCTTTTCTGACTATTCAATAACCTTTCAAATTAACAGCTTTTGACTAATCGATAGAAATTTTCATTTTAACCGAATATCAAACAAAATCGTCAACTTCAGCCCCCACAAAACAACGCTGGGACTGGAGTTTTGAACGCAAAACAAACTCCGTCACAGACAGTTCCATCCATTCAAGTTGTGGCTCAACAGAAGGTTTGAAATGAGGAAAATTCGTTTCTATTATATTTCATGATTAGGCAAGCAGCTATGCAGAGGAGTCGGGTTCGGCCAATCAAAATGGAGAAGCCACCGAGTATCAAAATGAGCGAAATCAGGAGAAAGAGGAGGAGTACGATTTGGAGGAGGTGAGCTGAATTGATCAAAACTTTGGAGAGAGAGAGTTGACGAATGTTGTACGGTACAGCAAAATTCTCTTTTCAAAGCAGCAACACAAACCGTGATCATAACCAAAAGCAACACAGTTTTTTGATTTTTAAAACTCAAAAACTTTTCTAAAATTAGTAAATCAATAAGTAAATCAATCAATATTACAGAAAAATATCAAGCAATTGAATGAGAAAGTTTATTTTTTTAAATGACCTCTACTGGACTTCATAATTTATTTAATCGTTTCGGAAAGTGATCAACAGCTGCTTTTTTGGATATTAGGGTGGTGCAAAAGAAACTGCCGATTTGACGGTAAATTTTAAAAAAAGATGGCGTTCGATGGTGACATGATCACAATGGAATATTTTCGCAAGATCTCGAGCATATTGGCATGGATCGGCCTGAATAACGTCCCTCAGCTTGGCTTCGTTCACGACTTCTGGCCTCGAACCGTGCTCGTAATCTTCCAAAGTCTTGTCTCCCTCTCGGAATCGTTGAAACCAAGTCTGACACTGCCTGAGAGACAAACTGCCATCTCCGAAAGCAGCACAGAGAAAACGATGCGATTCGGCAGCAGACTTTCCAATTTTGAAGTTAAACAGTAATGCTGCTCGTAGCACAAACTTTTCCTCCACCATGATCTAAATAAAAAATATACCGTAAATACTGTAATAGTATCCCACTTTCATAATGACGGTGCGGAGTGTTGCGTAGTCTAGCTTTGAACGAGTTTTTCTCGACACTGGTTTATGCTACAATGCGCGCTTAGGTATCAAAAAATAGTTGAAATTCAGGGCTATTTTCTGATACCAAAGACGCATTTTTTGAAAGTACGGGCGCTTTGAAAAAAATGAAATACTAAAAAACTTTTGCGACTACGCGACTGTACGAGGGCGGTGGCGTACTATTACAGTGTTTATGGTAGTTTATCTTTGAATCTTCACCAAATTATCGACTACGCGACTGTACGCGCATTGTAACATAAAGCAGTGTCGAGAAAAACTCGTTCAAAGCTAGACTACGCAACACTCCGCACCGTCATGATGGAAGTGGGGTACTATTACAGTATTTACGGTAAGCATTTTTAAATAAAATAAACAACAACCAAAAAATTCAAACGTCGAAATAAATAGCAAACAAATATGCGAACAAAACATAAAAAAAATAATGCCGTTAGCATCGCTCGTTTCTGATAAATGAGAGCTGATACCCATCAGCTGTTTCTTTTGCACCACCCTAAAAGTATCAAGTATCGACTTGTTCTAAACCTAATCACATAACGTTACGAACTAATAATAGTCCTTCGAAATTTGAACTCTTGAATTCAGGAACCCGCTCAACCCTACAAACCCCCATCGAAGCCCGTCTCACCCCCAACCCGCCCCCTTCCTCCACCACCATCCACCGACTATCAAGAGGAAGAACAAGATGAAGAACATGAGGAACCAAACCAACAAGCTCAACCCAATAAACCCGATCAGCGAACCGATTATAAACAACCTGAACAGTCACCCCCTCCTACCCAACAAACTTCACCCGATTATGTGCTGAACTTCCCTAAGGCGGCCCCGATCTCTACACCATCTCCAAGACAACCAAACCCCTATTCCCCACCGCCCAACCGGCCACCACTTCCGCAAGTAGCCCCTTCACCTCCTTACCAACCACCAGTCGATACACAAAGCGAAGACGGTGCCGAGTACGATGATGAGCTCGATCAAGCGCCTCAACCTGCTCAAATCAGTCATCCACAGAGTTCCTTTGTACCGCCGCCTCCACCTTCACCACCCAGACCGGCTCCTGTTCAACCACCACAATCTAAACCTTTACCTTCACCATCACATCTTTCTATCACACCCCAGAAACCAACGTACAATATGGACTATTCTGAGGAAGTGAATCAAGACTCAAATGAAAAGGGATCAATCCCGTCAGCGCCCCAACCGTCTGGATATTCCCCGGTGGCCGCATTGCCCGCTTTCCCATCAACAAGCGATCAATTCAAGGCTCAAGTTGTGCCCGAGCAGGGGCAAGCTGTTGGCCCGGCATCAGCTGGATCTGGCCCTGATGCAGACACTCATTGGCATATTGATTCAAAGGTGCCGATCTCGATCCCTCCACCACCGCCACCAAAGAAACCTGTTGTCCCGCCGACACCAATTGAGAATGACGTCGATACTGAATTTAGTATTCCTGATGAAGCCGGGAGGTTCCATTTGTACGAGGATCACAGTGCCGGCTCATCCGGATCTTCATCAGCACAGTCGACTCAGCCATCTACTTCTAATGAGGCTCAGCCATCTACTTCTCATGAGACTCAGCCAGCGCCATGGCAAGCCCCGCCAACCTTGCTGTCACCAGGTTTCTTTGAAGATCTTTACTGAGAAGAAATAAATGCAATTTTTGAAAGTATCATATTATAGGGAGATTTTTTTGAATTAAAACGAATATTGATGCAATAATTTAGAGCCAATCCACGTACCGATGCCGCCTCCAAGCGGAAATGAAGGTATTCAGAAAATAAAATCAATCATTTCTATAGAAAATTTCTTTTTACTTACAAATTTACTTTACTTTACTTACTTTCTTTCTTTCAAACTAACTTCAAACTTACTTTACTTTCTGATTAGAGCTTTAATCATTTTGCTAAAGCAATTGTCCGTTCTGAGAGTTTTAGAGGAGCTGCTAAAGCTAAAAGCTAATCGATAAACTTGTAATAAAAAGCTAGAAAATAAATTAAACACGAATTTTTGCATGTAAATTCTCTTAAATTTTATCGTATGAAGGAACGGCGCCAAGTGGTTACGATTCATCACCGGATACCGCAGCTGGCATCTTTCACATACCCATCGGTTATTCAGGCATTCTTTTTTTTTCTTTCCTTTTAACATTTCGCATGTTTTCTATTGCTAGTAGTTGGTTATGATGTTTTGAAAGGATTCAAAGAATTATCCATGAGTTTTACCACCGTAAATACTGTAATTGGACCCCCACCCCTCTAATAGTACCTCACCCTAGAGGGGGAGGGAAAAAAATTGTATCCCATGGGTACCAAATAGTATCAAAAATAGTACCAAATAGTACCCAATTACAGTATTTACGGTAGTTCTAGTTCTGAACTATTAGGTTGGCAAGTTATAAACGATCGTTTTAGGCAACAACTTGTTTAATTCATTAGAACGCAAAAAAAAGAGAACATTAATCCAAAAGGTATTCTCCATTATTATCGATGACTTTTTGCCATCTTTGGCGCAACTCCCTGATACCATTCTCAAAAAAAAACTGAGCCTCCTTCTGAGCAAAATGAGAAATCAAGTGCTTTTTTGATTTGTGCATGAGTTCAAAAGTTCAAAGCTAGACTACGCAACACTCCGCACCGTCATTATGGCGGTGGGCTACTATTACAGTATTTACGGGTATCTCTTATTCATAAAGCTAAAGTAATAACTAGCAAAAGAAATCAAGTGCGCTTTTGACTTGTGCAATGAGATTCAGCGGCTGATTTTCCTTGTTTAAAATCGTAGAGCATAGCTGCGCGAATAAGAAATTTTTCGTTCTCCATTTTTTTTTTCAGGAAAAAGGGGCTCAGAAATTTGAAAGGCTCTTTTTTATTGATGGCAAGAAGTCATCGATAGATGGCATATTATAAATGACTTGCCATGGCAAGAAGTCATCGATAGATGTCATCGATAGATGACTTCTTGCCGTCAATAAATCTTTGGCCAAGAAAATTTCTATTGATCTTTTTTGAGGGTTCTTTAGTTCATTCAGAAGCTTTTTGATATTCTTTATTTTTACACTAAAATATTGTAGTTTATTTGCAGAAAAAAAACCCCCGAGGAAAATCTTTTTGAGAATTCTAAGAAATCATCATTGAACAAAGCAAGCGATCATTTATAACATGCCAACCTAATAATTGTGCAATATCAAATCATGGACACTACAAACTACAAAAACGTAAACTATAAACACTTCTAAATAGCTTTAAATCTATCGGATTAACAAGAGCTATAGCTCAAAAAAATAGAGAATTTCAAGAGCTTTCGAAGCAAAGAGCAAATGAAGCAAAGAGCATTAAAAAAAATAGAAATTCTAAAGAAAGTTACATTGCTTTGACTCCAAATAGGGTCTGTTTTATCTACAAATCATTGTAACTTTCTTTAGCATTCATCTTTTTTTGAGGGTTCTTTAGTTCATTTCGAAAGCTTTTGATATTCTTTATTTTTTGAGCTATAGCTCTTGTTAATCCGATAGATTTGAAGCAAATTAGAAGCTAGAAGCAACCTTTTTTTAGTTTATATTGTCCATGTTGAAAGCTAATTTTTTTCTAACATTTCGATTAACCAAAAAAAAGAAAAAGAGAATCTATTAACGATTGTAGGGGAAATCGGCGCTACAGCACCACCAGAATCGGGCTATCGAAACAGAAGGAGGCGATTAAGAATTTGGAAAATTGTGAAAAGGAGAAGCTCGAGAAGGATCTAAACATTGCAAATTTTGAATTTAAATTCAAATTCAACATTATCATAGCTTTAATATTGCTGAATAACCAATCTCATGCATGTGAAGCTAAAAAAAGGTTGAAATTTTACTAATTTTACACTTTTCTACGAGTAATATTCTGTAATAACCTTTTCTGAAATTAGAAATTGTAAAATTTCAATTAAATTCATTAAATTATAGTCATTTTTCTTTTCAAAAATGACTCTTTCTCTTTGAAAATGCTCAAGCTTTATTCTCTTGTGTTTTCCGGCTTTTTTTGATTTAAATAATCAATCTAATATTATATTTTTATATTAAACTAATTCTTTAACCTTTATATGTTATTAATAAATGCTTACCAACAAAAAGAAATTCCGATTTTAGTTAAAGGCTAAAGCTAAAGGCTAAAGCTAAAGGCTAAAGCTAAAGGCTAAAGCTAAAGGCTAAAGCTAAAGGCTAAAGCTAAAGGCTAAAGGCTAAAGCTAAAGGCTAAAGCTAAAGGCTAAAGCTAAAGGCTAAAGCTAAAGGCTAAAGCTAAAGGCTAAAGCTAAAGGCTAAAGCTAAAGGCTAAAGCTAAAGGCTAAAGCTAAAGGCTAAAGCTAAAGGCTAAAGCTAAAGGCTAAAGCTAAAGGCTAAAGGCTAAAGCTAAATTATCAGCTGATAATTTCATTTACTAACGATCAGCTGATAGTTCTATGCTCTGCCCAAAAATTATTTGCAATTATCATTGCCTGAAAAAAGATTGCTGTGTGCTGGAAAGTGTGCACAGTGAAAAGAGCCGAGTTTGTAATGAATAACTCATCTAAAGCTCTTCAAACTTTGGGAAGTCTATTTTAGGAATCATTATCATTATCATCATCTTCAAATTTTTTAGATCAACAACCCGTCGAGGCAACCGCATCAGAGGCAGAGCCGGAAAACTATGTGGGCGACACGGAATGGCATGTTGATCCAAAAGAACCAATAACAATCCCCCAAACACCAGCAATTTCACAAAGAAAACCCATTGTGCAAGAAAAAGTTACCGATGATGACGTCGATACTGGATTTGGTATTCCTGACAAAGCGGGGAATTTCCATTTGTTTGAGGATCAAAAAGAAGAGTCATCTGGAGGAGCTGGAGGAGTTGGAGGAGCTGGAGGAGCTGGAGGAGTTGGAGGAGTTGGAGGAGTTGGAGGAGTTGGAGGAGTTGGCCAATCACCTTCACAATCACTTCCCGCTCAGCTATCAGCAGGTTTGAAGCTCATTTTGGTGAGAGATTCAAAGAATTAGAACATTCTTGTTTGTTTAGATTCTTGTTTAGACTTGTTTAGATTTCCGGAGTGATTTGGGATCAATTGATCAATCAAAAAAAAAGGATCAATTGATTCAAATTCGCTGAAATCTTGTTTTCAATACTTTCTATAAATCAGAATAGAAAAGTCAACAAGAAGCTCATTCATTTGACTAATTAATGAAAAACCAAAAAAAATTTTTCCAGTGCCTGATGGTCTTGCGGCAAGTGGTTACAGTTCATCGAGGAAACGTCGAAATTATCGAATTCCGAAAAGAGCACAGCCTAAAAGAAGAAGAAGCTCGAAAAAGGCTTAAATTTCCTTAAATTCATATTTATTATATTGAGATTTTTCTCTCTATCTTTCTAAAATCGATAATTTATGTGTGAGAATTGCAAACGGTGAAGATTATTGCTGGGAAATTACACAAAATTTCCTCTTTTGCCTGTGTTGTCACAAAAAAAACAAACATACATACCGTAAATACTGTAATAGTACCCGAACGCCCTCGTACAGTCGCGTAGTCGCAAAAGTTTTTTTAGTATTTTTTTCAAAAGCTGCATTCACATTTTTTCAATTTTTTTCAAAGCGCCCGTACTTTCAAAAAATGCGTCTTTGATATCAAAAAATAGCCCTGAATTTCAGCTATTTTTTGATATCTAAGCGCGCATTGTAGCATAAACCAGTGTCGAGAAAAACTCGTTCAAAGCTAGACCACGCAACACTTCGCACCGTCATTATGGCAGTGCGGTACTATTACAGTATTTACGGTATCTCTTATTCATAAAGCTAAAGTAATAGCTAGCAAAAGTTTGCGTTTGCGTTTGCGATTACCGTAAATACTGTAATTGGACCCCACCATCCTCGTACAGTCGCGTAGTAATAATAATACTTTATTCAAACGATAAAGTGAAAGAAATCATAGAGAAATGCACAGTGATACTTAATCATACAATACATACTGAAATCAATAAGCCAATTACTTACGGCAAAGAGCCACTAGATCTAAAGCATCGATACGTTTCTTGAATATGAAAAGCGAATATGAAAAGTAGTCGCAAAAGTTTTTTGGTATTTCATTTTTTTCAAAGCACCCGTACTTTCAAAAAATGCGTCTTTGGTATCAAAAAATAGCCCTGAATTTCAGCTATTTTTTGATACCTAAGTGCGCATTGTAGCAAAAACCAGTGTCGAGGAAAACTCGTTCAAAGCTAGACCACGCAACACTCCGCACCGTCATTTTGGCAGTGCGGTACTATTACAGTATTTACGGTAGATAATCAAAAATTATAGAAAATTTCATTTTTTTTACGAGTATTCAAATGTTCATTTGTTCATTTCTATTTTCTAATTTTTATGGGAAACTTGGTGTTGGGCATTTTGTTGAATCTTTTCCTCAAGCTTTTCAACCATTCTCCAATATTTCTAATCAACAACTAAACTAAATTCAATAAATTATTTCTTTTTATTAAATAATAATTGCTTTTAATTCAAATAAAAAGTAACAAATAAAAATTGGAATAAAAAAATAAAAAAAAGTATTTGATGAGTTTTAATCCTTTTCATTTTACAGCCATTTCTAAAAACTCAAATTTCAACTTAAACTTTTCAAAAGTGACCGTAATCATAAAGTAATCGTAACGTTTTTGGTCACTCGCATTTCACCCTCGAAATTTCTTCAATGCTTCGATCAATTGAAACACGTTTTAGTCTATTTTGTAGAGAAGATTTACAACTTTCAAATAGTTAACAATATAATAGTTTGATGCATAAGTCTTTTCGTTTTGTTTCGTACTTCTGTTAAAAAGTAACAAATTCACGAATTAATCTATAGTTTGCTCTATAAAAAAAGTGTTTTTTTGTTCAATTTGCATCTTTTTAAATGAATTTCGGTTCACTTTCAAGCAAATTCGAGAGTGAAAAACGCCTTTTTCGTAAAAATCTATAAAAAACTCTACGGAAAAATTGGCTGAATGAATTTCTCTGAAATTTTGGCGAAATATCAAACGTTTTTTTTCTCTATCTTTTATCTATTGACACGAAGATAGGTTTTCTTTAGCTAAGGTGTCTAAGCCGCATCATCGAGTTAGCCCTTTTTGACTACCCGACTTCATACTCTCAAGAAAATCCAGGCATTAAATATTTTTAAACCCGTTTTAATGTTATTTTGCAGAAAAATAATTGCTTTTTCTAATGAAATCAACCGTAGTTTAATTGGTGCATTTGTTGGCTTGAAATGGCAGACGAAAAGGAACAAAAACACTTATGCATCCACCTAATATATATATATATGTTGTGTCCGATTTAGATTTCCGTCCGATTTAGATTTCCGTCCGATTTAGATTGAACTTATCGCGGACGTCCGATTTAGATTACAGTCTATATCGGACGTCCGATTTAGATTCAATCTAAATCTTATATAGATTGAACAATAATATAAACATGCTTAATATATGTTCTTAAGCGTTTTCTGTAGCTTTTAACTTTAATAGGATAATAGTAAGCATTTAGGAATAGTAATAGGAATAGGAAAACAAGAAAACAAAAAATTCTCAAAAAAAAGACAATAAAATAAAAGACAATCTTTGAAAAGCGCAGAAAATTGCAAAAAAACGCTTAAGAACATATATTAAGCACGTTGATATTATTGTTCAATCTATATAAGATTTAGACTGTAATCTAAATCGGACGTCCGCGAAAAGTTCAATCTAAATCGGACGGAAATCTAAATCGGACACAACATATATATTATAACATTCATCGATATCAGATTTCTATCGTCGGAAATTTATAAAAATGTGTTGAACTCCGCATTTCTTATGCATTTACCTAATAAATACTCTAAAGAAAATCCTAAAATCAAATCGAGAAGAAAGCATATCATTAAAAAGAAAATTTATACAAACGAATGATATGGTATAAACAATATACAAACACAAATCTTAAGCCGTAAATTTAAGGAAAAAAAGAACCAATTTTAGGGAACGACTGGCTAAGAACCAATAATCTAGCCAGCCGGCCAGCCAGATTATTGGTTCTTAGCCAGTCGACCATATTATTGAATTAAAATCATTTTAGCTATCAAAAAATCTATTTGAAAAAAAGTTTCCATAAACCTTATCTTTATCAAAAAATCTTAAACAACTTATAGTCAAAAGTCAAAGAGTTTAGACTACAAAAAAAGATCAATAAGGTTTTAATAAAGTCAAAGAGTTAAAGAGAATAATGAATTTGTGCCTTTAAGGTTTAGAAAGAAACGTTTGAAGGTGAGAAAACGAGTATTTAAGCTCTTTTCAACATGAAATAGGTTAATGACTATAAATAAATTTAAAAGAGTTGAATTTTGATCTGATCAAGTTGTAGAAGACAAAAAAAAAACTAGTCACAAGTTGATCTCAAAGATCATCTAGCTTCAAATCACAAGATACAAAGTATAGATTTTGTTTTCTTTGACCTTTTCCCCCTTTTCTTCTTTTCCAGAGTTTGATTGAAGTCTGGAAAAAGAAAAGAAAAAAGGCTTTTCCTCAAAACTTTTTCTGCATTTCCTCTTTTCTGACCTTATCACTTTTCTTTATTGTCCTTGGAAAGCTGTCTTTTTCGGTCGCTTTTCATTTTAAAACACTTCTCAAAATGAGGCCATGATGTAACTTTTTGTGGTTTTGAAATCCAAAGTTATTTTTGCTTATTGGGTTAGATCTTTTTCTGATAAGGAACTGGATTCAAGCCTCAGTTTCTTTCTAATAAAGTTTTTTTCTAGTTTCTAGTAAAGTTCTTTCTTCTCTTTTTCCATTTTCTTCTCCCATTTTCTTTTTCAGTTAGCTTTTCTGAGTCTAGAGATGATTCGGTAAAGCTTGGCAAGTTCGTTGCTTGGCAAGTACTTTGATCTTGGAAAAAATTCAAAAAAATTCATGTATTTATATATATGCTTTATGCTGTCTTTATATATATGCTTATATATATGCTTCATGGGGCGAATAGAAGCGAATCAGATAATCATAACTGCATATAACATATTGCTACAATACTCTCACCGAAAAAAGAGAGAAAACTAAAGATAGTACAGTAAGAGTACGGTTAGGAAACACAAATACAAAAAGATTAAATATAGGGCAGATTTGATATGGCAATAAGATCTAATTCGTTCACAGATACTTTCAATTTTCCTACCGACGAGAAGATACCAGACGGGAGCTTATTCCAAACCCTACCAATACGGTTCTACTAATTTTCTACCAAGTTACTACTACTAATTTTCCCATTTTCTTATCCCATTTTCTTTTTCAGTTAGCTTTTCTGAGTCTAGAGACGATTCGGTAAAGCTTGGCAAGTTCGTTGCTTGGCAAGTACTTTGATCTTAGAAAAAATTCATGTATTTGTTGTATTTTGACTAACTTTAACTTCTCTTTTAACTGTTTGACAACTCTTTGACTGAGAGATTCTCTTTTAATTGTCCAAAAAAAGATCTAGAAATCAGATCGAGAAAATGCGTCTCGATAAACTCTTCGAAAACTACGAAAATGTTGATAGAGTGGAATGTAAAAGAACCGGTTTGATGGAGAAATTTAAAGCTTAAACTTTAAAGCTTAAAAACTTAAAATTTAAAGCTTAAACTGAAAGGATTACTTATAATTACTTATAAATTTTGTTTAAACAAACACATTTACAGTTTAGTGAAGTAAAAGAAGATCTCATTTGAATCGTATTTTCAGGAGCAATCCCACCCGACTGGCTTAAAGGCACTTTGCTAAGAAATGGACCCGGAAAATTCAAATACGGTAGATAATTCTAAATAAACAAATGTTGATAAAAAATATTAATAAAAGCATTTAATTCTAGGCATTCTAGAGTTAAGAGCTTTTTTTTAGGTGACACTGAAGTGAAGCATTGGTTCGACGGATTGGCCTACATGCAGAGATATTCTTTTAAAGATGGAAAGGTGATTTTAAAAGTAATCTAAAAGTATCTCACTTTATTTATTATCTAATTTATTATCTAATCTATTATCTAATTTATTATTTAATTTATAAGAAAAATCCCATTCTAGATGTTTTATATGGCGAAATGCCTTGAATCCGACTCATATAAAGCGTGCGAGAAAGCGAATCGCTGGTGTATTCCGTCGTTTGGAACAACCAAATTTCCAGATCCATGTCAAACGCTATTTGGAAAGTAACGAAAAGATAGGTCTTAATTTCTCTATTATTTACTTTCAGACTTCAATCCTATTTCGAGAAAGAGGTCGAACTTGATAATTGTCTCGTCAATTTTGTTCAGGTTTATTTAAGCTTAATAAATTTGATTTTACAGTAATATTATAGAAATATTAGCTATGATAATTATAATAATATTATAGTAATATTAAAGTAATATTAAAGTAATATTATAGTAATATTAAAGTAATATTATAGTAATACTATGGTAATATTATAGTAATATTATAGTAATATTAAAGTTATATTATAGTTATATTATAGTAATATTATAGTAATACTATAGTAATATTATAGTAATATTATAGTAATATTATAGTAATATTATAGTAATACTATAGTAATACTATAGTAATACTATAGTAATACTAAATCTCAAAGCTATTCCATTCAATTTTCAGTTAGCCGACTCGGTTTACGCTTTAACGGAGACAGTGACAGTGGTAAAGGTTGACCCGGAGACGCTTGCTATGCTTGGAAAAGTATTGTACTTTTTTTTTATGAAATTTTGAAGCAACAATACTAGTTGAAGACTTGTTTAAGAGTTGTTTAAGACTTGTTTAAGACTTGAGTTTTAAGCTAGACTTCAACTATTGGGTTGGTGAATTGAAAACTGCGGGACTTTGAACTAAAATTTATTCAACATAAAACCATGAATTCATTCGAAATAATTTCCATTATTATTGACGACTTCTGCCCATTTTACAAGCAATTTGCGGATTCCTCTTTCGTAGTATGGTTTGTGTGTGAGACAAATGTGAGACTCAAAAATCGAGGATTGGAGATGTCCCAGTTTGAGCACTTTCTTCAAAAGAAACCCATTTTGGTGTCAATAGAAAAGTTGTAGAGAATTAAAAATTAGGCTTATAGCCAAATTTCCAGAAAGATACACTTAGTAGTTTCGCTTAAAATGCAAGTTTTGGGAAAATTGGTAAATTTGGCATTTCTTGAAAAACAGTTTTTGAATCGTTCTGAAAACTTGGATATAATCTTGATTTTTGATTCTCTACAGCTTTTCCATTGACACCCAAATGGGTTTCTTTTAAAGAAAGTGCTCAAAGTGTCACATATGACAATCACCGGCGGTTTTCAATTCACCAAACCAACCAAAGTGTATACAAAATGAAACCAAAATCCTAAAGATTAACTCACTGAGAAGAAAGTTATGGCAAATTGGGCAGAAGGCTCAGTTGAGCAAAAATATTTGACGCAAAGTAGCCACCCCCGTCAAATAATGTCAACACTTTTAACACCGAGCTTCAGAATTTGCGTTTTTTAGTCAATTTAATAGCACCAGAGTTGGAGAAAAAGCAAAATTTTCAGTTTAAATCAAGGCAAAACCAAGCCAACGCAAATTTTAGGCCAAGTCAAACCAAAGCCAAGGTACACTACTGGACAATGAAGTATGATATTTGAAAAACGGTCGTCACTTTCGCACGTCTGTAACTCCCTTGTCTTTACCGTATTTCTAAATATTAATATTACCATTGTGTAGCCTTTGAAAAGAGCTTTCAGAAAATGTATAACACTAATAGTTTAAACTCAAAGACAAGGGAGTTACAGACGCGCGAAAGTGACGATCGTTTTTCAAATATCATATTTCATTGTCCAGTACTGTATCAACAACTAGACTTTGAGTTTTCTAGGAGGATATCAGTGACCACTTGTCAATCGTCTCATCCACCGCTCATCCACAAGGAGATTATGAAGGAAATGTCTACAATGCAGGGCATAATTTTGGAAAAGAATACGTCTTCACAAAGACTAATGGTTGTTTTTTCTGAAATTTCATTTTAAACTTCAATTAAAATTATCTACTGAAAACGAAGATTTCAGTGTATTTTAAAGTTTTCACAAAGTTCAAAAAACGATGATTTGATTTGATTTCGAAATAGAATTAACAAATGAATATAACTATTTCTATAATAGATAACTATAACTATTCCCCAATCAATCTACTTTACTAACAATTGAATATAGCTATTTCTATAATAGATAACTATAACTACTTCCAGTCAAGCTACTTTACTAACAAATGAATATAACTATTTCTATAGTAAATAACTCTAACTATTCCCAATCAATCTACTTTACTATTTAAACATAAAAGTTTTTCAATAACAAACAAAACAAAACAATTACTTTTTTTAGGGTCAAAGGGTAGCTTTGAAGAAACAACTTTATTGGCTAAAGTGCCATACGATGATCGATGGAATGCCGGTTATCATCATTCATTCGGAATGTCTGATAATTATGTTGTTCTTTTTGAGACACCCATTAGAATCTCTGTGAAAAAATTGTTGATGAGGTGACGGGGAGGTGAAGACAATAAAGTGACAAAAAAAGAGTTCAGAAAAGTGATCTCTTATTCGTTCCATGATAGTTTATACTGGAAAGATGAAACTAATACAAATGTGATTGTGGTCGACAAGAAAACCGGAATGAAGCATACGATTCAGGTATTCTTTTTGTCAATCATTGCTTCTCTTTTTGTCAATCATTGCCGAAGTCGGATTCAAATACAAAATGGATTTCCTTTAAACAATTTGCATAGCTATTTACATGTGAATGTCTTTGCCTAACTACAGTATACTTACAGTAGGCTAGAGTAGATGAAATTTAAAGAAAAGACTTTCAACTGAAGATCTTCATTCTAGGATACTGAAAAGAGACGAGACTCTTTAGTCTTTAGCAATCGATAGTTAAACCAAATTCTAACTACCTTTAAAGTAGCTTCGATTGATCAAATACTTTGTTAATTGATCCCAGTTACCGTAGTTACTAGACATCGGATCGACTGTTGAATCGGGTCGAAGGTTGACCCGAAAAATTTGAGCTTTCCGCTTTCCCGACTTGACCTGAACTATAAGATCGACTTGACTATAAGATTTATTCGAACCTTCCCAGTTTTCCCGACCTAACCCGATTCCCATGTCTAGTAGTTACTGTAGTCGTAAATTAAAATCAATTCAGTTCACCGCCCCTCCCTTCTTTACTTTTCATCACGCAAACACTTATGAAGCTGATGGTTTTATTGGTTTAAACCTTTTTTAAAATTTTAAACCAATAATCATATTTAGTTGCCGATTTCTGTCACATGAAAAACCCTGGGAAATTCGATGATCTTTTGATGGAACATATGAGAGATGGCACGTTTGGAACAAGGGTAAGGACAGATATCAAACATTCATTTACATTTGAATTACTAGATCTAGGGCTCAAGTTTAGAATCCCGATTTCGTTCCCCATCTCTACCGTATGGTCATTCCGACAACGATTCCTGATGGAGCGAAAGATGGAGATGATTTGAACAAAGTACTGTTAGAGGAAACTGTTAGATTTTTCTGAAAATTTCCTGAGCAAACGAACGAACAAGTTTAGGCTAATAATAGACGTTTTCGAGAACTTTAAAATTAAACCCAAGTTTCTAATTACCTAACAAAATATGTTCAAACGATTCCCCAATCCGGAAAACCTGCGGGTACAAATTTACAGCTCAATATCTTCTTTTTGTATCATCTAGAAAACGAAAGAAAAATCCCTTTAAAAGAGCTCCAGATGTTCTTTGTGCGCCTTCTCGAGATGCGTAATTGATCGCCATCTGGCAAATCGGTCCGATACAAGGTGCTTCCCTTTGCATAGTCGTTCTGAGTCGGCCCGGCGTATCTGGGTCACACCCACACCCAAACCCCTGGCACCAAACCCGGGGCCACTCAAATAGACGATACTAGCGGCTTTTGTCAATCCAAAAGTAATAACGAGACGAATCACTGAAATAAACCAATAAAACGGGATAGGAAGGGCAATACTCCTCTCGACCGAGATGGGTGAAGGGAAAGGGCTGGGGCCAGGGCTGTTCCTAGGGCCGATTCTTCAGGTCAAGCCAAGTTAAGGCCAAGGTTTTAGAAAATCCAACCAAAGGTTGAAATTCTAAGTCCAATTAAAAGCCCTTGGTGTCGAGAGGAATCGAACCCGGTCTCGAGCTGGACTGGTAGCCGGCGCCGGCGTTAGACCACTCGACCACCCCAACCAAGCATTTTTCTCAGAGTCAGGCTTAGTTTTTTGATTTTTTAAATTCAAAAACTAATATTATATTTTAATCTAGTGACTCTGGGCTTTCTTTTGAGCCAAAAAACATTTCTTTATCTCATCTCTGGGCTAAGATATAGAGGCCTAAAGAAAAACTCCTTAAAAAGCGTCATAATTTGCATTCTTAAGAAACATGGTTGAACAGATTAAAAAAGGAAATGGGTTATATCAAAGATAATAAAAAGTTGACTGTTTGATGTGAAACTTTCAGCTCGATTTGAGCAATTCTTGGCAAGATCTAGGGCCGGGCAGACGGCCAGAGTCACACTATCTTTCTAGAAAAGAGAAGTGTTTAACATAAAGTTATGAATCGATGAAAGCAATCAATAATATTAATTGATTAATATTGATCGCTTTAATCGATTTGTCTTTTAACATGAACTCTTTTCAGAGCTCTTCCCATCATCGCGGTTCCACAGCAATTCTACAAACGGATGGCTCTGTCTTCTGCACTCCCGTCAAACTTTGTGATTTCAGTAAGAGTTTTTTTCTGTAAATTTTAAAGCTTTTAAAGCTTTCAAAGGTTTTAAGCTTTCCATTTAAACGTTATTTTTGCAGCTTTTGAATTCCCACGTTACAATTGGGATAAATACAACATGAGACCGTATCGATATGTTTATGGATCAACGCTGTTGTTTCCCGAGGAAACGAATAAACTTGTTGGGGTTCGTTTGAAAGATCTAAAAGTCTTTCTATAATCTTTTAGATAGTAAAGGCTGATGTGGAAACGGGTAAAGTGCAATACTGGACGAGAGATCATGAGAGACAGCTGTGCGCGGAACCGGTTTTCCTTGGCGATCCAGAGGGAATCGATGAGGATGATGGTAAATAAGAAAAATTAACAAATAAATACATCTTTTGTAAATATTTATCATCAAATTTGTTTGCTAGATGTTTTTTTAGAGGTAAAAAGGTAAAAAGATACGCCTAACAGCGTCAGAGAATTCTTTAAAGCTTGATAATTCGTGATTGAAATCTCCGTTTCCGATGATGAAAACAGATTCGAAATCAGCTTTAAAAGCTCTATCGAATCGACTAAGTGATGTTTATAAAAACCCTTTCTCTAGTTACTTTTCATCAAATCCTTTCTCATTTAGGTGTCCTTTTGGTGCCAGTGATGACGGTGAAAGACGAGGATTTGCCGATTTTCCTTATCTTAGATGCTAAAGATTTATCAGAGATTTGCAGGTAATAAAGAATTTAGCTATATTTATTTAATGTTAATATTAGATTAATAAAAATGCTTAAAATCAATGACTAATGGGGAGTGGGACAAATGCGACCTTTTTTCCGCACCTTGCCCATTAGCGCACCTTTTTTCGCGTTTTAAAAAAGCTCTAAAAGCTAATATTAACCAATTTCTATTCCAAAAGTTGTTTTTCTAGGTAATTTTAGGGCGTAGAATCGAAATTTTGGCATATCAGAGCTTGTGGAAGCGAACGGACGGAGTTATACAAAGAAAAGACAAAAAGGGGGGGGGTATAATAAAAAAAGTTGATTTTTCTTTGTATAACTCCGTCCGTTCGCTTCCACACGCTCTGTTATGTCAAAATTTGAATTCTACGCCCTAAAATTATCTAAAAAAACAACTTTTGGAATAGAAATTGGTTAATATTAGCTTTTAGAGCTTTTTTAAAACGCGAAAAAAGGTGCGCTAATGGGCTAAGTGCGGAAAAAAAGGTGCGCAAATGTCCGGGTGCGCAAAAAAAGGTCGCATTTGTCCCACTCCCGCCTAATGGGATTGATGAGTTAAAAATCTCAATTTTTTTATTTTTAGATATTCGATCCCGACTGATCGTCTTCCCCCAAGTTTCCACTCGTTATTCGTGCAATAATTTTTCATTTTCAATGCTTTAAAATATTCGGGAAATAAAAAATTCTTTATTATTATTGTAAAATGGAGAAAAATAAGAGAAGAAAAATCTCAATTCAAGCAAAAAAAAAAAAATGGGACAGAGAAAAGGAAATTTGAAATTTTTTTTCTGATATTAGCAGCGTTTAAAATTCATTTCTTTTTTCAAAAACGAATCGATTAAAAAGAATTTTAATTTTAAAAATGAATATGAGAATGGGGAAAGAAAGATAAAAGAATTATGAGTGAAAAAGAAAATAGCAAAATTTTATGGGGAAAATGGGAAGACATCTGGACGGAACACATGTGTGTGTGTGTGTGTGTGTGGGGGGTGGGTGGGGGGGGGTGTGTGTGTGTGTGTGTGTGTGTGTGTGTGTGTGTGTGTGTGTGTGTGTGCATTTGTTGTTCGCCAAAACGGCAACTCAGTCACTCATAAATTTGCCTATTCAAATTTTTATTAATTCAATTTAATGCTAAATATTTCAATTCAATAAAGCGACATAGAGCTTTTCCTTTGAGGCTTTCGTATTTAAACAGCAAAACAGCTGATCACGACAACTCAAAAAGCGTAACGATGATGGGGTTTAGTTCATAGAACTTATTTGGGAGATCATCAAAACAGCAAAACAGCTGATCACGACAAAAATAGTCCCTGCACAGTTGAATTTCCATGTGTTTCTTATTTCTTATTGGATGCAGAATGAAATTATCTACATTTTGTATACTTTTGAATGACTGAAAACAGAATTGGTGCCGAGAAAAAGCTAACCTTTTATTTGAGTCCTTTTTTCGTTTTTTTGGCATTTTCTCATCTCAGTTTTGTTCTAAACGGCTCTAAAAAAAAGATAGCATTCAGTAGATAGCAAATTTTTTGTTTTTTTTCTATATTCAATGAAAATAAGAAAGAAAAATAAAATAAAACGCAAGCGCATTTTCGCCGCTTTGATCGCCGCTTTTTTTTTTGATTACTTCTCACTTATTTTGGTGTTAATTTTCATAAAACAATCTTTTCAGTTGATTTCTTCTTGGTGATTTAGAAAGATTTTATAAAACAAAACAAACAAATTGTTACATTAGTCGGAAACAGGCCAAAATAAGGTTAAAGTATATTTATTCGACACGAACAATGAATTACAATACAACGGAGGAAATTTTTTTGCCCCTAATTACCCCTATTGCCGAAATGTTGTTAAGAAAAAAAATCCATAATAAAAAGAGAAAAAAGAACGAATATTTCTAGCGGCCGCGATTGAAGATTGAGCCATTAACCCCCCGACGAGGACACAAGACTCCTATCCGGTCGCTTACGACGGTTGTAACTAAAAAAAGTAAATTACCGTATTTTCTCTAATAGTAGTGCACCCCGGCAAGCCGAGTTGGTGACCATTTTACGGTTTCCAAGTTTTCCCAGAAGTCCAACACTCTAATCCCCCACAAGATCTCATCGTCAGCTACATTTTCCGACCCCACATCGATAGGTTCTGATAAGCGGTTCTCAAGATTTCGAGCAATTTAGGCGAAGTTTTGGGTACACTACTATTAGAGCGAAGACGGTATATTATTTCAGGTTAGGCTAGTAGATCAGACTGATCTATTTCCCTAATATTTCCCGGTGAGCCGAGTTGGTGACGCTTTTACAGTTTCCAAGTTTTCCCAGAAGCTTAACACTCAAATCCTCCACAAGATCTCATCGTCAGCTACATTTTCCGACCCCACATCAATAGGTTCTGATAAGCGGATTTCGATTTCGAGCAATTTAGGCGACGCTCGGGGTGCACTACTATTAGAGAAAATACGGTAATAAACATTTAATTAAAGCAAGCAATTGATGATTTTTCTATTTATTGCTCTACTTATTTGCTATTTATATTTAAATTTCTTTTGCAAAAGTATGAAAAAGATAATAACAAAAAAAAAAAGCAATCTAAAGACCGATCATCGAAATCTTTTCTTTTTTCTTCTCATTGCCAACTAAATCCATTGATTTTACATAAAATTATTTCTATTTAAAATCATAATTTCCATTAACATATCCAAATCCAAAATGACTCTATTTTATGGGAGATTTAAAATAGCTTTTCAAAAAAAAAATCGCTCTCTAATTCATTGAAAGCCCTTTTTTCTGCTTAAACCACTCCTTCATCGTCATCTTCCCTTCACCACCAAAAAAGCTAATTAGTTCCCCATTAAGCTTAGGGTTAGGGAGCCGTCTGTCATGACGTGGGTTAAGTTAAGATATAGCCTAGTATTGTGTGTGTCGTTGTATTGTGATTGATATATTTCGTGTATGCGATAAATTCACCACTGGTAGCCCCAGTCGGTATTTTTTAAACCATTAAAAAATCAAAGCTCATTTTTTTTCTGCTTGCTTTTTTTATGATTACAACGATTTTTCCCTTTCCTCTCTGAATATTCTCAATTTCTTTTGCTTTCCTCAAAAATTGCGCTCTTTTTGAGAATCTTTTTTTCTTTTGCTTATGAAAGTCTCTTTTTTCAAATTTTAAACGTACAAATACACAGAAATCAATAAAAATATTGATTTTTGGTGATTTTTCTAATTTTATATTTAAATTTCTTTTGCAAAAGTAAAAGTGCAAAAGTATGAAAAAGATAATAAGAAAGAAATGTATCTGTGAACGAATTAGATCTTATTTGCCATGTCAAATCTGCCCTATATTTAATCTTTTTGTATCGGTGTTTCCTAACCGTACTCTCTCTTTTTTCGGTGAGAGTATTGTAGCAATATGTTATATGCAGTTATGATTATCTGATTCGCTTCTATTCGCCCCATGAATAAAGCATATATATATATGTCGTAGCCGCTTACGAAATTCAGCCGCTAACGAATGATTCGTTAACGGCTAGCCGCTAACGAATGAAATTTTTCGCTAGCCGTTTACGAATGATTCGTTAGCGGCTAGCCGTTAACGAATCATTCGTTAGAGGCTGAATTTCGTAAGCGGCTACGACATATATATGTTGTGTCCGATTTAGATTTCCGTCCGATTTAGATTCAATCTAAATCGGACGTCCGATTTAGATTGAACTTATCGCGGACGTCCGATTTAGATTACAGTCTATATCGGACGTCCGATTTAGATTCAATCTAAATCTTATATGGATTGAACAATAATATAAACATGCTTAATATATGTTCTTAAGCGTTTTCTGTAGTTTTCTGCATTTTTCAAAGGTCTTTTATTGATTACAGTCTATATCGGACGTCCGATACAGATCGAACAATAATAAACGTGCTTAACATATGTTCTTTGAAAATTTCTTTGAAAAGCGCAGAAAATTGCAAAAAAACGCTTAAGAACATATATTAAGCACGTTTATTATTGTTCGATCTGTATCGGACGTCCGATATAGACTGTAATCTAAATCGGACGTCCGCGATAAGTTCAATCTAAATCGGACGTCCGATTTAGATTGAATCTAAATCGGACGGAAATCTAAATCGGACACAACATATATATATGAAAGATAAAAAAAGATAATAAAAAAGATAAAAAAAGATAATAAAAAAGATAAAAAAAGATAATAATAAACAAGAAAGCAATCTAAACACCGATCATCGAAATCTTTGATGTTTTTTCTTTCTTAAATCTACAAATAGACATAAATCAATAAAAATATTGTGATTTTTCTAATTTTATACTATAGATAAAGAGATCGATGTTATCACTTCAAAATTTGATGCTATTTTTCTGTATCGGAGCGTTATTTATATGTTTGATGATCAATAAACGGTTGGTTTTTTTCGTAAAACATTTTTATGCTCTATTTAACATGAAGAAAGAAATTAAGATTCTTTTTTTTGTTACTGTTGTTTCTATTTTACTAAATTTTGTTATACAACTTGTCAACGTTCTCAAAGTTTTAATTAGCTATTAAACTTGTCATGTACAACTTGTCATCAACTTGTGGTGTACAACTTGTGTAGTACAACTTGTCATGTACAACTTGTCATGTACAACTTGTCATGCACAACTTGTCATCAACTTGTTATGTACAACTTGTGTAGTACAACTTGTCAGGTACAACTTGTCATGTACAACTTGTCATGTACAACTTGTCATCAACTTGTTATGGACAACTTGTACAACTTGTTATGTACAACTTGTCATCAACTTGTTATGTACAACTTGTCATCAACTTGTTATGTACAACTTGTCATCAACTTGTTATGTACAACTTGTCATCAACTTGTTATGTACAACTTGTCATCAACTTGTTATGTACAACTTGTCAACCTTCCAAAGCTTTAATTAGCTTTTAAACCCAAAACAAAGCCAGCTAATCTTTTTTTTTTGGTTTAGTTTTGGGTTTTTACCAAATTTATCAATTTATTTTATCAAATCTTACTATTGAAATTGTTTTCAGTTCTTTAAAACAAGATCACGTCTATCTCCAAGATCTCCAAGCAACAATACCAACAATAGAAAATCATTTAAATGGACAAATTCGAGAGGAAATCGAAAAGCATTCAAACGATGAACAAAGAAATGAAGTTGAGAATGAGAGTTTAATCATCTATAAAGTCTACTATGATCGAAGGTTTGGTGAATGAGTTTATTTCAATCGAATCTTCTACAATATAAGAATTTAGAATGAATCCACCAAGGTTTCGAATTTTGGCGAATAATCAGTGCACAAATGTTGGACCGAATCTTTCATTTGATGGGCTTACAATCAGGACAGTGAAAGTGGAAGCGATTGAAGGTAATCAATCAATCAAATCAATCAAAAGAATGGAAAGCAAATGAAAATAAAAAAAATCAATCAAATGAATCAATCAAAAGAATGAAAATCAATCAAATCAATCAATCAAACCAATCAATCAATCAAATCAATCAATCAAATCAATCAATCAAACCAATCAATCAAATCAATCAATCCAATCAATCAATCCAATGAATCAATCAAATCAATTAAAAGAATGGTTTAAGAATTTTGCCAATGAATTTCCACCTGTAAAAACGATTTTTTAAAGTTCAATCTGAAAGTCCGAAAGATTCTTTAACCAATTTTAGGCGAATGTCCCTGGGCATGGGCTCCAGGTTGTGAATGGAGTGCTCATCACTTTCTCTCTGAAGTTTTTACCGGTTTTCCACCTAACCAGGTGTTCTTTATTGTTTCAAAAACTTCTTTCAAAACTTGAATCAATCGTAATCAATGTCAAGGTGGAAAGGAATGTTTGAAATTACAGGTAAACTTGACTCGAAATGGGAAATGGGTGACAGTTCCAGTGAGTCGAGTGCCCGAGAGTTATCGAGATGGTTACACGATATGCACAGCTCCCTTGTATTGGTTTGTTTAATTGTAATTTGTGATAAGCTATGCAAGCTCATATTTTCGATCCTTCTAGGTATTCGGACTGGCTTCGATTGATCTTGTTCTTTGAAATCTCTATGCTACACGGAGCCACGAATTTCGTCATGTCAACTCATTCAGTGTCGCGCAAAGTGCAGATAGTGCTTGATTTTTATAAAGATAAGGTAGAATTAAAGCTTTGTACAATGCATTTAGTCAATTTCATACAAACAACCTTTTTGAATAGATTGGAAAAAACAATCTAAAAAAACGCCAAAAGCAGTGGAACTCGAAAGGCACGGTTTAGTAAACTATCGCACTAACCACTAGACCACTCGGCTATAACTGAGAGGCTTTTGAAAAAGCGTTAAGACTATCTAGAGGCGGGATTCAACCTTTTAAGATGGCTTTTTATCATTCAGCTATGGAAAAACTTTGATATAAGAAAATTTACAAAGTATCACTGCAAAGTCAATGAAAAATTTTGAGAAAAATATATTAGCAAATATACTATTTAAACTATTTTAAACTTTACCCCAAAAGTCCTAAAACTAGAAGTTCGTGTCAAAGTTGTGTCATTGTTGTCATTGTTTTGTGTCAAAGTTTTCACAAATGAGGTGATATCGATTGAAGCTTTTAAAATTTTAAGAATCTCTAAAATCCTTTTTTCAGGGTATTCTCTCACTCCGCTCGTGGCCTCTAATGCCGTCATCTTTCCTCATCGATCCAAACGATTCAATCTATCGTCTTTCCCATTCACTTTCTCATCTCGATTGCACTTTTCGTGTTGACACAAAAATCGCTTCACTAAACGACATTGATGAGTTTATCATTCCGAGGTTTCTTTTATTAAAATCAAAATTTGAAACAAAAGAAAAACAGGAATGGGAAAGCAATTGATTTCTTTCGAAAGCTCTTCTCAAATCATTCACATTACAAAGGAGCCACATTTCGACACGCTGAATTGAGGGTGAGTTTCAAAAGCAGAGAAACAAAAGCAGAGAAACAAAGCTCTTCTCAAAGCTCTTCTCAAATCATTCACATTACAAAGGAGCCACTTTTCGACACGCTGAATTGAGGGTGAGTTTCAAAAGCAGAGAAACAAAAACAGAGAAACAAAAACAGAGAAACAAAAACAGAGAAACAAAAACAGAGAAACAAAAACAGAGAAACAAAAACACAGAAATCTTTGTTGTTCAAGTTAATCACAATTTCCAGATAGCTATAATTCGAATTCAGAAACCAGAGAGCTTTAATCACAATTTCCCAAATATCTGATGAAAATTTAGCTCTTTAACCCGTTGAGACTCGAGAATACGACAAGATTCGATTTGAGTGGACTCAAGAATTTAACCCTTCTTCAACATGATGGACCTGGAAAAGTGGGTTTTTCAAATTCGCATGGAAATCCTTGAAAGCTGGCTCATTTCAATCCCAAAATACCCCCAATTTAGGCGGTTTTCATGCCGGAATACACACGAAATCTGAAAACACATCAAGTGTCCAAGTATTTCAACAAAAAACATCGAACCCTGAAGGTAAAGAAATCAAAGTTGAATAGAGATTTGATGAATGAAATCTTTTTTAAAGGCTAACTTTTCAGGTAAAGAAAAGTGACGCCATTTTGCTGCACACTCGTTACAATTTCCGGGAAATGAGTGAGAAATGGTTGGCTCTCGATTTTCCCGTAAACGTTTTCCCATCGATTTCAAGTGATCACTTTGTGCAAAGGTTTTTGATGTGTATGAATTGTGTATCTTAAATTCAAATCCGGCTTAGACCATTTTAGATTATCTATGTTACGTCCGATCTAGACTGAATTAAATCTTAAATCTAGCGCACTTTATTTCAGGTCCTGACTAAAGTATCTATAGATTATAAATAATGGAAAAGTCTACTTGTAAAGATTCCATTTGTTCTAAGATTTACTGAACTTACTAACAAAAGCTGACTCGATTTTCCCGTAAACGTTTTCCCATCGATTTCAAGTGATCACTTTGTGAAAAGGTTTTGAAAATGAAAATTTTGTAGCTTAAAACAATAGAAGATCGGATTTCTTATGCGTTGAGCTTAAAATTTAGAGTTGATTCGGTGATTTTGAAGATTTTCAATGGTAATCGACCGGAATACTCGGATCTATCAAATCGATTGCTTGGGAATTGCTTGAAACAGTATTTTTTTAAAATTAACATTATATTTACTAGAAAGAATATTATAAATAATTATATAATAAACAACGAGATTTATATACCGTAAACTCTAATAGAACGTCATAATGATAAGCGTACGGTCGTGTAGTCTGACTTTAAACGTCCGGCTCTCTGCGCTGCTTTAAGCTACAGTGTGCTTTATGGTGTCAAATGATAGCCCTTGAAATCTAGTATTTTTTGGTACCAAAAGTTGTGAAGAATCTAGGAGCTGAGAAAGAAATGATTTTCTAAGAAGTTAGACGGAGGACTGAGAGATGGCGTTCTATTAGAGTATTTACGATCAAAATTCGAGCAGATGACCATTTTAGATTATCTATGTTACATCCAATCTAGACTGATTCTAGATCGGACGGCCGATCTAGAATGAAGTGGGGTCAAACATCTGATTCTGGATTAGACGTCCGATCTAGTATCAAGTCGATCACTCTAAATCAGACATCCGGTCCAGCTTTAGAGTGATCGACTTGATTCTAGATCGGACGTCCAATCCAGAATCATTCTAGATCGACCGGATGTCTAGATCGACCGGATGTCTAGATCGACCGGATGTCTTGATCGAACGTAACCTATATTTTAGTTGGACAGAAAAACAATGCAAGACGCCGATTCACTCGTGTTGGGAGATTTTGAAGCCACTGGATGAGTGGCTTTTCGCCGATCCTCAACCGGATAGTCGTTATTATGTATTGTGATTTGATTTAGCATAACTTTTACATTTTTTTTTATTTACTTTGCATCTCGACGGTCACTGGTTTTTTTGTTTTGTTTGTTAGATTGATCGATTATTTTCAAAAATTTTCGTAATCAATTCGATTAGCCAATTTTTTTATCACTTGATGTAATTTACATAATGTTTTATTTCAAAGTTTTCTCGATAAGTAAGGAGAATTCAATTTCGTTTATTTCTATATTTGGGTCTATGAAATGTGCATTTTTAGGTCATATTTCAGAGATCCATACGATTCGTACGGTCCATACGATTCGTACGGTCCATACGATTCGTACGGTCCATACGATTCGTACGGTCCATACGATTCGTACGATCCATACGATCCGTACGATCCATACGATCCGTACGATCCATACGATCATAAAGTTTCCCAATGAACAAAAGAATAAAGCATAAAAGCTGAAAATGTCAGTAAATCTTAGAACAAATGGAATCTTTACAAGTAGACTTTTCCATTATTTATAATATATAGATACTTTATTCAGGAAATGAAATAAAGATTTAAGATTAATCCACATGAATTCATACACATAAATACGAAAAGGACCGATAAAAAGCAACACGGTATAATGTTTGTAATGAGTAGCACAGATAACGTCAAGAATTCACTAGAGCTTCAAGATCATGATCATCTACAGATATTAATCGTTTAATTTACATATTAATCGCTTTACTAACTAATTAAACTTAATATAGCCTACCTATTACAATTTACAGGCAATCCATGTCGACTTTGAGACTCCAGAAAAAAAAAGAAACGGAAATAAACTCTTTTCACATGGTAGACTTTTAAATTAAATTAACGGGGGGAAATTAACTTGAAATTTTATATAAATTTTAAATTAGAGGAATTGAATTATTGGGTGTCGATTTATAGTCGAAAAGCCGAGTTTCCATAATCGTGCGCCATCCTGTATAAGTCTTAAATTCTGATTTAGACTTAACCTGGATTGGTTCTCGAACTTCCCTCAGCGATACGACTCTCGTTGGAGGCTTCTGGGAAAGTTCGATGCTTGGAAAGGTTTTTGTAATTGAAAAGGGATTCAGATTTAACGTTTAGATGAGGAGACGATTATCGTCGATTTTTTGCGTGAATGATGGAGGAGCTGGTGGCGAGGAAATGTTTTCGAAAACAGAGTTGTTGTTTATAGCTCAAAGCTATACAAGAAGCAGGTGTTTCAACTGTTCCATGGTGGCTGGCATACAGCGGACATGCTTTCACAATGTTTCCAAGTTACATCTGCAAAGCACTATCCCTAAGTAAAGAAAAATCTGAATTCTTAAAGACTTTCATTTTCTTCGGCGATACCGTATTTGCGGAAAATAGAAACTGGAAAAGTTTTTGGCGGATCTTGGGATCTCTGTGATTGATTGATTGATGCAATTGGATTTTGCAGACACTGAGAAGATTCGATTAAAGACACAAGATTTGATCTCAGATTTTGCAAGAAAGACTAGAGAAATTTGCAGAAAAACCTTGAAATGTTTGCAAGTTTCAAATTGAGAATCTTTGAGGAAAGTCAAAGTCGAAAATTGAGTCGAAATCTTTGAAGAAAAAACGAAGTTTCCATGAAAGTCAGTCTACGAAAATTTTAGGCTTACTAGAAAAACTGTTTCACTTGTGATCCGGTACTCTAGTTTAGATCAAATTTGATTTATGCTCAGCTTTATTGTTGCTAGTTGGTATTCTGTTTCTTTGAGTCACGGTGAGCAAGTGAAATGCTACAGAACTGGCGCTGGTGCTCATGTTGAAAACAGATCTCAAAGTACTGTTTGGCTAGTCTTCAAAAGATTCAATAATTTCTGAATCCCAACATACAACACTCAATAATTTCTGCAGATTTTTAGTCTTTAACGGATTTCCTTTTATCATTCCTCACCAACCGTATCCGCCCAAAAAAAAACGAGCTCATTCAGCGATCTTGCAGAAGAAAAAAAAAACTGAAAAAGTTCTCAAAATGGACGATCTGAAAAAAGATTCAAAAGAAAAATGACCTCGAATCTTTAAGAAAAGAGAGATGCACCCAAAATGGATAAAATCGAGTGGGGGGAAAGGAATGGGGAAAGACACTTCCGCATTCATAACACAGGTAACGTTTTGGAGGGGAAAGATCTGTGATCACCAAAAATAGACAAGGTGAAGGGGGTGTAAACATGCAAACGACAATGAAATGTCTGCAAGACTGTCTGCTTTTGCAAAACCTTTTTTTTTTCATTTGTCTTTCTTCTTTCAATTTCATTAATGATTTTAGGGTAGGATTTTGAAAATATATATAATAAAAAGTAATAAAATATAATATAAAGGTACCCAGTAATGACGGTTACTTGCAACTACCGTATTTTCTCGAATAGTAGTGCACCACACCGAGCCGAGTTGATGATGATTTTACGGTTTTCATGTTTTCCCCAGAAGCTCAACACTCAAATCCCCCACTAGATCTCATCGTCAGCTACATTTTCCGACCCCACATCGATAGGTTCTGATAAGCGCTTCTCGAGATTTCGAGCAATTTAGGCGATGCTCTGGGTTCACTACTATAGAGAATACGGATATTATTCCAGGTTAGGCTAGAGACAGACGACATTTCCCCTAATATTTCCCGGTGAGCCGAGTTGATGACGATTTTACAGTTTCCAATTTTTCCCAGAAGCTCAACACTCAAATCCCCCACTAGATCTCATAGTCAGCTACATTTTCCGACCCCACATCGATAGGTTCTGATAAGCGGTTCTTGAGATTTCGAGGCAACGCTCTGGGTGCACTACTATTAGAGAAAATACGGTGCTTTGTTTTTGATCTTTTTTTACCTACTCTAATATGTTTTGATATCTCAGCTAATGAAGCAAATGCGATGCGGAAGAAAATTTGATTTTAATAACGATTTTCAACTAAAAGCCCTGCAACTTTTAAGTGTTTGTACTTTTCCAGTACCATTTCTACGTTTTTCTAGCTTACGCATTCGCTTCATTAGCTGAGATATCAAAACATATTAGAGTAGGGAAAAAAGGTCGAAAACAAAGCACTTAGCCGCAAGTAATTGTGATTACTGGGTAACTTTATAGTTCCAAAATTCTACCCTATCTTTCTAGCTTACACAAAATTTCTAGTTTTAGTCAAAGAAAAAGCCTTTTGCATTGTAGACTCAGAGAATGAGCTGAATGGCAATAGATGGATGTACTATGATTTCTTTCATTAGTCAAAGATTTAGATTTAGATTCAGTTTTGGATTACTTTCATCTATCAAATGTAGTAATTTTTATCTTTATTTCCATGTAGAAAACTTGAAAAGAGCTTATGAAATAGGTAAATGTCTTCAAATTTTATAGTCTATCAAATGGTTTGGATTGGTTTAAGCGTGTAGGAAACTTATGAAACTGTAGCGTAGCTAGGCACAAATTCTTGTACTTTGTACTTTTCCTTTGTACTTTCTACTTTTCCTTTGTACTTTCTACTTTTCCTTTGCACTTTGTACTTTTCCTTTGTACTTTTCCTTTGTACTTTTCCTTTGTACTTTCTACTTTTCCTTTGCACTTTGCACTTTTCCTTTGTACTTTTCCTTTGTACTTTCTACTTTTCCTTTGCACTTTGTACTTTTCCTTTGTACTTTTCCTTTGTACTTTCTACTTTTCCTTTGTACTTTTCTCCCTCTATTATTTGTAAGTGAATAAGAGAAAAATGTGCCAATTTCTAAAATCCCGTTGATCCAATTGAACTATTTTAAAGATTTTTAAAGAAAACTACAATCATTAGTCATTAGTTTTTGGTTCTAGAAGCTCGAAAATGTTTTTAGCTTTTAGCCTACCTTACGTTTAGCCTTGTTGACAAGAAAATTTCGCAAAAAAAAAATGAGAAAAGAAAGAAAGATTTCAGCACTATTCGTGTACTTTCTTGCAAAAAAAAATAGGCCGGGGATATATAGTGAAGAAGGCTTAGAGATAAATTCCATGCCGATATTCGGGGATATTCGGGGATATTCGGGGATATTTTTAGTTTGCTTAAGCCCCGGTAACTATATGCTGACTTTGCCGGGGGATTTCATTGAATTTCATTAATCTGATGTGCTTATCACGGCCATTTCTCGCTATTTTTCGATATTTTCATTAGCTTTTCGTTCTAGAAGCTTCAAAATCAAGGTCAAGCTCAAAGGAAATTTCGGTAAACAGCAGTTTCAAGTAATCGACTCTAGGGAATCTTTCGTAACAACTTTTAAATCATTTTTTTTAAAGAAATTTCATTGATTTGAGCGCCTCTTGGAAAACAAGAAGCCTCGCAAATAATCCGTTTTCTAAAACATGTCAAAAGCTATCGTAATCTTGCGAGGTGGAGTGCCAAAAAAAACGCCATTTTCGCGTCACTTTATTTCGTCATTTGCGCCAAATTTGCACCGGCTCTGATTGACGATTTGTATTGTTTTTTTCAGTTTTTTTCTTGTACTCGCTATTTTCACTGGATCTAAAAATGAAATAAGATCGATATAGAGATATCGATCTTATTTCATTTTTAGATCCATCTCGAGGTACGGTAATTTTATTGGATTTTCCCCTCCTCAACTCCATGATTGTAGGTGAATCTTGGGAAATGAAATTTCAATGAAATTCTCCATGAAGCCGACTAATTTCCTGTGATTTTTGATAGCAGATTGATAAAAATCGAATGAAATGAAATAGTCAATGGAAAGTTCTTTTTTAATAAACGGGAAATTTTTTTGAATCAATCTGCTATAAACAATAAAACTAAATCTAGTGAAAATGTAGTGGATAGTGAAAAGAAATACGATGATTTAAAAAGAAATACGCCTTTAACCAGCTTTAAGCTTTAACCAGCTTTAAGCTTTAACCAGCTTTAAGCTTTAACCAGCTTTAAGCTTTAACCAGCTTTAAGCTTTAACCAGCTTTAAGCTTTAACCAGCTTTAAGCTTTAACCAGCTTTAAGCTTTAACCAGCTTTAAGCTTTTAACC